GGTCGACGAGAACTTCACAGCCGATGCGAATGCCCCGCCACTGGCGCAAGGCGGCTTCTGCGTGCTGCAAAGTGTCACCTCTTTTGACGAGCGACACGGCTTCACCACGATGCAGCACCCGCTGCCGCTCTTGCCAGAGGTGGCGCACCAGCCGGTAAACACGGCAAGTGCTGGCCCCAGTGCGGGCAACAACAAAGCAGGCGGCTTTGGTCGCCGGATGTCGCTGTTTGGCGGCAAGACGATGGACCGCCTGCTGCTGTCTCGCTCCGAGAAGCTGAAGCCAGATACCCGTCTCTTGGCCAATGCGGCGCTCCTCAAGGCAAGCAACAAGGTGCGCCCCGATCTTTGGCACAACGAGTTTGTCGGTGCGTACCGACAGTTTGAAGAGGACTCTGTCTTCAAGCCGTACAAGGCCGACCGGATGGAGAAGATTTCTATGCTCGATGCCCGCAAGGTGCGCTGGATCCTAATCTACGCCGTCCACCAGACGCTTCAAAACTGCTTCCTGCCGCCGCCGGCCGAGGTCAACGGCGCAGGCGCCGTTCACTACCACATGTCCATCTCGCCTAAGCACCTGCCAACGTGGGACGACGGGCACGAGGTGGCCCAGTCATTGTCTGTCGTTGCGTCCTCTCCCGTGTCCCCCACAATATCAACCGCGGCGGCCTGGCCTACCGAGCTTCCGGTGTCCGCGGACAAGGACAACGATCGCTGGGACCGCTCAGATAATGACGCCGCACCGCCGGCTCGGTGCATGTCCATGACTGCTCTGCCAGACGCGCCCACAATGCAGTCTCTGGCAGAGATTGGCAGTGGCGAGCGGGGCCGTGCTTTGTCGCCAGTTTTTGACATTCGGCCAGACATTGACTACTTGGGTCTTGCCAAACGCGGCGACGCCTCGCCCCAGGAAGGCGAGGTCGTGATGCTGCCTCGCTCTCGCAGTCTTACTCGCAGTTTGTCTCAAAAGGCCGCCTTCCGGCGCTCGCTGAGCTTGTTCCGGGCGAACAATGGGAACAATGCGACAACGCCCAGCACACCATCGTCGGCTTCGCCAAAAGGTCCAAACAAGTTGCAAAAGGCAAAACAGCTGGGGATGACCGAGCCGGTCCCCGCACTACCGACATGCGCCAAGCGCAACAGCATTTTGCATCGCGCACCCTCGCAGCCCAAGAGCGAGAAACAGCGTGCCGTGTCGCGCGAGCGCCCGAAACATTCGCCGTACCACGAGATCGTTGTGCATGGCTACGGCAATGGAACGAATCCAGTGCAGCTGGCCGTGTCGACCGATGGTGCTGGCCCCAGCAGCAGCGACATGCAAACGTCTGACAACCGTCCGAACCCGGCCGACGACTCTGTGGCGACGCCGTCGACGTCCCGTTCGCTGTCGACGTCCTCGACAACCTCCAACACGTCGGCGCTCACCGCCGAGACAGCGCTCACGACCTACACGGACGCTGCCAACCGCAACTCCATTGGCTGTGCCATTACGACTGCGACTCTGCCGCCCTTGCCCGACAGCATTGCTTCGTTTGGCGACACGGCCCTTGGCGCTCTGCAGACGCTGAGCCGGTCGTCGAGTGTGTACAGCAATGCCAGCTCAAAAGCGACGCGGACGCCCGGCAGCAACGCGCCGACACCGACACCGACACTGACACCGGCCACCGTCGGCGTTGCCGTGGACATGCCGCCCACCATCCCACCCCGGGGCCGCGGACGAGCTGTTCCGGTGGTGCACCCGTCGCCCTCCCTCTCGCGCAGCAGCAGTGTGTACTCGACGGTGTCCATGCGCGAGAGCGGCGCTGGCTTGGCGTTGCCCTCGGCCTCGCCCTCGGCCTCGGCCTCGGTCTTGGAAGCACCCTTGCCGCCGCCCGTGCCGGTCCGCAACAGCGCGCGCCACCGCCGCTTCAGCGTGTACGGTGGCGGCGACGAGTACGCGAGCGTGCTTCCGCTCGCTACGCCGCCAAGGGCCATGCGCCTCGTGCCCGACGCGAAGCGGACGATGCCGGTTTCTTTGACTGCGGCTGCCCGCCAACAAAACCAACACCAGAACCAAAAGCAATACCACTCGGGCCGCCGTGGTGGTGTGGGCACACCGCACCGCTCGCGCACCATGCCCAACATCGTGTCGTCGAACCTGGCTGCGCCCACACAACCGTACCACAGTTTTGATACGGTGCAGGAGGCCATGAGGGCGGTGCGCGAGACGCTTGAGCAGCAGCAGTCCCTGGCACCGATGCCGCTGTCGGTCCCCATCTCCCGCGCGTCCTCGTTTGTCGGTGTGGCGGCGCTGCGCAGCGTGCACGAAGAAGAGGACGACGGTGCCGGCAACGACGACCACGACCACGACCACGACGACGCGCAACACGGCGCTGGCGATTTTCTCTCAATGGCGCCGGTGGTCAAGCCGCTCATGACGCGGTCGCAGTCGATGCGCATGGCCACCGCCGCAGCCGCAGCGCGCCACCGGCACAGCAGCTACATTGGCCCGCGCGACAGCGGCTTTGACCATGGCTACCACGACGACGATGCGACAACGGACGAGGTGCAGCCCGAATGGGAAAAGTTTGCCATGGGCCTCGGTGGGCATACTACCGTGTAGGCGTTGACGTGCATTCACTTTGGTTTTTTTTTTTTGCTCATCTTTATTCCATTTGTCGTTTCTTTCTGGTCTTGGTATTGTTTCCTTCTTTTTATCATCTTGTCTCCATTTTTGGTCATCCGATACCCGCGCGAGTCTCGTCGCTCGCTTCACGTTCGCTCTTGTTTTTTATTTTCCTATGTCTCTCGTATTTTTTACGTCATGGTTTTATGTCGATACTGTCGTTTCCTTGCTTGTTTTGCTTTTTACTTTTCTCTGGTTAAACACGTAATGAGGCTATGAATTTCATATCATGCCTTTTTCTTCTTAATTCTCTATGGCCTTTATCGCAGTATGCTATGGCAAGTCAATGGTCACTCTTTGACTCCTTTACATGTTGTCACCTGCTGCCACTCTTTGGATAATGAATGAAAAATGCACAATCTTTTACTTTTCCTTTATGGCATGCACATGAACAAAATCGGTTTGAATTTCACTGCCAAGAAGAGGATACACGAATAGGTTGAGAAAATAAGAAGATAAAAACAAAGGGTATCTATGCAAAGAGACCACAGAAGGCCTTGCCGGAAGACCCCGAGCGAACCGATGGAATGGAGTAGAAATCGATGCAGCAGGAGACGTTGAAGACGTAGAAACCCCTGTAAACGTCGTCATGGAACGAAACAAGACAGAAAAGCAAAAGCAAATAGAAACAGAAGCCAAAACGCGTACAACGACGCAAAAACTCCTCATCACCAAACCGGAGGAAAACAGCCACCGAGATGCGAACTCCTTTTCCTGAACCGAATGACCCTGAATGCGTCCTTACTGGCCCTCTTCGCCACCTTCCATTACCATGGTGCCATGGTGTCGTCCCACATATATATTCTTTATATATTATCTTTTTTTTTTTTTTTTTTTTATTCCAGTCATTCATCGTCGGGTGTATGTACAGTGTCGAGACGCAGATATGGGTTGGCCGTGGCAGTCAGGACGTGGCCAGATGGCCGGTTGCTAGGACCGAGACGATGTTTACTCGTCCTTGAAGTGGTCGGCAGTGCTCGCGAGGACGTCAATGACCTCACTGCCAATGCGGTAGACCATGTAGGTCGGGAAGACGAGCCAGAGGCCGCTACAGACGTCAGTATGGGGTAGCGGGGACAACGTGGAAGGGCTGCTGTTGGGAAGACGTACTTGGGAATGATCCACAGGAAGATGAGCGCGTAGATGTCGTTCTGGCCAATGTTGTCAAAGCCAGAAAAATACTCGTTGAGCCCTGGCAGGTTAGAGTGGAGGAACGGAAGAAGGGAATGGACAGGGCGCGCGCCCCGACGTACAGTAGAGAACCGTCTTGCTCAGGGTCATAACAGCCGAGGACAGCACCAGCGTCACGGCCCACGCGGCGGGACGGCCGACGAGGCCCTTGCGCCCGCCCGCCACGACGGGCTGGCCCCGCGTCCACCAGACGTAGACATAGGCCAGGTACAGCGTGGTCTCGATCAGGTTGAGCACGCCCTGGGCGGCGGTGAAGCCGTTGCCGGCGTTCCACGCCTTGAAGCCGTATATGTGGTCGACTTCGCCGTACAGCGCATAGGGCGACCAGATGGGCCAGTGCAGCGAGCCGCCGGGCATGGTGAGCGGGCGCAGCAAGACGTAGCCCGTGTCCCAGATGACGAGCGGCAGCGAGATGGCCATCCACAACAACGTGACGGTGTCGGGGACGTAGACCCACGAGGCAGACGCAAAGGACGACGACGAGAGCGAGACGGAGGACGACGACGACGACGGACGGCGCGCTGACGCGCGACCGTTGGGGCCGGCGCTGTACTTGCGCGAGCGGACGCTGCCGGTGGCTTTGCGCGTCGAGGGCGCGGCGTTGCCCGAGGAGCGCGGACGGCCAGACGGGGTGGCGGGGACGTCGACGCCCGAGGCGGACCGTGTCTGGACCATTGTGACGTGTTGTGGTGGGTGTTGCGGTGATTGATGCAGTGGTTGATGTGGCGATGGGAAGAAACGACTTCGTGGGGCGTCGCAAAGGTGTCGCAAAGCTGACCAAGTGGAGCGGTAAGAAATAAACCACAAAAAGCTATCAAGAAAGAGTACGCTGGTGCGCTGGTGTGGAGTATGCGCCAATGCCAATGTTTTGTTGTGGTCGTGATGTTTGCGCAAAGATGCGACAAAAGGTAGACTTTATTTGTGTTGTGACTACGAAAGGAAAGGACTCCCAGGAACAGGGGAAGAGGTGCAGCCAACCAAAGGGTAAATAAGAAAAAGGAAAGAGCAACCACTTGGAAACGGTACATACGGAACAATCTGGCGGTACCTGCGACGCGAGACACGAGACTTGAGAGAGGGGGAGGTTGCGCGGGGATTAGCACTCTGGCGCGGTACTAGTACAAAATGTCTTGGTACCTTGGACAGGTTAGTGTGTATTCTTCGGCAGGATGTCAACAATGGGGAAAAGCGTGCGGGCAAGACATGTTGCGTGGAGGGGGGAGGCAGGAGGGACCCAGCGATCCCGCGCCTGCCACAACAAGACGCGGAGAACCTTGCCGCCCGCCACTGTCAGCCACGGATTCAGCAAAAGGAAGAACAAGTCGGGGACACTCCAGTTTGCGCTGCCCCACACCGCTGTTTGACCGTCGCTTTTCCTTTCTGTTATTCTGCGTGCGTTTCTGTTGTTTTGTCGGTTGTTTTGTATGAAGTCATACTGGTACCCAGCGGCATCGTAAGTCGCGCCTTCCTTTGGGCGAATTCGTCTGAATAAAGTCTTTGCAGCCTTCCCCATCGTCGCCCACTTTTTGGGAAGCGACGTTCGTGTCGTGACTGGCGGAGCAATTGTCGTTCCTTCCCCGGACACCAATTTCTGCTACAGTGCCTCAGGGGTTTCGTAAAAACGGAAGGAGGGACCTGAACGGCGTTGCAACAAGTGATCGAAAGGTCTACCAATCTTTTGGACTTTGTCATTTTTTTCATCTATCACAATCTACGTTGTTGAACGCGAATACATGGGGCCCCGTTGTCAACTGTCAGTCGAGGCGAAGTACCTAGAGATTGAATCAAAACAAAGCATCCACGCCAACAAACACGGCAATAACAATGCATGCGTCGAATAAGCGGAGAGAACAAAGAGAACAAAGAGAGCGAAGAGACGCAAGAGATTGGAGAGAACAGGGCACCCAGTATGGCTTTCGCTCTCCTGATTTGACGGTTCCTAGTTTCTTGCCTTGGTGTGCGATCGGCATGTCATTGGTCGGCGCTAACGTTTTGTTTACTTTCCCAGCAAAACACACCATTCACCAACCCCCGGGCGTGGCGCCAGTCAGCTGCACCTGGTAGTCGAGTCCCCGGTTGGCGGCGGCGGGCATGTTGAAGGGATCGTACGACAAGAGCTGGTCGGGGGTGTTGGCGACGACAAGGGCGAGCTCGTCGCCGGCCGAGACGGTGATTTGCGCCGTGCCATGGAGGACGTCGGTGTAGGAGCAGTTGCTGCTGCGACCCGACGCGGTGGGCCGCCTCGTGACGAGCGTGGCCGTGTACGGCGCGCTGGCGGTGATGTTGACAGACACGGTGGTGCCGGCCGCCTTGAGCGGCACGATGCTGGCGCCCATGTAGCGCGGCTGGCGCGCCGCTTTCACGCGGTAGGCGCCCGTGTGGCCGGCGGCCATGCTGTCGAGGACGGCGTAGCTGATGCTTTTGCGCTGCGCGAGATACAGAGCGTGCGCCGACGGGTGGCCAATGTCGACAAACGCCATGCGCGCCCAGTAGCGGCCGACGAGCGCCTGGATCGACGTGCCACCGGGCGCAGCGAGAATGCGGGCCAGGACGTGCAGCGGCGTCTCGTCGCTGTTCGCGGCGTACTGCGTCCAGACGCCTGGAAACACGGCGTGGTTGCGGAGCGGCGCATGGTCGTCTGGGTTGTAGAAGAGGTACACGAACAGGGGCCAGGCCTGGTAGTAGTTGGCGGTCGGCTCGCCCTTGGCCGGGCTGCGGGTGCCGTCGACAATGGCCTGGAAGGCGTCGCCCAGCACCTTTTTGAGGTCCATCATGGTCGGCCCGTCATCGGCTTGCGCGTACGCTGTGCGGGCGGCGCGGCAGACGTCGGACGTGATGAACGTGTCGGCCACAAACTGGGCGACCGTCTCCCACCACGCGCCCGTCTTGGTCTGGTTGATCCACACGCGCGCCGCATACGTCAGCGCATGGCCAAACTCGTGCACCGTGATGGAGGGCACCGTCAGGTACTTGGTGACGACGTTCAGAAACGACAGGCCCGTGCCGCCGTCGGTGCCCGTGTTGGCTGCCGCGCCCGGAAGGTCGTCAACGCGGTACACATTCAGCTTGTACCACGGCCCGCCGTCCGTCTTTTGGTTGAACGACAGGCCCGTCGACCGCCACCCCAGATTGTCGACGAAGCAGCTGTACGCCGACTCGAGCATGCGCGCGGAGGCGTCGGCGATGCTAGCATTGGGCGCGTTGTAGATGCGGACGTGCGGGTAGTCGCGGAAGGCGGTGCCGCCGGGGCCCGTCTTGGGGCTGGCTGTGAACTCGGCGGGCGGTGCTGGGGCGGCGGTGGTGGCTGCGGGGGATGCAGTCGAGGAGGTCACCAGCGTCGCGAACGTGGCCACAGCCACGTGGATCGGCCACCTCATGATGCCTTAGTTGTGTCGTTGGTGCTCTTGCTGCGATCCAGAACTGCCTGAATTTAGCTGGTGGGTTGCTCTGACAACTCGGGATGTCTCACATCACAGGGTGATGAGACCAGAGGCTGACTGTTGTCTTGATTCTGGCTAATGTCAACATTGTGGCGCTTTCTGCCCCAGTGCTATAATGAACGGCAGCATCTCCGCCTGATTTACCCCATGTCCGTCCCGAAATCGCGACTGACTGGGTAATGTGCGGTACTTGTCTTTCCAGGTTGCGCGTCTATTTTTATTAACCCCGTTTACGTCCGCTTGGGGACGGCAGTACCTGCATTGAGATCGCTATGCGGTTCAATGGGCACTGGGCAACGATAGGACGTCCGGACGGACTGTCTTGCGTCCAGACAGTGCTCGGCGGTTCATCGAAATACATAAATGCCGGGTCTTGTCACCGTACACCAGAGATGCGCCTCTTTTTTGTGCTGCAACCTCACAGGCGTCACTTGTGATCACCACCTCAATCACCACCTCAATACCACCATGCTTCCAACACTTTTTGCTGTCGCCGGCGCCTGTACGGCGGTCGTGTCTGCCGCGACACCCAAGCCGCCCACGCTCGACTTTCTCTACAGCATCAACATTTCCATGACTGCGCCGCTGGACATTGGCACCACAGCCATCGGCAGCCGCGGCATCCTGCCCATCACGGGCGGCACGTTTGCCGGTCCCAAGCTGTCGGGCAACGTCTCGGCCGGTCTGGACTGGGGCCTGACGGACAGCAAAGGCAACTTTAGCCCGGACGCCGTCTATGTGCTGACGACGACGGACGGCGCGCGCATCATGGTGACAGAACGGGGGCGGGCGCCGAATATGCAGCTGCTGTTTGAGACGGGCAGCAGCAGCTACGGCTGGCTGAACACGGCGGTGGCGTATGCGAGCGGCGGGCTGACGGCAGACGGTGTGTCGCTGGACGTGTGGCAGATTTCATCACCAGCGGCATAGCGAGGACAACGGAGGATACTGACGACGGAAGTGGACCAAGGAGAGAAACGGCCCGAGGCCATGCCTGCAGGACATCCAATTCAAATTCATATTGTACAAAACACAGTGGCTAATCGACAATGCTCGTTGAAAACCCAAAACACGGCCCGGCAATCAACATCACGCCTGTGGAGGCGTCGGCGCCTTGTGTATTGGGGTTGCTGTAGAGGGTGCCGCCGCCACAGGCAACGCCGCCGACGGTCCCACGGCCACGGGCACGACATGCTGCGGTACCGGCGATGCCATGTCTGCAGCACCGGCCCCTGCCCCTTGTCCAGGCAGCTCGTGCGGGTACTGCGCCTGCGGAATGCCGGCCGGCGCTTCTTGGTAGACGACGCCCGGCACGGGCAGGCTTGGATGTGCAGCCGCATAGCCGGCCGGTGCCACGACGGTCTGCGGCTGCGGCGCCTGGCCCGGGGTAATGCTGTATCCTTGGACAAGGTAGGGCTGGGCGGCAGCCGCTCCATACTGCGGGTGTTGTTGGGCGTATTGCTGGGAGTACTGCTGCTGCCACACAGCCACGGCGGCCGCATCTAGAGGCACGCCGTTCTGGTCATACAGCTGGGGCGTGGGCGTCTGACCCACTGTCGGCACGCTGGCAGGACTGGACGGGCTGGCAGACGGTCGCGGGGGCGTGGGCGTCGAGCCAACCGTCGAGACAACCGCAGACGACTTGCCGTCGAGCTCGTTCTGGCCGGCCGGGAGGGCAACGGCAACAGCGGCAGTGGCGCCCGAGACGGGGACAGCAGCAGCACGCAGGGGACTGGCACTGCTATTGGCGGCGCTGCCATTGCCCGATGGACCGCTAGCAGGCGGGTGCGACGGCGCTGACGTCGTGGCGGCCGCAGCTCCGTCCGCAGAGAGTGCGTTGTTGCGCTTCGTGTAGCGGTAGACAAGAAACAGGACAGCACAGAGGGCGATGGCACCGACGGCCGCACCAACAGCAATGCCCGCGATCGCGCCTTTGGAGAGGCCATTTGAGGAGGACGAGACAGAGTCCATGTTCGAGCCAGAGCCAGAGGCAGAACCAGAACCAGAACCAGAACCAGAACCAGAACTGCCTGCACCGGCCGTCACAGTCGTCGTCGCCCCTGCACCACTGCCGCCCGGCGCCGTTTTTGTGGCGCCGCCCCCGTTGGTCTTGGTCACGGTGGCCGTCCCGCCTGGCACCGTGTATCCATTGGTGAATGCGTCCGTGTACGCATACGTCGCGCAAATGCTCTCGAGCGTCACCCACGCGCTAAACGCCCCCAGGTAGCCGCACGCCGACTCGACACACGACGACGCGGCCGTCTCAATGGCGACTGCGTTCTGGTACTTGCAGCCGCACGCCAAGTCGTGCGCGCTGCACGTCGTGTCGTCGGTGAGGGCGCTCTCAATGCACGGCGCGGCGCACGCGGGCACGCTGTCGGCGGCGGCCCGCCGGTCGACGTCATGGATGCCGCGGAGGATGCCGGGCAAGCCACGAACGTGGACGACGGGGGCTGTTGTGATCCGAGGCGGCGCTGGGGCGCCGTCGTCGGGGACGCCGGCCTGCCGGTCACGAGGACGGAGTACAGAGGCGCCGCACAGCGACGGCACAAGGCCGGCGAGGACCAGCAAGGAGCGGTGCATGGGGACGTCTAGTAAAGGCGTCGGCGGTTCGCAAACGATGGAGGTTCACCGCCAAGAGGCGTGTAAGTCGGCACAGCGACAAAGGGTGGCGGAAGACGCTGGACTAAAAAGGTGGCGTCGTTGGAGCCAAGGGGAAAAGGAGTGAACGGAGGGATGGACACGCAAAAGGAAAGGATAAGAGCGATAACTAGCACATCGTATGCACAGTCATACTCCGTGCCTCAGCTCGGATAGGCCGTCGGCCCGATCCATAAAGGCAGCTCAGAGTGGAGGGAAATGAGCGAGAAAAAGATGCCAGTCTGCCTTCTGCAGGTGCGCACAGGCGAGGCGTTCTGTCTGGTGGTGTCGGTGCGGGGGTGTTGTCTGTCGGAATCGGAAGGATAAAAGAAAAGGAAAGGAGGAGAAACAAAATAAAACAGCAAAACAGGGGGACAAGAAAAAAGAGAAGAAAAAAAGAAGTTGTATGCTGTACCTCCTACTATGGTTAATGTTTACAACATGCATCATTGGTATTCAGACATCTCACCCCGAGTTAAACAAAATCAAAAAGAAAGCCCGTGCCACAAGAGTCGATGACAGCATCATCGATGGTCTCGTCGACTCTCCGTCTGCTTCCCATTCTGCGTTTTTGTCATAACATCTGTTGATGAACCCGCTTCACTTCCATGTCATATTGACAGCCGCGTTCCTCACCAAACCAAGCGTCCTTATTTCCCTCTCCTCTTATCTGTACGACTCTCAGAGCGCCTCGTATCGTAGTACCGTCTCCCTCCTGATCCTGCCTACCAATTTATCCCGCTTCGGCCTAGCCACCATATCGACTAGCTCGCTAAACCCAACCCGCTGCCCCTTTTTCAGCCCTGGGCGCTTTTTCCATGTCAACAAACCAAAAGCCGCTAAGAGCTGTGAAAGCGCCGCCTTGATCAGCCAATATTTCTCCAATACCACCCGCGGACGGAACCTCTTCCGCCCAGCTGTCCTGTCATTGGCCAGCGAGGCCAGAACGTTGGATGGAAAAGGAGCCGAAAACCCGAAAAAGGAAAACTAATGCAGAGACAGGTCGTGTTAGTGACATTCCGATGGAGCCGCTTCAGACAGTTTTGGCCCCATGTTACAAAACATCTCGTCTCGGTGGGCGTCCATTTTCAAGCTGTTCATATGCCCACGTCACATAAATGTCTATTGATATTATCTGCAGTAATATGGCCCAAATCGATGTAAGGAATGTAAAGAAGTTGGAAGACGAAGATAAAAATTATGAAAAAAATAAAGAAATTGAAAGTAGAAGTGAATCAAGACGAAAAAGAAATTGAGATTCTCCAAACAAGACCAAAAATGAAACGCGCCGTTGGCTCGTTTTTGCATTACGTGCATTTGGATACAATAATGTTGGTAATCTCGACATTGGCACCGCTGTTTCGCACGGCGTTCGCGCCAAACGACAGCTGCGTCAGCGCCCCGTTCGCCGTAAACTGCACGGGCGGCGCGGTCGTCCACACGTTCGGCGGCGTGCCGGTGATCGGGATCGACTCGACGACGGTCGCGCCGCGGCTCACCGAAATCGTAGCGCCCGCGTTATTGCCCAGGACCCGGTACTCAAACGTCACCTGGTACGTGGCGTGGTTCGTCGTGCCCGTCGTCTGCGTGACGATGGAGGAGCCGATGCCCAGCGCGTGGAGATGGACGCAGCTGACGCCGTTGCCGTGGCAGTTGCGGGCGATGGAGGGCGCATAGAAGCCAAGGCTGCCCCAGTTGGGCAGCAGGAACGGGTCGGCAAAGCTGGGGTCCCGGACGATGTTGCCCGTGCACGTCGACGACGGGCTGTGCGAGGGCGCCGCGCTGGAGGACGAAGACACGGACGGCGCGACGCTGGACGATGGCACGGGCGAGGACGACGGCGCGGGGGACGACGACGAGGAGGGCGCGGAGGAGGACGATGCCGACGAGGAGACGGAAGACGAAGCAGAGGGCGACACAGAGGGCGAAGCACTCGAGGAGGCGCTCGACGACACGCTCGGTGCGACGCTGGAAGACGCGACGCTGGAGGACGACGCAACGCTTGAGGACGCGACCGAAGAGGATGCTACCGAGGAAGAGGCAACCGAAGACGAGGCGGCGCTGGACGAGGCGCTGGAAGAGGCGACGCTGGAGGACGCAACACTTGACGATGCGACCGAGGAAGATGCGACCGAAGACGAGGCCGAAGACGACGCAACGCTGGAGGAAGCCACCGAGGAGGACGCAGCACTGGACGACGCAACACTGGACGACGCAACACTGGACGACGCAACACTGGACGACGCAACACTGGACGACGCAACACTGGACGAGGCGACGCTGGACGAGGCGACCGAGGAGGACGCAACACTGGACGACACGGCCGAAGACGAGACAGACGGAGCCACGGACGACGAGGCAGACGACGACGGCACGACGCTGCTGGACGGCGAGGACACAACCGAAGAAGACGATCCAACCGAGGACGGGCCGACAGAAGACGATGGACCAACTGAAGACGACGAGCCAACCGAGGACGGGCCCGCCGAAGACGACGACGGTTTGGGCTTGCAGACGGAGCCGACGGCGGCGCCGGCCCAGGTCAGGCCGACGGTGAGGACGAGAGAGGCCTTCATATTGGCGAGATGCACAAGGAAAAGAAGGTGTTGGAGAGGTCAAAGTAACGAACGACGAGGGTGGCGAGAGGGACGAGCAAAGAGGAGACGCTGTGCCGGAGAGGAAAGGGATCGTCACGGCTTTTGTAGTTTGGGCCGAGACGGGGAGACGAAAAGGAGAGACAGTATCCTACGAGACCCACGTCTTACTCGATCTCCTACCCGACCATCTACGACTGTCTACGACTGTGGTGCCGAGAGACCATGACCAAAGGGCGCATATTGATATTGGAAACGAGGCAAGGCAAGCCTCGTTCTGCAGCCCACAGCGCGCTGTGACAGACGGGAATACGCACGCCTTCATGCCTTCATGAACAGGAGCCTGACACGCGGCGGCGTGCTGGCGTGCTGGCGTGCGGTGCTGTGGCTTTTTTCTGCGTGGTATTTTGGGCGTGGGCAATTTGCACAACGGTCCCAAACTGATCCCAATGCGGCAGTCAATAGTCTTGGTTCAACATAATGTTTCCTATTTTGTGCCAATATCGGGCGATGTGCTGACGGCCCCCGGCAGCAAATATTGACTGCACAGAATACGGGGTGCTCGTATGCCGTCGACGCTCGGCCAGGGATGTCTGTGTCATTGTGTCGTCGTCTCTTGCATGTCGTATTTGCGTGCTGGGTTTGTTTATCCTTTGGGTACGGTGACGCCACAGGAAGCCAATTTGGCAGGGCTGAGCCATGGATGCAACGGCTTCTCAAAAGGGGCAACACCGCGGCCTTCCAAGCGCTTACAAAAGTTCATGCTCTGTGCTCCCCTGGCGCCAAAGCAATAAAACACGCAGGACAGCCGTGTTGGTGGCGTTGGGAGCTAATTCGACTCTTATGCCCCCTTTGGCAGAAAAGGAGCTGACATGCAGAGTGCAGACGGAATAGGATGTATTTTGGGCGCCGGCCCTGAAGAGACGACGCTTGGACGGCCGCGTCCAATCATCGCAGGCGCTGGGTCTTGGCTGTGGAAATTCAATGTGACAGCTGGTAAGGGGCAGAAGCTTGCAACGTGGAAAGCTGTGAGCACAGAGCAGGAACAAGCAATTCGCGAGGCAGAGCCTCAACTTGTCGAAAAGAAGCGTTGGAAGATGACGAATAAACAGCCGTCGGCGTTCTTTGTGCTCTGTACTTTGTACTTTTTTGTATTCATTTATTCGTCTTGCGTTATCTGCACCTTAGCCAATCCAAATTGCGCCTTCTGATTGGTCGCACTTACAAGATAAAGGTTGTGAGCAAGCATCTCAATTAGGTGAAGAGTGAAGGGAAAGGAGTGAAGTTGGCTGGTGTTGCGGCAAGCGGTGAGGATTGCTCTTTGTCAGGTTATGGGTACGTGTACGGCATACAGTCATTGGTGTGCGGTTGGGTTTACGCGTACTCTTTACCACAGCACGGCGTGGACAGGCAAACGGAAAGACGATGAAAACGAATAGCGATTCAGTTCTCGATATTCTTGTACTTTATATTTTTTGTCATGGAGGATATGACATCTGTTTTAGCCTCTCCAACGCCTCGGACATCCCTGGATATCATCCAAAAACAACGCAAGAGAAAACAAACAACATCGTCCCCTACTTTAACAGCCTCCTTCTCCGCACCCTATTTGAACATTGACTAACAAGAGTCATGACAGCACGCCGTCTGCGTCCGTGCCGCCGTTGGGACGGGGCCGTGGCAGTCGAGAGCCAAGTTGGCGTCGTCCAGTGCGCGGAAGATGGTTCGACCCAATCCACTCACGTCGAGTATCTGCCCAACGGCCAGGTGCACCTGCAAGAAGTCGGGGAAGATTGGGAAGTACCGGTGTATAAAGGACCAGTGAATCACATTGTTGCGGTTTGCACCGCGTCGTTCTCGTGTAAAGAACCGAGCGCACACGGTATGATGTGGGCACAGTCCAGCGGGCCGCAATGCTGCATGCCACCGTCGACCGGCGGCGTCACCGACCCTCGTTGGAATTCGTCGTATTTGTGCGTAGCCCACACTCCAGTGTAGACGCACCGGTAGCCGTCTGGTGAGGCAGTCCTTGTGCAGCCTCGTCTGCTCGCGTCGCGCAGACAACTCGATGCTGGACATTGCCAGGTCAATGGCATCTGCGGCGTCTTGGCCGGGAGGCGTGCTCCATGGCGGTGGTGCGTGCCCGCCGCAAGGACAACTGGCCAGGGTTTGTCGGTATGAAATGGGCAGAGGGGCAGGAATAAGACAAAAAAAACACAAAAACAAGAACATAGAAACACAAAACATACATGGCTTGAGCAGTGCATTGACAAGGTGGCTCGCTAACGAGACCAGCTGCTCGTCATCCTGGCAACTGGTGATGTCAACTGGTGATGTCGACGGCCAAGTTGAATTTTCCGCGCTCAGACACGTGCTCGAAGAAGGCCGGCAAGATCTTCCACGCGCCGCAGTGGCCTTGCTGGAATTCCGTTCGGCCCAGTCGTACCTCAGCCTCCAGCAGTGACCTAGTTCGGTCTGAAAAGGCGGGCGAGAGAGATGGAGACGCAGATGGAGATGCAGATGGATGCTCAGACAGGCGGTAGTGTAAGTACTAAATGGATCCACGGCATTGTGGAGACATCTCATGCGCCAGTGAGCTGCAGTTGGTGGCCATGGGCCACTTCTCCACAGTCGCTCAGGTCAACAGGGCTGAAGAAGAGCGGCATCCTGAAAGGAGTATGTTGGAGGCAAAGGTGAGAGAAAGCAGAGGCGCTCCGAATCTGGTCTCTTTCCCAATTTGCAGGTTTGTTACCATTGCATCGTATACACGTGATTAGGACACAGTGCTAGAACAGTGTTATTCCAGTGTTTTAAAACGAACACTGTATGTACCTTCAGGGCTGTTATTGAGTTGACGGTGCAACAGAAGAATGTTGTCAGCAGCAGGACCCATTGCACGCTGCACAATGCAAGAAGCCATGTGCATGAACGCAAACCCCTGGGTCCTGCACACTGGTCGAAGGCGAATGCCCGAGACAGGCACTTGTAGAGAGCACGGCAGCAATGCACAGCATGAGGCACAGCGGAGGAGATCGTGGGCCTCAATGAACAGTCCAGTCTGTGAAGCTGAAGTATACGAGACAAGAGCCCCCTAGTCACATGTTACAAGGGTCGATGGTCAATGGGTGGAGGAATAGAGGTGGAGGGTTGAAATAGCAGAAACAGGAAAAGGGGGCCGTCAGAGACATCTGTGTGAAATCTATCCCGAAAATAGATTTGAACCATCGGAGTCGCAGCCAGGGACGGCGTCGAATGGGACCGCGGCCGTGTAATAGAATGCCGGAACGGGAGACATAATCAGCGACGTGCGCGGATCTGAAATGTGACAGAACAAGTCGACACGGGAACCAAGACTATCCGTCCACTGTTGGTTTCTACAGCAGATGTAGAGTCTCGGACGACAATGGTCAAGTTTGTAAAAGATGGATCCGTCGATGCTTGTCATTGGCTTTTGCAATGAACAAGTCCGGTGTGGTTCATGCGCCTGACGCCTGGGCTTTCAAAGCATCTGGATGAACATGCGTCTGTCAAAGGAATTGTTGACGATTGTAGGAACATGCCTGTTTTAGAACATTCAGCACACGTCGGCACAGCGGGCACCACCACGTCTCCTTCCTCTTTCCCGTCTCCCTTCCATGCTTGACCACTCTCTCGGTATCAGTTATCGCTTTTCTCGGAATGCGCAGAGGGAGAAGTGAGAACGTAAGGCAGAAGCCATGAGGCATCCGTGTCTGTGTCAGCAGACCGTCGTCCACGGGTGTCAAACGCAGCAACTGTGTCGTGGCGTTTCGTCTTGCCCTCTATCTGGCCAAACACAACGCGAGACGCCCGTATCTCTTCTTTTCTCTTTGTGTATTTGTGTCTTTGTTTGTGTACTTTTGCTGCCAGCAGAACACGGACCACATCATATGACAACTGAAAAGAGAACAAAAGGACGAGCTGTCGAAGACGGCAACACAGAGCCCGGCACAGAGGGGCCTTGAAAGACACGGGGACACAAGCACAAGAGTCCAGGTACCCCCCCCCCCCACCGCATGTACAAGAACGCAAATGCGTTGGGAGTATGAATCTGTGCTTCAGCGTGACACGACATGGAAGGGACGCGTTGACAAGAAAGGCATAACAACGTTTCGTGCACACCGTGGGTGTGCCGTTAGGCAAAGTCAATGGTCCGAGGACAAGGCGTTGTGCGAGCCTGAGCGGGTATGCCTCAAAGCAAGATGAGGGCGTCTACTCCGTATTGCTGTGTCCCAGTGTGTCCGTGTTGAAAATATGCTTAATCCTCTGCTTGGACTCCTTGTTGTCATACATGGAAAGTTGTACTCTGTACTCCGGCCGGCCACTGACGGTCAAAAGGCACGCTGGCTCCATGCCCAACAAGACCATATCGTACGTCGTACGTCGAGCGTCGTACATCGTAGAGCCGAACTGCCGTCATCAGTTGACGTCTTTTCTTTCCTTTTTTTTCTTGTTTCTTCTTCTTTTCAACGGCCACTAAAGCGTTAGTGCGCGGAACGATGGACCACATGCATTAGTGTGTGGGGGTCAAACGTCAAAATGCCAAATAAAAAAGTCGCAGAGCAAACAACGGCAACAAGACAATTGACATGCATGCTCCAGGTCGGCGACTATCAACAAGCGAGGGAGGGCCCAGAAGGGCAAAGGACGATGCGCTGTCAAGAATTGAGCAGGGGGGCACGCAGCAGGGGGTCCGGCTGTTGAGAGGCCCAGGCCAGCAGGGGATATGCGAGGAGGCACGCTGGTCATAATGACGATATTGTTCTGCTTCTGCAGCGCGAATTGACTATATTTGTATACTTGGCGGCTTCGGCTTTGGAGCCTCGTCCTGGCGTCGTTTCTCCGTCCAGTTTGGGCACGCCTCCTTCCAACCTCTCGTGTCCGCCAGGTCTCTCGGGGTCGTGTCTCGGCACTCTCGTCTTTGTCGTGCTCGCCACTGCCGGCCATCCTCGGCATGCATGTCATGGTCCACCGCTCTTTTCTACCGTTGCAACGATGCAGGCGCAGAACAGTTGGTGATCGTCGTCGCTTTTTCCTCTTTTTCCTCATTGCCTGTCTGTCTGTCTGTCGTCCATGAATACATCCCATCCGTCTGAAGAAAGTCGCAGGGGCCGGCTGGCCTATTGGAGCCGCGGGAGCATTTCGATGTTGTAATGGGCAGTGGACGGCCAACACATCAAAGCAACGCCGCTCCCGTGCTGAACGGCGATGACGAACAAAGAGACTGCCAAGAACGTCGAGGACAAGAAAAGGGTGTGCCCAGAAGCAGAGGCCCTTGGACGTGGCGGGCGTCGAGTGTCGGTTGTCTGCTGCAAACGAACCGAACTCGTATAGAGCATTCGTCGTGGGATGCAACGCATGCAACGCTCTGTGTCGTCTTGTCCACTGACGTGGGCTGTCATTGTCTTCATTGTCCTCGTTGTCGTTTTCTACGTCCGCACGTCCACATTGCCCATTGCCCAGTGCCTAATGCCCAGTGCCACCGTTGCTTTGCTCATTTTCGTCGCATCTCATCGCATCTCCATCGCATCTTCATCACATCGCCATCGCCATCGCCATCGCCATCTCGCCCATTCCCAGTGGCATGGCCATATCTTGGCAACTCGCCCGCCCATCCATCCACCCCATTTCCACCGCTGCTGTTGCGCTGTTCTCGTTGCCCGAACCCCAATCCTACCGACGACTGTTGAACCAAGGACTTGGGTAGACGATGGGGAGCACTGGACGTTCTCCCGCGCAATAAGACAGCTTGTTAAGGCTCCCCGCAACCTGGAAAAAACCCATTTGGACTCCACGTGCAACGGTATATGCGGGCCAGGGCCTGTCTATAGTAGGATTTGGTGTGCTTTTCGTCGGTTTTTCGACTTTGGGGCCGTTTTGGCGTGTGCCCTCCTTGCCCTCCACCGCAGAGACGCGGCTTGCTGCAACATCAATTGCGGCCCCGACCGCTACTTGGGTAGGAACAGGGCCGGGATGCACAGGGATGACGAGGACAGGGACGAAATACAAGTTGGCCAGTTTACAAGTTTGACGACACCAAACGCCTCTGTTGATGCAGGCCACCACAACGGAACGAATGCCAATGGAACGAGGCGACGGAGACGTCATCCATCGTTTACGGAAGACAAAGTCGACAGGGAACAGAACAAAGAACGCATGATCCGATGCAACAATGGAAAAGACGGTCAACGTCACAAAGGAACGAGAAGCGATATAGTCGTAGGGCCGGTACAGTATTGCCTGCCGATCGCTGCTGTCACGCCGCGGTCCAGACTTTGTCACGCAGAACTGCGTGTTGTCACAAGGGCCTTCTGGTGACTTTTGGCCCGTCATTTGCTCGTTCTCTCCATCGTCGACGTTTTTGCTTCGCATCCACCCACTCTGGCCCTACTCGACACACCCCTCCTTTGCATTGCATCCACGGACCGTTCCTCGGGATCTCTGTCCCTAAATAGGTCGGCCGTCCTTTTCCTTTCCTTTCTTTTCTTTTTTATTATTTTCATGTTGCCATTTGCCTGCCCGGATGACCGTACAAACAGACAGACAGCAGACAACGGACTACAGACTGCAGGCAACAGACAACAGACGCACATTTGCACATTCGCAAAATTGACGTATCATAACAGGGCCGTCGGCTCTCGTGAGTCCCATTCTGTCATATTCCTGTCATATTCCTGTCATATTCCTGTCATGTTTCTGTCATATTTCTATCATAACTCAGTCCTGCTCCGTGGCAGCCCCCATGCCTCTCACACTCCTGGTCAGAATCTTCTCCTTTCAGATAACAGATGTGCCTGCCCGCTGTCATCTGCAGGGCACGGCCAGACAGTCTGCAGAGCCTGCGCCGTGCTGTGGTACGTTTGTCAGGGGTGTCTGTCGTGCTCGTCGTTTGTGTGACATGCTTGCATATGCATATCTGCAAAGGGAGTACGGAGCACAGGCTGCAGATATGCACGTCAAACCAACTCGTCTAGACGCAAAGCACACTGCACTTATACTCCACGCACACACAGCACGTACTTGCACCCTCCCCATCAAATCACATCTGTAATATCCATCGATGGCCGCTCTCCCCTTGCTCTGCCTGCCCGAACCAAGACGCACGAAAGCGTGGGCGACAGCGTAGAGCGTGCGGAGACAAGCATCGGTCCAGCCTTTTCGTGTTCGTGGTCCGCGATGTGCCGCACCTTTGTCTCGCTGGGTCCCTTTGTGGTGAACTGTATATTGCGTAGTGTGTATTGTGTAGTGTGTATTGTTATTGTGCATCATGTTTTTTGGATGCTGTTTTGCTGTGCATTCACTCTTCAGAAGCGTCCCATACTCATGTACTCCCACTGTTTTCTGTGTTTATTCTCTTCTCACAGCAACGACGTTTGGACTCGAGGCCAGCTGCAAACAAATGTCTCGCTTCTCGACTGATCTATCTCTATATTGTATTCTCACTTTTCCTCGAGCGCCCCTAAAATGTGATATGAGATGCCGTTGTGTCCATTCTCGCCATCCGTCGTCTGGCCATCCCTCGTCTCGCCCGTCCCGCGGAACAGACGGCACATAATTTGGCTGAACCCGGACAGGAGCCTGGCAGAGACGAGTCCCGTAGGCTTGCGGTCGTCGTTGGTCTTTGTCTCTTGTTGTCTGGCACGTTTGCGTTGCCTTTGTCAGTTGTCACATTCTTTTGTTTTGTTTTTGCCGTCTTTGTATCGTTACGGCCGTCGCCGAGAACAATCGACAACAAAAGCCCCTGGAGAACGTGTACCCAGACCATGTTCTCATGTCCATCTCGCCTCCACATCGTCCTCCACTCACGCCCATGCTATTTCTGCTGTTACTGTTCCACGGTCCACCCTTTCTTGTCCATGGCGTCGTGTGATCACTTTACCATTGTTCATCGTCCCCAGCGACTCTTCACATTTGTGCCCATCGCTTGGTCGAGAACCCAGCAGCCATCGCTTCCACCTTCGTTGCCTCCCGACGGCAAGGACGGAAAGCCCACTGCACGTCTTTCAGCGCATCCACTGCAGCCCACAATGGTCCAAAACGCTGGTAGTCGTCCACAGCGGTGGCTTCTGCGTCTGTTTGTCTCTGTCTCCTCTGCGTGTCACTTTGATCTGTCATGTTCTACTGTCTCTCGTCTGTGTCTGACGGATCCTTGCCGTTGCCCTCTCCGTCCAGCCTCCCAGTCCCTCCTCTTCCAGTCTCTCACTCTCCCAGCCTGCCAGACTCCTTGATTCCCCTTCCCCTTCCCTTCTCCAGCATTCCCCGTCAATTCCCTCCTCACCTCGCACACTTATGTCGTTGCTCTCGTCTGATTCTCCTGCCATCTTCTTTCATACGTACTACTGTGCGTCCTCCACAAAGACTGGCTGACTCCACTTGCCGTTGACGACTCGTCCTCTCTCCGTCGTCTATAATTCTGTCACATTTTCTTGTGTCGTTCTTTCTGCGTCTGCTCTCTGCCCCAACGACAATACGAAGAGTTGCACACAGACGCGGCGACCGGAGCCACGCCCTTAGCCGGGAGGACCAGTCCAGACTGCGCCAGACGGGGCCAGACGGGGCCAGATTGGGAAGGAAAGCAAGGCACAGCAAGGGAAAGCATGAGGAAGCAACAAGAGGCCGAAACAGCAGAATGAGATATATTACAAGCCAATCACAGAGCCAGGATGCCGACAGAGGCGTCCTTTTGAATGCACTTGTGGTTGACGAGAGAAGGCGAGACGGAGGGTCGTGTCTGATCGGTCTCTTCCTCTGTCCCTGCCTCTGTCCCTGCCTCTGTCCTCGTTCAGTCTGTGTCCGTGGAGAAAGACAATGTCGACTGGATCCTCTGTATTCAATTCTATAAAGGAGCAAGGCATCCTCTGTCCATCTTGTTCACGAACAATGCACATTCGTCAACCTCCTTCACCTACCTCATTCGTTTCGAACTTTTCTTTGCCCTTGTGTCTTCCCTTTGTTTACATTCCCTTGCGCTTCACGTATCATCCCTCTCCTTTGTCGAACGTCTCGTCGTATTCTTGTCCTATGCTCTTTGTTCACCTGCCCTTATTGTTCATCTCCTATTGTCTGTTGTTTCGTGCAAAATCGTCGACACTGTAACTTCTCGTCGTCCCAGATCCCGTCCAGTTACTGTCTATCACACTTTGTTAGCCAATTCCATCGTATCGTTTCACCGTCTCTTACACCGTCCAAGCCCTGTCCTCTTTCGTTACTGCCAGCGTCTTCTTGCCTTCTCTTTGTTGAACCACGGGCACCCGCACAGAGGCAGCCAGATTTTGGAGATATACTGTCTGCCTCCTGTTCAAGAACCTCCCCGTCGTGAGACCTGCAGTTTATGGTACGCCAACTTGTGCTCAACCAATGTTTAATATTCTGTGTCCAGTTTTGCTGTCCCTCCTTCACCGACTCCATGACACACAGACGAACTTACTTGCTAACTGCGGCCGCTCTGGCAGTCACCCCATAGACCTTCATCGCACCGGCACGGCATTCCACGTCTTTGACGTTCAGCTTTGTTCACCCAACAAGCGGTGAACTCTTCAATTGTATGTGCATGGCTCTCTAGTGTTGTCAAATTGTGTGTCTGGGTCGTCCTTTCCCTGCGCGTGCACAAGTAGATAAAAATAAACAGAGAAACAACATGTGTGCCTTCCATATACTAACTGGGCAACAGCAAAACCCCGCATCACTCCTTCCCAAGCTGTACGTGCAACACAATAACCACGCACAGATACGCCACGAGTCATAACAGTACTTGGGCAACCGCCATTTTACAGTGGAGACAAAGGTACCTCCCAGTGAAGCCTGCACAGAGTTCACCATTCTCTTCCCAGGACCATAACATTCGTCTCTTGCTGTCAATATGCCAACCCAGTACTATCGTATCCGTGGAGAGGCTTTCTGCCACTGCGACCCGCGCCCGATGCCAGTCCAACAGCATCATTCGCATGGTGGCCAGCCCCATCGTGACCATATGGTGGTGCATCGTCGCCATTTCCACCAAGAACAAGAACAAGAGAATGAGCTGGAGCAGGAGCTGGAGCAAGAGAAGAAACAGGAACAAGAGTGCCACAAAGAAGCAGACACTTCTGTTGCTCGCCCGCGTCCTGTTCACCGCGCCGTTGGTCACACATCAGTGTTGCCACGCCACGGCGACGCCTCCATAACTGCGCATTCTGTTGCCCTTCCGCCCGCCCACGTTTCTGGCAACGAGATGGTCCGTTCTCTGTCCTGTTCCCATTCTACGCAGCCAGTGTCGTTGTCGATGTCGTTCTCGTGTGCTGCACGACCGGCTGGTCTGCCCGCACCACCGGCCCCTTGCCGTCCTGCCTATACATTGCAGTCGCCGCCGCAGCATCACCAGGTGACTCGTACCCGCCCAACGCAGACGAGCTGCCCATCCGTTGCGTCACGTCTCTCGTCGCCTCGCCAAGGTGACAACCGTACTATGTCGCCGTCCTCTTCCTTGCCTCCGTCCGCCCATCACGGACACCACTGCCTTTGTCTGCTGCCGCTGGTGGACAGCGAAGACGACAACAACTCCCAGGCCACCGGAGCCACCATGTACGGCACGCCCGCCAACAGCAGCCGCTTTGCGCAGTGGCTCGACGAAAGCGTCCATGTCCCGGGCCGTGTTGAGCGCTACAACATGGCCGACTGGGAAGAGCACGTATGTTCCTCTCCTTTATTTTTATTCTGTATTTTGTGTTTTCTTTTTTTTTTAGCCCCGATTTCTCCGTCCTCCCCGGCTGCCATGCGCTCCTTCCCCATCTGTCCCTCAACGCCCATGCTCCCTGGAGACCGGAAGACCAAAAAACCCAGGCACGTTGCTGCCTCTTGCCTCTTTGGGTTCCTTCCTCATCTGGCGATTTGTCGCTGTTGTCTGCCTTCTCCTGCTTTCCATATATTTGGCCTTTTTGGCCTTTTCTCCCTCTCACTTTTCTCAACTTTTCTCTCCTTTCTCGTCATTCGATTTTGTCTAGGATTCGTGTTTTCCAGCCCTTCTCCCATCTCCATTACTCCGCTTCCAGCTCCTCGTCACGCTCACCGTCACGTTCCACATCATTACCATCATCGTATTTATATGTTTCCACATCATTATTACTATACGCTGTTGTCACAGGTCTTGACAAGGCTTCATCTTTTCGGCTTGAACAGTGTCCCTACCACCTGCCATCATCCTGCCGTTTTCTTTCCTCTTTTCTAGACTACTCTCTACATTGCCAACGTCTTGTCTCACTCAACATGACGTTAACTTCGGATCCTCAGAGTCCTAACAGGACAATATCTCTTCCACCGTCGCCTTCGTCGTGTCGGTCGATGGAGCTATCGTCCACTCCTGGTACGTGTTTTCCGTCCTTCTCCGCCGTCCTTTTGGACATTGAACGGCCTGTCGTCGTGTTCCTGAGACAAGACGTTTCTCCACCGTGCCGACCCAGATCAATCCATATTGATCCATATTGATCCATCCTCCCGCATGTCCTTTGACAATACGTTTGAGACAGCACACATTGGGCCTCAATAGCTAACAAAGGAACCGGATGTCTCAGATACCCAGCAGGCCCACATGAACAACATGAACGCCGGCTTGGACGTCAACATGGAAGTGCAGTATGCACAGGCCGTTCACCAATCCGTCCAGCAGCAGCAGCAGCAGCAGCAGCACTCTCACAACACCGTCCAGGTGAACAACAGCTTCTTTGGTGGTGGTCAGGCGATGTATCGCCAGGAAATGCAGGAGAGCGGTGCGTACGAGCTCGGCGTTGAATCGCTGCCTGGTCTGCCTTGTGGTCCGGTCGAGCATTCCCACATCATGGGCAACGCAAACCTGGCAGTCCACACTGCTCCCGTGCCGTGGAATGGCTTTGCAGCCGACCTGTGGAACCAATACACGCCTCCTTTCATGGCTGCTGGCCTCTCGTCGTCTGGCTCGGGCATCTCCATGATGCGCACAGCAAGTGCAGCTTCGGCTGCTTCATACATGTCTGGCCTCTCCGCCGCAGTCCATCCTATGGTACGAGCTCTCCCTTTGTTTTTTTCTTCTTTTTCCTCTTCTTTTTCTTTCTGTCGTCCCACATCCCATGCTCCCAATCTTCCACCCGCGTCAGACTTACACGTCTGCTTCCATCGATGGCCAGTCTCCACATCGTCGTCAAAGAATCATCAGACTAACAAACGCTCTCCTTCTTGCAAACGAACAGACGCCCCATACATATGGCTTTCCAGGTGCATATAATGGACAGCATCCATGCCCTGTCAACAACACCCTCTCGCCGACCACCATCGGTTATATGGGGCAGTCTGGACCGGTTCATTCTGCCAACCAACACCACGGTATCACCAATGCTCCAGCTCACAATTATCCTTTCCACACGTCTTTCAACGACGCCGTCGACAAGCAAACCGCTCGGCAGGGCCCCAGCATGGCTCGGCGCGCCTCCCATCATCAGGTGTCCACGATGCCCATGCAGCCGTCCCCCATCCTTCAGTCTGCGTACCCGATGGAGCACCAAGGAAGCCAAGAGTGGCAAAGCCAGCGCAGCCAGCCCATGGGTTCTTGTCTTTCCGCCCAGTCGTCTGTGCATCACGAAATCAACCACGATCACGACCACGAGCTGCACCCGTCCCTGTACGCACCTCTCAGTCTTCCGCGTGCACTGTTGCCCGACCCGCTCCATCTTGAGAGTGCTGAGCCCATGCGCAATCAGCCTCACAAACGCTCGCATCCTGGCAATTACACCGAGGACACAGCTCCTGCCGAGCCGGTAACCAAGAAGCCGAAGACGGCCGCTGGGTCTGTGAACACTGCTTCTAAGGACACTCCTGCAGAGGGCAGGGACACAGCCTCCCGCTGGGCAGATGTCTCCATGGAGCCCGACGTCGACGCCGACCACTTCGACATTAACGAATATCTCCAGTTTCCACCGGCCAGGTCGTCCACGCCGCCGGCCGAGCAAGCCACTGAGCAGGACAGCGCCCCAGAGAATCTGCCTCTGAGCCACACCGAGAACAACACGCTGGGCCTCGCCACCACGACAAGTGTTGACAGCGTATCCAACGCCGGCGGCCGGAACCTCACAGTCTCGACCCCCGTTCACGAGCACGTCGAGGCGTTAGCCCCGGCGAACCCTACGGTGTCCCCCAAAGACCTCCACGTTCATGCTGATTCGCCCGATCGTAACATGGAACCGGCCATCAATAGCCAGCAGTTTGAGCACGCTCACGGTGTCCATGGCCCTCTTGAACCCCATGTCCCTCTCCAGAACATCGAGGTCATCCAAGCGGCCCACGCGAAGGATCTACCTCACCATATTTACACCCCTTTTCAACCGCATCTGGACCAATTTGGTCCACTGGGCCGTGCCGTCCACGTACCCACTGCCGACCCTTTTTTCTACCCAGGACTTGGTCCCATGATGCCCGCTCATCAAGTCCACAATGCCAACACACACGATCAGGCCCACGCCCAAACTCAATTCCATTACCCCAACCCCCCTCTCCCACCGCATCTACATCCGAGTTCGTTTGAAGGCAGCCACAATGGCATCATGCACAACTACAGCAACGACCACGGCCATGCGCCCAATGTCGCCGGCAACAGCCTTGCATTCACTGCTGGCCAGAATCTGCCCATGATGTCCACAGAAACAAACGGCTCCGCCACGTCAACCAGCGCCACCGCGTATCCGAGCTCAGCTACAAATACGATTACCGGAGAAACCGCCATGACGCCTCCTGAGAACAATCCTGCTCCGCCTTCCCGCAACAGCCGCAATCGTGGCGGCGGCCGCCGTAACAAGAGTGAGCCGCCGAACAAAAGCAGCAGTCGCGATGCCAGCCGCCAGGGCGACCCCCGCCGGCAGCAGGAAGACCAGTACATGATGCAGATGCATCGTGAGGCGGGCTGGACCTTTTCTAAGATCCAAAAGAGCGGTGAGTTCAGTATCAACGAGTCCACCCTCCGCGGCCGGTACCGCACTATGACCAAGCCTCCCGAGATGCGCGTGCGTAAGCCGAAATGGGACGCACTGGCCGACTCCCTGGTTTTACAGTTTGCTGGCGAGCAGGCCGACGCTCAGAACCGGCCCATCGAGGAGGCCAAAATCAAGTGGAAGGTTGTTCAGGCCCAGATGGTCGAACGAGGGACATACAGCTACGGCTATTGTACCTTGAAGAAACGATGCCTCTTTCTGCTTGAGCAAGCCAAGGCCAACAAGGAACGTACACAGCAGCCCAGCACGGAGGGCACTGTCGGCGAGCAATAAACGGACATGGCCGACCGCATTAATACGGTAACACGGTAGCGCGGCGGTCAACGGACGGCTGCTAGCCGATGCAGCGCCCGTCCAGTAATGTCAATGTGTCTGTGTTGTACCCATTTTCACTGTCGCCTCACAGGTTTGGAATTTCCATTTTCTTGAATTATTGTACGAGGAGAACAAAAAAAAAAAAAAAAAAAAAAAAAAAAATTTCCATCGTTTTGATTGCCGACATCTTATTTAGCGATTGTCGCATTACGCCGCGATCAACCAGATCAACATATCCTTGAGATTTGGCACGATTCAACAGCAAGCAACATTTGGTATAGCGACCATTACGAACACTTGAACAACATCGGGAAGACGACAGGGCATTTTACACAGATACAGATTCGGACATTTCAGAGAGACATGACAAACGGTACATGGTTGGGCGAAGGATATTGGTTTTCTTTGCTTTCTTTATTCGATGTTGTAAGGTAGATACATACATAGCATATTACAGACACCACGCCTGAAATGCATTTCAGCCGTCATATTAGCATAGCTCATAGCAACTTGGGCCCTAGGAAGAAGAGGGACACGGGCGACATATGGCCAAGTTATTTAGTTTCTCATTACATTTGTTGTTGTCAATACGCATGAACCACTCTGCACGCGAGAACATTCTACATGAACGGGCTAAATAAACACTGGAGCGGCCGCCTCGCTCCTCACACGTCACAAGGCCGACGGCGATGGCCGTTCCCGCACGACTGTCCCTGCCTTTGCCTCTGTCGGCGACACACCAATCTGCGCCAACACGCCGCCCAGCCGGCCCGGATCGCTGCGCAGCGCGTCCCACTCGGCCTCGTTCTTGACCAGCGCCGTGCCCGCCAGCACCGTCCCGTTCAGCGAAAGGTGGTACTGCTTGTCGGCGCCGCCCTCGGCCGTGCGCGGCAGGAGCGCCATGGTGCGGTGCGTGAGCGCGAGGTTGTAGCTGATGGAGGCGGGCACCGCGCCCGCTTCTTCGGCGGCGGCGTCGACGTCGACATCGACGCCGCTCGCACCAGGGACGACCGCCGCGGTGCCGTGCGCCGCGGCGCGTGCTTGCCGGTACAGGTCGAGGTAGGTGGCGTGCAGCTGCTCGGCCGAGGGGGCCCGGCCGTTGTCGCCGTCGTTGCCGTCGCCGCCGTCGTCGCCTCGTATCCGTGCGGCCGCGACACAGAACGGTACGGCCGCGTGGTCGTCGAGCAGCTTGTCCGCCAGCACCTGCCACTCGTCCACGGCGTCCCCCGCCAGACCCGCGCGCATCGGCGCCACGGGCAGCAGCTGCAGATGCCGGTGCGGCTGGCTGGCGCCCGAGTGCCGGCCGCTGTTGTAGAAGACGTACAGCGCCTCGCCGCGGGCCGCGTACGCCGCAATGCACGCGTACGCCGCCGCCAGGTCCGCCGGCGCCAGCAGGTGGCTCTGGGGCCGCCAGGCGGTCGTCGCCAAGATGGCGTGGTCCTGGCTGACGGCAAACTTGTTGAGAACGAGGCGATGGGTGCCGCCGTTGACCTCGGGGCACACAACGAGGCCCGGCGGCGGTGCCTCGAACGGGTCGTACGGCGTCTTGTCGCCCCCGCCGGCGTGGCCCTCGTCGTCTTTGGTGTCCTCCCTCTGGCTCTCTGCCTTGGGCTTCTTGGCCAGCGCCGGCGCAAAGCGCAGTTGGAACTGTGTCGGGTCAGTTTTGCCGTCATTTTTCATGTGTATGCCGTGTCGCGACCTACTGGCACGCCCTGCACCCGCAGGAGGGCGACTTGCGTCGGGAAAAAGGTGAGGTCGCCGGCGGCGCGGGCGCGGACAAACGCGGCGCGGACGAGGTCCGGCAGGTTGGCAGGCACGGCCGGCATTTTTTATTTTTTCAAGTCAAAAAAGACGAGAGACGAAAGAAGATACTCTGCAATAATAGGCACCCCAACTCAATAGCAGGTTGACCTCGCTGGTACGGTGTCAAGGCACGATGGGTGGATACTGTGAGCTGGAAAAGTGACGTCGTGCAAAGTGGGGTGCAGCAGTAGCGGGTATCACTTAGTGAGTTAGGGAAAGCTTTCTGTGGTGCAGCAACATTTGCATGTCTAGCGATGGCGGCCATCATGATATTGTTAGTCACAATAAACAGGCCCAATATTCCAAAATAAAATAGATATAATGCGTCTAGCAGTCTGTCCAAGCAGAGGATTGAGCAAACAAACGGCAATGAAGAAAGAAAGCAATGCCAAAAATACATGTAAAAGGAACCAAAAAAGAGCATTAAAGCTCAAGACAGCACAACAGACAAACAACGCCAGCCAAGTCCAACCCTCCATTTCGCCACAAAACCGTGCTCAGGCGTTTACTTCCGCCGTAAACTGCCAAACCGGCGCTTTATGCCGTCCGTGAGGCGGTTCGAGCCGCTGCGACTGAGGCCACTACCGTCGTTGGACACAGCGAGTCGGTTGGGATCCGCCGAATCCAGATCGGCACCCGACCTCCATGCCGAGGGACCTGCTTCCGAGGCGTGGCTGAAGCTCCTACGCCGTGTCGACTCTGTTGCTCTGCCTTTGGATGACAGCAGTGGTTCTTGGGCACCATCGCCGCGGCGGCGGCCGCTGCGGCTCTCCATCTCGAACACCATGGAGGGGGGCGCACCGTGGCTCAGCGACGAGCTGTGCTTGCGCAGCTTTCCGTTGTTTTCCTTCATCGCCTTTTCAATCGAGTACGACGGCTCGCCCTTGCCCTTGAGGTCGTCGGGGTGGTATTGCTGAATCATGTTAGTAACGAGACATTCATATGGTGTAGAGGATAGGCTAGCTATACGTACAAGAAAATCATACCGCCGGTACGCGCCACCTGGGGCATCCGGCTCCCGCATTAGGTCGGCACCCTCCTCGTAGTGCAGCACATTGCCGTTGCGGTCCGGCATACCGGACGGGATGTTGGATGTGCCCTGCAGCGGAACGTGCTTGGACAACGAATCCTGAATGTATTCGCGCGGTGTTGCCTTGAGGGCTTCGTTGTTGGAGTCCTTGACGGCCTCGAGCGGCGACTTCTTCTTGTTCCTGTTAACAGCCGCTAGTGTCGCATCGTAGGGACCCTCGTGGTGGTACACAACACCGCCAACGCGGTCGAGGGAATCAATCGTGTCGGCATACGGCCGGCTGTGCCGGGACCGGTGCTTGCGGCTAGAGCTGCTGCGGCGCTCGCGCTCGCGCTCCTCCGTCGGCTTCGGCTTGCTCATTTCGGGTGATTGGTGCGACATTGTGCCGGTGATACGACGAAGAAAAGAGCCGGTTCGACGCAGAGGTAGAGGAGGACTGGTTGGTTGCCGGGCTTTTGGGGGTGTTGGAGGCCGGACTGTTTGTGTTGGTGACAGCAAAGGCCTGTTGACGTAGTTGCTCGTCCGGTCGGCAAAGACTTCACCAATGATTTCCGCAGTACCTTGGGTTCGATGGGTCTGAGGCGGCTTTCTTCCCACTTTGAGGTTGTTCGGCCGGGGGCTGGATCTTGCCTTCTGAAGCCGGGCGGAAGTTGCTGGCTTGGGCGGAGGTGGCGGCGGTAGCTCGTGGTTCTTTGGTGGCGGCACGGGCTTTAGATTTTGGACACTGACTGACACTGTAGTAGCTGTAGAGTTTTGAGTGTCGCTTCTGACGGGCTTCCTTCTTATGGGCAGCTGCTGCCTCTGGCTAGCAGATGTCTCAAAATTGGGAAGCTGCTGTGCGTTCGGATTGAGACTCTGACTCCGTGCCAGTGTAGGAGGTCGTTGTGCGTGTGTATTGAGACTTTGGCTGCGTGTCAAGACAACGTCTGCGGGTGCCCAGTCTGCAGGAGGAAGATACGAATGGCGACGGCCTGGAGAGAAAGGCTTCGGATGGTGAATCTGGAATGTAGAGCGGGTTGGGCTGCTTGAGTCGGGTGGCGTTGGGTAGCCGCTGTGACGTCTTTGCAGAATGTGGAGCGGTACTTCTTTGGGCTTGCAGTTGAGAGAAAGCGAGCGTCGCGGATTGAAGAACGAGCTCCCTGGTCCGTCCAATTGGCTTGGTTCGGGAGCTGTCAATGGGTCAAGGATGTACCTCTTGGCCTATGTTGATGTTAGGCAAAGTTGGATATGAACGCTGGCGATGAAATGATTGTAGCAAAACGCAAAAGAATAGGCTGGAAATGGAAAGAGGAAACGAGTAAAAGGGAAACAAAAAAGGACCTGGGAAACAAAAACCAGGCAACACCTTAAAGATAAACGTCAGGGTAAACAACAGGAACAGGGCACTGCGAACGAGGACAAAGGGAAGGCCGCGTGGTCGGTGAGTAAGCGGTGGAGAGCAGAACACTTCTGGTGCGTGTTGTCGCCGTTCTTGGTGTCAGAATGAAGACCTCGTCGGGCGTAAACCAGTGGTCTCGCTATTGCGTAGTCCTAGTCCTGTCGCAGTCTGGCATAGCTTCCGTCGTAAAGGAGGGTGTGTAAGTGAGAGACATTGGGCGTGGGTCTCACTATCAGTCTGTGTATCCACACTGACAGCATTCCGGATTCGGGTATGACGCAAGTTATTTTTAGGGACAGGCTTGATTCCCAGTGCGATCGGATCGGCAAGGCACGCATCGATATTTTGTCTCGCAGTGGAGCTGGCGCGCGAAAATGCAGAGAAAGTGCCAAGATTTGTCGCTGCCAAATGGCCAGTAGTCCGTATAGGATCCCAGGGCATCCCGGCATTCCTGGCAACACGTATGGAGAGCCATGATGTCAAGTTGCCATCAAACGTGTGTCTGAAAGCCGTGTCCAGACTCGCAAATCCATCATCGGCCTCGTGCAATTGGCTCGACGGGCTCCACTAGAGCTTTACGAAATATCCTCTGTTTGTCAACCGGCTGGGCCGGGGTGCAAACTGAAATGTGACTTGGCTCGACATGTGCACATGGCAACCAGAACCTGCGACGAGTGGATGGAAAGGAACAACGGGAAGAGAGCAGAAACAGATGAGACGATAACGACCTAAAAGGAGATATAAAGAGAAGAGACAACTCACCCATTCCTTGTCCTCTTTTTCCTTCTTGGTTTTGCCCATCTTTGCAACTTTGTCGGCAGCTCAATGGGCAACGTTTGGTATCTTTGTGGAACTAGTTGTCTCCTAGAATACACGAAAATGGAGAAAAGTCTGCTAAGTAATTGATTCTGGTTGTTTGCGCCCACGATACGATGCGAAGCTATCAAGGTCGACGGCAGTCTGAGTGGGAATTGCTGATCTGGTTCGTCCCGATGGGAACAATCGTCGCAGCGCAGTGTTGTGGGGAGGCGGATGCAAGGTATTTTGTGTCCACGGAAATCGACCGCGAATGCGAAAAATAGGCCCGATCGTGTTCTAAAAGCTGTTGTTGGGATGATGCTTCTGCGCTGGCCTGGTCGTCGATGGTGAGAGAGAGAGACAGAGAGGTCTCGAAAGGAAGAAAAGAAAAGAACGGAACGAGATGGTCGGTAGAAAGACAGAAAAGGGGGCAAGGCATTGAGAATCACCACTTGGGGAAGGCGTCAACCTTGTCACAAAACTTGTCAGGCACACTGTCTATTCAAAAAAGGCAAGGGCGGTTGTTAAAGACATCTTGTTTATGGGTTGGTAAAAGCCGCGGAAGGAGGTGAGCGGGCGTCGTCAACCAGCCGTTTTGATGTGCCGGGCAGGCGCGATGGAACGAGAACGTGGACGCCCCGGGTTGGGCAGTTTCCTTCTTGACGGGTTGTTTCGCACCATTTCTGACTCCTTCCGTTTCTAGCTCCGTTACTTTCAGAGTACCCTGGGCGTGTAAGCACAAACCCTGCATGGACTGGCCTGGCTCCTGGCTTGGGACATCTCGGGCGTTTCTCCGATAAGGCATTCCGTCATTCTGCACGATCCGGCCGTACCACGCCACAGACTCACTCCCAACGGCAGTTTGAAGACGCGACTCATGATGCATGCAGCCTTCAGCCGCTCCATCGTACTGCTGTCTGCTATCTGCAGTCTGCAGTCTGCATCTCTGGCTTTGACAAAACGACACATCGCCTCGGCATGCGCCCTGCCAGATTCGCGACAATGTACGGCTTGAATAATCCTTGAATAATTTTTGAATGATCAGGACGCAATGCAACACCGCAGAAGTCCGCAGAACTTGCAAGCGGCCAAGTCCTTACGTGTGTGCATATGCTGTCATACGCAACTGGGCGCAATCTGCCGGCTTTACCCCGAGGCAAGATTAATGCTATAGGCACATATATCGAATAAGACGAGTCCGTCTAAAAGGAGCCGACGATTGGATCGGGAAAGCGGAAACACGCATGGATAAAGGTCAGTGTGGAAGGCAATTAAGATGCAAAAATGTCAACTCAGTGCAGATGAACGACAGCAATGTATGCAGAGTGAAGAGAATGATGTATATACTGCAGGGAACACAGGCAACCTCAGAAAACAGAGAGTGAACCGAACAGTAATCAAAATATACAGTGCAAGATCGTGTCTGTGCGAGGGACGACCATGACGAACAAGAAAACCATGTTTGCTGTTTCACTGTCCCCTGTTTCTAGAAGCCTTCGGCGAGCCGTCGCCAGGGCCCAGACGCTATAAGTGCCGCTAGTGGGGCCGCTCTCCTACTGGACACGACGTCACGTCTGTGTTTCCTTCACGTGATCGCGTCACAACGACACAAAAGCATCATCGACAATTCGACAACAAGACGTTTCAACAAAGCACTGGCGAGTTGTACCATGGTACCACGGCGATTCGAAATTCATACACACAGAGGAACGGGTAGGAGGCCGGATTGGCGGGACGGGGCCGCCAGCTTGTCAGTCGCTCACTATGGGGCTCGTTGACTACACGTCAGACGACGAGGACAGCAGCGGTGGTCAGGATGCCTCAGCCAACGCGCTGGACGAGACGTCGGCTCTTCCGCCACTGCCTCGCGCGTTCCACGACCTCTATGCCTCCACCGTCCGCACCGCCCCGGCCGACGACCCCAGCCTTCACCAGGGCCGCCAGCGCGCCATTCCCCACGTCGCTGGCCAGTGGCCGAGCCATCTCTACATTGAGTGTAAGGGCGCCCTTCTTCGTTCACACCCTGCTGGACATCTCCCATCTAACATGGCAGGGTTCCCCCAACCACCGGAGCATGCCCATCTGAGCCGGCTGCTGGACATGCTTCGCGCAGCTCTTCACGGTGCCCTACAAAGCGGCGGCGGCGGCGACGACGACGACAACGACGACGCCGCGCCTCTGTTCCATTCGTTCCTGACGAGCGACCTGGGCGCGCCGCTGCCGCTACACATCAGCCTGTCGAGGCCGTTTGTTCTCACCACTGCTGAAAAGGCGGCGTTTGTGACGCGGCTGGAGGACTGCGTAAAGGCATCCGGCGTCGAGCGCTTCGACGTGGCGTTTGGCGGCCTGGATTGGCACCGCAGTCCGGACTCGGCCCGGGCCTTTTTGGTCTTGCGCGTCGTCGTCGTCGAGGACAGACGCCGGTCCAGAAACGAACCGCTCGTCAGCCTCCTAGAGCAGTGCAACAAACAGGTGACGGACGCGGGCCAGCCGGCGCTGTACACGAAATCGCCGGCCGTGGCCGGCGACGACAGCGATGTGGACCCTGCGTCGTTCCACATGTCGGTCGCGTGGACGTTGGCGCCCACGACCACACTTGACGCATGGGCGGACGCCACACAAAACGCATACGACGACTGGCAGCAGCTGAGAGCGGGCAAGGACGAACCGCCACTCACTTTTGCCGTGGAAAGCATCAAGGCCAAAATTGGCAACGTGGTCACAGACATTCCACTCCGGCCCGCGTCCATTGCAGCATCCGCCTCAACGACGACGACGAAAACAACAACGGACGCGGCGGTGGACCGTCTCCCACGGCAATCAAAACGGTCGCGATCGGATAGCAGCGACGCGCTGTCTGAACGGCGGCGCAACAGCAAGAAGAGCCTGTTTGGATTGTGAGCGCCTTGGACGCTCTCAACGTATTGCTTCAAACTATGTCCGCATTTTGATACCACGTAAACTCATTTCTATTTGCAACAACGACTCGACGTGCATATGCTGTGATAAACTCAAAATCGAGCAATGGTAAAACTCCTGTCCTCGAAAAATCATGCAGACTTTGGGGACTACTATATGTACGGAACCGAGGATGGGACAATATACAACACGAAAACAGTAACACAAATACAAAAGACACCGGTTCCCATGCAAACCCAAACTTAAGAAAACAAAAAACAAAACATGTCATGCACAGCGCCGATGGGCCAAAGGTGCAGTCGTGCGTGGAGCGTCCTACAGCTCGTCGAGGTTCGGCCGCTGAAATTTCCACGTCCGCGGATTCACGGGCAGGCCGATAAAGGCCTGCCATCCCCGCACCAGCTCGGACGTGAAGATGTCGAAGAATGTCTTGGGGAACGAGACCCAGTGGCCGATGACGACGCGGAACGCGCGGTACACGCGGGCCAGCTCCTCGTCAAACATTTCGCGCACCGTGGGCTCCGCCGACATCTTCTCGTCAATCTCGTCGAGCACCTCGTCGGCGCCCTCCTCGATCTTGTACTTCTTGGGCGACGCGACGACATGGTGCGGCTTGCGGGCGCGGTCGGGGAGACGGCTTGCGGGCTCGGCGCCCGCCGTCGTCTGGTCCTCTGCCGTGGCCGCGGTGATCGCCGCCTCCTCGTCGGCCGCCACCATGCTGCGGAAATTTTGAATGTTGGCCAGCGAGCTGCTGAGGCGCGCATACGTGTTGAACAGCGACACCAGCTCGGTGCGCTGCAGCTGCGGAATGGCGCCGTCGTTGTCAAACTCAAACAACACCTTCAGGGCCGTGCCGTAGCCGGCCGTCTGCAGCTTGCCCCACAGCCGGCACTTGTCGCAGCCCACGCAGTCCATCAGCCGGCTCACGTTGCGGAACCGGTTGCGGAAGTCCTCCTTGAGGGACGGCCCCTCGCCGTTCATGAACATGAGCGACTCGTCAAAGATTTGCGGCACGCTCGCCGCCGTTTGCGTGACGGCCAGCACCTTGTCGCGCGTCAGGTTGTCCTGCTCGGGCTCGCCGCTGCAAAAGATGTAGCGCTCGAGGTGCGGGCCCAGCTTGGCCACGGCGCGCGTGAGCAACGCATAGTTGAAGTACAGGTTGCTGATGCGGTCGGGGAACCGGTGCAGACGGTCGACGTAACAACTGACGTTGGGCGTCCACTCGCCCGTCGTCTGGTTCAAAAAGTCCCAGCACAGGTGTGTGCTGATGGACGCGTGCATGCCCGACATGAGCCGGTAAAAGACGCGCTTCTCAATGCACTCGTCCTCGGCCTCGAACCCCGTCTTCGCCACAAACGGCGTGAACGGCTCGACCTGCCGCTGCTGCTCCAGCACCTGCTGCCGGCCGGCCGCCTCGAGCACGGACCGGAAATCAATGGCGGCCGGGTTCCTGGCGGCCTTGTCGCCGGCCGTCTCGAGCTGCGCCGAGTGCGGGAACGAGCTCTTTTGGAAGCAGTTTTCGCGGTAGATGGCCTCCCACACCTGCTTGGCGCCGTCGCCCGCGTAGCCCGTGAAGCGCTCCGGGTTCTGCACGAGGCTCACATAGTCCCCCTTGGACGCTGCGCTCTCGTCCTCCGGCACACAGTAGTCGCGGTCGTCGCACTCGTCGTCGTACTCGACCACACAGCTCTCGCCGACGTTTTCGCCCAGGCGGCCCTGCAGCGGCCGCCGCGGCCGCTCGCGCTGCGTCGACTTGCCCGGGTGCTCTGCGGAGGGCCCTTGCAGCTTGCCGAGCTCGCTGGCGCGCCAGACTTTGGGGATGTCGTCTTCATTTTCGAGCGTCTGCACGGCACAGGCAATGTTGCCGCACATGCCGTTCTCATCGTCCCAAAACGGACATTTTTTGTGGAAGAGGTTGACGCGGTAGTGGCTAAAGAAGTCGGTCGTCTGCGTGAGGTCGGTGATGGCGGGGCTCAAGCGGCTGTTGAGCTTCTCGAGGGTCGAGTAGGAGGCACATGCGTCGGACACAATGGCCTTGGGCGAGATCTGGTAGTAGGAACGGTTAGAGACGATGAAGCGAAGGTCGGCCTCGGCGGCAGAGGCCACGTGGACCGCGGTCAGGAGGAGAAGGCCGAAAAGGCCGCAGAGCGGCGCCATGGAGAAGGCAACAATGAACAATGGGCAGAGGGGCTAAACAAAATAACAAGCAGAGAAGGGTGATCTGCGGCGTACCAAGCAGGCATCTGCATCGTGTGGGCTCTTGCACTGACCCAGCGGGCTCCAGAGTGCAAAGATGCTGAGAAAGAACAGCTTGGAAGCTGGTTTCATGGCGTCCCGGATCGAAGCGTCTCCCAAGGCGAGGGGAGACGAAGGTGGGCGGTCGGGAGAAGAAATAGAGACGGGGTTCTATATTCCGTAGAGTGGGATCAACCACAGTTGACCGTGGACACAAATCTCTATTTTAATATATGTGTCCGGTGGCAATCGGCAGTGGCAGGAGCGCAACGTTGTGTTGGGGAAGGCGCGGGTCGGTAGAATCAAAGCAGTAACTGGCATGGACGTCGGGAAGGAGCGAACTGAGGATGAAAGACACTGTCGCAAAGCGCAGGAAGGGAAAGAACCAAGAGGCGCAAGCGACGTATTGATGGCTGGCGTAGCGATTGCAGGTTCACAGGGTCTGAAACAGCGAAGCAGCCAGCACAGAACGCTACAGAGCGCTTGTGTTTGGGCGAGAGACAGGCGGTGGTGATGTATTCTGTAACTGTAGAAATAAAGTGTGTCTGCTTCGTCCGGTGTTTAATATCGAGCGTAATTAACCGGTTGGAGAGAAGAGCTGGAGGAGAAGAGAGGACTGTGTATGAAGCGTGATGACGGTCTTGTTCTCGAGTATCGAGATTCAGGCCCGTTTTAGGTCGCTGTGATTCGTCAAAGTACGTACCTTCAACCAACGGTGGCGCTGTTCTGCAACATACAGGAACATGTGGTCGGAGTGGTTCTAGTTCGGACACTTTTTTTAGCTTCAAATTTTGAGAGGCCACCTTTACACTCGAGACAAAAGGGGCGAAAACGTGCAGCCAGCGCCGATCAGCAGCGGATTGCAGGGTAGTGAAGACAGATGTCTGCAGGACAAAGGAAGCTCGAAACCCCGAAAAAGCGAAGTTTATTAAACAGCACGAAGCGGCCGCTTTTGGATTTCAAATACGGAAAGAGACACATGTCTTTTTGCCCGCCGTCCCTGCTCTCCCCATTCTCCATTCGCACCTGCCTCACTTGTATGACTCGCTGCAGAGAGTGGAGCAACAGCCATCGATTGCGGCACAAAACATGCGATACGTCGACCGGTGCTGCCTCAAGAGATTATGTCATCCGATTTGCATGCTTGAACACCAGCAGATGCACCGGCCCACGTAGGCTGGTTTGGCCCATTTCGGCGGACGATCGAAGCCACGATGCTTGAGAAACATGCAATTATATCTACATGTCGACTGGTCGACGAGGATGGACAGCGTGGTGACAGTGGCCAGATTGCCGTTGAAAAGTCCAGTTTCCAAAGGGATGCAGCCCATTTACAGTGAGCGGCTAAAATGGACCAGATCTACGACGCGCGGAGGACAAACATACTCCGTATGGCGCTTACTTTGGTGTTGGTGGCCGCCGGAGCGCTCGGTTGGTACAAACGCTGATGCGCGGGACGCATCAGACCACCAAATCCGTGCGTGGCACATCAAAACAACTGCGCAAATACGAGACCTCGGCCACGCTGACAAAAGAAAGAAACGTACGAGAATATGGCACTACGAGGAAGCCAATGGGTCGCATTAAAAAGCAATCCCCCAAACGAGCACTACAATCTGTTCATGAAAATCATTTCGATTGTACAATATCAACACTCCATAACATAGGACCAAGAGCACGATCGCAGCAAAGCACATTTCGCCAATATAATCATACACCCCGAGCCGACCAGCAAACGAGACTGGCGCCTCAATAAGTCCGCCAGAACCTCGACAACGGCAGGCCGCATAACATCCATACCCCAGTGGCATCGCCTTGCTGACATCGCGAGCATCCGTCCACGACAGGAGGACAGTCCGTCAGGAAAATGTAACAGCGTAACCTGCGCCTCTCCGAGAAGACCCAGCCAACGCACGCGGTCTACCTGCAATCCTGCCAACGACCCGGGAACCTGTACGGTAACAACCACGCTGTCGAGCCGCAGGTGAACCAGGCGGAAGGGTACAGTATGCCAAAACCAGAAAGCAAGACTGAAAGACCGAAAGACCGAAAGACCGTGCAAAGGAAAGCGTCAAAGAAACTCCAAATTGAGATGAAACATTGTCGAATCGTGTGTGCCGACAACAGAGGGGTGTCGCGAAAAGAGACCAGTCGGAATCACAAGTAGACGCGGCCGCTGTCCGTCTGCGCCGGTCGTCGTTTGCTCGTCGCTGTCATCGTCAACGTCGGCATCGTATGCAATCAAACGCCAGCGCCCCAGATGGCAACAATCATGAACATGAGTGCACCGCCACAGTCACCAAAATCACCACCACCGCCATCCGTAGGAAAAGCTCAATTTGCCGGGGGCTGGTAATTGATCGGTCTCCTAGAGAACGGGACGAGATTAGCGTCCTGTGTATCGTGGCATCGCAGACGTAGGTGTACGTAGAAATGGATACGCAGCCTGCTTTGTTGAAAGACGGTAGCGAAGGCAATGGACTCACTTGAAGAGAAGAATGTGTGGCTCCGGCTCGTGCACCTCGTAATGCTCCCATCCTAGACTCTGCACAAGGTCAGGAATGTCAATACGACCGACCTATTTATGGGAAACAATGACGTAGCCAGCGCGTCGCTCCTCCGCTTCCTACTCCTGGTTGGATGGCCGTACCTGTGTGATCCCCATAGACCGCCACTCGTCCTCCCAAAGCAGCTTCATGGTCTTTTTGCTCTCGTCGAGGTACTGGTCAGGGATGAGCTTGAGCATCTGCTTGGGCAGAAGCACGTGCCGGTACTCGTACTGGTCGTCTGAGTATCTGCGGAGCAAAGTCAGACAAATGCGATGGCCATTACGAAAGCGACCATCCTGGGGACGAACACACCTCTGCGAGTAGTGGATGTTGTCGAGATAGGGCTCGAGAACCTTGCGTTCGGCGTCGGACAAAGGAATGGCACGTGTGTTTCGGCGACTCGGGTCGATGCCCAGCGTCCGCATCTCCTGGAGGGACGACATGGTGGCGCGTGAGGATGTGTTGGGTTGGAAGGCGATTGCGAGGGGAGGAAGAAGGAAGGGCGGCAAAGGACCGTTTCGTCGACAGAAAAGCGCGTCGTGTAGCAGTCACAAAGTCGGGCGGTCGTCGACGCCAACAATTCCAACGCGTCGCAAGTTGAATGCGGTCTTCGAGAGTTGGTAGAAGTGAGACGAAGGAGGAGGCTCTGGTCGGCGACGCGTCTTCGTATGGGACAAAGCCGAAAAGAGAGAAAATACCCGCAGGGAATCTGAAAGTTTGGACAGCAATGTGGAAAAGAAAAGCAATGCGAGGTCAAGGTCAGGAAAACGGGAGCAGTGGGAAGAAAAAACGGTGAAGAAATAGAGGGGCAAAAATTACAATGGGGGAGATCTGAAGAGGAATGATGGGTCACTTTGGCGTAGGCAGGCGGCATCGGGGAAAGGCTCCAAAGTAAACAAACCGAGAAAGCTCTGGCCACACAGAGGGTAAAACGACGCGGGGGCGGCCGTGGGCGGAGCGAAATTTGGTCACGTGCAGCACGCTCAAGCCTTTACCGTGCGCCAATACAGTGTCGTAATGAAAAGACGGTGCACCCTCGACTGTGTCCTCTTTCCGGCCAAGCGACGCATTTCCTGCCTTCTCCCCTCTCCGCCCCAAAGAAAACGCGTCCACCCCTTCTTTCGCAGAAAGCAGTCCAGGGCCAAACGACAAGGCGACCAAAAAAAGACAGAGCTCGACCCAGCAGCATCGCGACTTGTTCGACAAAGATCGCTCCGCCACGCACTGGGCGTCGGACGACCACCTTTTGCACCAAAAGAATTGTATTTCTACCGCCCAGTCGCCGTTTCCAGCCGCCGAGTTTTGCTCCGAAAAAAAGCCAAATTATTCCATTTTGCATCGATAATTCGCGCCCTTGTTTGCATCGAATTACGCATCGCGTCACGACACTTGCCCGTCCCTCCATCGTCATTGCAGACCGTTTCAAGTGGCAATGGAGAAGCGCAAGTCAACCGGCGCGGACGGCGGAGACGTTCGCGCCTCGAAGCGGTTAAAAGTTGTGGTAGGTGTTTTCCAGGGGGGGAATGGACTTGTTTTCCATTGCGCGAAGATGTTGTCAAAAGGAGGAGCGAAGAAAAGCTTCAGCGAGACTATTTTCTGCCACTGCAGCACGGGGCATGGCATGGAGCGTTCGTTGTTGTGGTGCTGGCAATTGGCGATGCTGCGCGTGTCGCAACAAGTTGGCGTGGAGTAGCTCGAAATCGAGAGCTCTGCGACAGCTCCAGCTGCACGTCCAGCGAACCCCGGACTGGCTTGCTGGAGGCATTCGTGGAATAGACCAGCGCCTCCGATCGCCGCCTCGCATACTGGCCGCACATTCCCGTTTCACACTCAACCCCGGCCAGAAACCGCACATTTCGGTGCATTTGCATCACATTTCTTTTTTGTTTGCGACAATGCATGCTGACTCGTGTGGCCAGGACAAACCCACCGAGACCGCAAAATCCACCACCAAGACCGGCCTCGAATTTCTCGACCTCATCCGGAAAACAAGTGACAAGAAGTAGGCCATAGTCCAGGGAGCATACTTGTATGTCAACAACTGATCGTATACTAACTCTTCCCAGCGGCCGCCGGATAGCAGAATACTTTGAGACGCTGCCCCCGCGGCGCGGCAACGAGGCATACTACAAAGCGGTCCGCATGCCTATCTCGCTGCAGGACGTGGAGGCGAAACTCAAGGACGGCCACTTCAAGAGCTTGTCCGAGCTCGAGTCGTACATCAAACGCATGGTGCTCAATGTGCGCGAGTTCTACCCCAAGGGCTCGCAGCAGGTCGACGACTCGGAGCGCGTGCGCAAGGCCACGAGCAATTTCATGGTCAAGCACAACCCGGCCTACAAGCTGAACCAGGGCTACACGGCGGTGCCAACGCCGATTCCCGACGAGGACGAGGACGAGGACGAGGACGAGGACGCAGACGGCGAGGGCGACGAAGACGCAGAGGGCGACGAGGATGCCGAAGGCGAGGACGACGAGGGGGCAGCAGAGGAGGAGGCAGGAGACAACGAAGAGGAGGACGAGGACGAAGACAATGTCGGCACACCAGCACGGCGAAAGAGCTCCTCCGCCAAGAGTATGCGCGGCACGCCTCTCCGGGTCGTGCGAAAGACAGACCGTACAGTGACGCCGAGCCTGAAGCAGGACCACGACTTTGACGGCGTACCCTACAAGGGGCTCTCGTTCCAGGAGGCACAGGAGAAGATTGTGGAGGAGATTATCCGGCGACCAGACGAAGAGTGAGTGCACGGTGGCCGGGATAGTCCAAACTGATGATCTCGCGTTGAGCACTGTTCTAACATAAACAAGGGACCCGAGCTACGGCTATTTTGAGCCGTTCTTCAACCTGCCACCACGCACGCTCAAGGACTACTTCCAGGTTATCAAGGACCCGCTGTCGATCAAGAAGCTGCAGAAGCTCGTCAAGGGCATCCGCAGCCGGACAGACCGGTCGGGCGTGACCGAGTACAAGAGCTGGGCCGCGTTTGAAGAGAAAGCCAGTCTGCTGTGGGAGAACGCCTACTACTACAACGAGGACGGAAGCCCGATTGCCAACATGGCCAAGGAGCTCGAGGTACGTCGTTGCACCTTGTTGTTGTAGGAGTACGCGCCGGACGCGGTGTAGCAGCTAACACGTCTAGAAAATGTTCCGCGACGAGCTGAGACAGGCCAAAGAGGTGGTGCAGGAGCCGCCGCAGCCCAAGATCAAGATCAAGTCGGCCGCGGCCTCCACGCCGGCAAGCTCCAAGAAGATTACGATCCACGTTGCCAACACGCGTGGCAGCTCGGCCGAGTCGCCCAGTGGCAAACCAGCCGGGTCTGTGTCCTCGGACGCGCAGACAGGACGGGCGGCACCGACGCCGTCTGCTTTGGACAAGACGCGTGGCCTGTCCAAGGCTTCGCCGAGCCCGGCGACGTCTGCCGTGGCCGTGAACGGTGCCAAGCGCGAATCCTCGTCGCGCGCGTCGCCAGCGCTGTCCCAGCAGCCAAACGGCGCTGTGGCCAACGGGTCACCCGCTCTGGCCAATGGGACACCGGCCGGCGAGTCGACGGCCACGAACGGCGTGGCATCAGCACCAAAGCCACCGAGCGTCCCGGCACGGCCAGTCTACGAAACCTCCAAGTTCCGCGAAGCCAACCGAGGTATGTTTCCACTGGCAGCCTGTGCGCGCCATATTGTTTATTGTTCGTGGCCAGTGATACTAAAAACTGCATCCAGAGCCCCTCTTGGCAAACCTGACCGTTCAGACACACGCGGCACTCAACAGCGGCGACCGCCGGTTCGAGATCCAGCTGCCACCACACCCGAAGCTGGCACAGCGGTCCGTGACCCTCAACATCCCGCCGGGCCAGTGGCGTCAGCAGCTGTTTGTGTCGCTCAACCCGACCCTGCAATCGCAACAGCGGACCTACAAGATGTTTGTCATTTCCAACGGCGCCACGCTTGGTCCGTCGCCGTCGCCGTCGCCGTCGCCGTCAACAGCCTCCCAGGGCCCCGGCTCCCTCCCTGGCGCCACCCCCCGACCCGACGACAACGCCAAGCTCTACGACGTCAACCTGCACCCGGGCGTCAACGTGGTGCAGGTGCAGGTCATTGCTGGCCTCGCCAAGGGTCAGAAACTGCCCAGCGGCGCCGACGCCGAGCTCGAAAAGGTGACCATCTTTGCCAATTTGATGAAGTACTAGGGCCCTACCTATTTGCTGCCTTATTTGGACACGTGTTCGTGCGAACCGCCCCCTGAAGTATGGGCTTCAGTCGAGTGGTTGTTGTGGTCCATTTTGACTCGCATGATCCATGTTTTGTCGTCTCGATTTTGGGTTTGGCGATGTCTTTGCAAGCTGGTATGGTATTTTGGCTTTGGGCGCCCAGTTTCAGCCTTTCCGGGCATTTGGGTTTTGCCAGGGCAAAAGGATACGGCGTTATTCTGGCAGACAGCTTTTGTCGAGCAGTGTTTACTTTATTTTATGCCTTTTTTTTGATATTGTGGTATTTGTACTGGTACTATTGGTGTTTCCGTGGTGGCTGGTATGGCATTCATTGTACAACATTGATCCATTTGGAGTATGAGAGTTGGTTTGTGGATGTGACGTCGAATACCGAAAGTAACAAAAGCAGCGCGATCGCCATAGTGGACCACCTAGGCTTAGTTAGAGCACTCGCTAGCCCTTTGTAGCGGACCAGTGCTGGCAGACGCTGGCACGCAGGACCGAACCTCGGCTCTTTCCTCAACGCGCACCTGCCTCTGAAAGCCCCCCAAAAAGCTGGGGGTCGTGCGTAATCCGCGCCTTCCCCGGTTTTGCTTTTGGCGCCTTCCTTGCAAACATAGCTGACCTGCGCCGACGCCATTGCATTTTCCTCCTTCCTTTTGTTCACTCTTATTTCGACACAAACATCGCCATCCCCTTTTCTGTCACGTTTTCCTCCTCCCTCACGACATCCATGCGGACCTCATGACCGACCGAATACCACCACCGCCCCCGCCGCAAACCGCGGCCGCGGTCGCCGCCGCCAATGCATCTGTCGCACCTACCTTTGCCGAGGCGCAACGCCGGCTCGCCGCCCGTCGAAGCGAACGCGCGGCCGCTGAGGCGGCACACCGCGCACAAGTCGCCGCCACAGCTGCCGCCCAACGGGAAGCATCAGCGGCGGCCCTGCGTGCACGGCTCGATGCTGGTGGGCCGTTCACCTCTTCCTCGTCGCCCCTCGTCCGTCGGCTCGGCGGCACGGCGCTCGTCGCCTGGGACGGTGTCAGCCGCGCGGCATCAACCATCAGCTCCACACTCCACGGCGGCGGCGACTCGCGGACGATTGAAGTGGCCGGCACCAGCGGTCAGCGCCCCGCATTCCGCGTCAGCCAGGTCGATGCCGAGCTGCTCGACGAGGAGCTGCTGGACCTGCTGCGCGGCCAGGTCGCCGATGCGCTGAAATACATCCGCGGCGGCACCCTGCAAGACGACTGGCAGCCCGAGATCATGCTTCTGCTGCGAGCCGCACTTTTCAAGCTGTCCGTGTGGGACCACGACGCGACGTACGGGGCGGCGCTGCAGAACCTGCGCTACGCCGACGCACGCGCAACCCGTGGCACGCGCGGCGCCATTGCCGCCGCGGTGCCTGTCCCGCCGTCGAAATGGCAAAAGGCTGCGTACGGTCTCGTGACGGTAGGCGGGCGCTATGCATGGACCAAGTGGGAGGACTGGCTGCGGGACCACAACGAGGAGGCAGACGTGGGCTTCGGCTACGATCATGGAGACAGCGGCACCAACGACAGCAGCAGCAACAGCTCCGACATCCTATCTTTCCTACGCGGCCGGTTACGTCTCTCCTTGTCGCCAGAGAGAATCAGGCGTCTGGCACGCGTCACGTCCGTCGCCTCCGACCTCTACGCGGGCGCCGCGTTCGTCTCCTTCCTCGTCTTCTTGCGCTACGGCCGCTACCGCACGCTGCTCGACCGCATCCTGCGCATGCGTCTTGTGCCGCCCACGAGCCAGGTCAGCCGCGAAGTCTCGTTTGAGTACCTCAACCGTCAGCTCGTCTGGCACGCCTTCACCGAATTTCTGCTGTTCCTGCTGCCGCTCGTCGGCATCAACCGCTGGCGCCGCTGGCTCACCCGCACCTGGCGCAAGACCAAGAGTGCCGTCGCCAAGGCCTCGACGGCCGTCAAAGGACAGGCGGGCGAGGACGAAGTCGGTGCCGGTAGCATTGAGAAAACTGGCGAGTACGCCTTTTTGCCTGAGCGCACGTGCGCCATCTGCTACCAGGACCAAAACGCCGCCACCTCCGAAGCCGACATCATGGCCGCCGCGGCTGCCTCGAGCGGCGTCATTGGCTCGGCGGAAACCGACATCACCAACCCCTACGAGGCGGTCCCCTGCGGCTGTGTCTACTGCTATGTATCCCTGGCGACGCGCATCGAGCGCGAAGAGGGCGACGGCTGGACGTGCCTGCGGTGTGGTGCACTCGTCACCGCCTGCCGGCCGTGGAATGGTGACGTGCTGGAGCCGGCGTCCGGACTGGCTTTGGCGGGTGGTGGTGCTGCGACGGCCGACGCGCGCCCTTCATCGTCATCGACAAACTTACCGGGCTCGCCGTCGTACACGCAAAAGACGGTCGGTTTTGCTGATGACGTCAAGGGTGAGGATGAGGATGAGGACGAGGAGGAGGACGAAGATGAGGACGACGACGAATCCTCAAACGACGAGATCCAGATCGGCGAGGCTGAGGAGGACGACGAAGATGACCAAGTCGAAGACGATGCGGAAGAAGACGACGGCGAGGAAAGCGCCGACATCACGGACGCTGAGTCCGAGGCCTACGAGGAGGACGAGGACAGCGTCGAGGGCGAGCTAGGTGACGACCTTGAGGAGGCGTGATCACAGTCTAAATATTTGCCACCCCATTGATTGTTTCGGTCATTTGTAGATATACATGCATTGCATGGGTTGGCGAGAGGGGACTGTTTTTTATGTGTTTGGGACGTGGGTTACATATCCTGTTGCCTCGACCAGCGTCTGGTGGGAGGCATCAGCGGAGCTAGGTGTATGATACCATATAGATCTTTGTAATATATATTTAAAAGATGAGTATTTTGACCTTTTGTGAAAATTAAGGGCTAACTTTGCTTACCGGCACGAATATCTCAAAGAGAATATTGGTATATCCTTAAATACAATTACATCTGAAACAAAACTTTTTAAGTTTTTTTTTTGAAATTGTTTTTCTAAAACATTACTCGAAACATTCTATTTTCACCAACTTGAATCTAATATCATAACGGTCAATATATCGGTCACGAGAGCAGAGTTCAAAGCTGAACAGAGAATGTGCCGTGATAATATTATAAATCAGGATCATGACTGAGCCATATTCGAACAAAACAAGCAGCACAGAAAACAACAAAACAAAACAAAAAAAAAAAAACCTGCGTTTGTGCCACCCTCTCATGATGTTGGTAAGATACATGCAATGTCATTCAGCCGCCCGTGAGTTCATTCTAATCACCATCACCGCCTTGCCACTCCCTTACAAGGGTATGTAGCATCCGTTTGATCAGTCGCTGCTGTCGTCGTCTGTCGTTGTCGTCGTCCCTCGACCATGTCCTCACTTCCTCAGTTCCCCAGAAGGTGCGCCAGGGCACCTTCTACACTGCCGCCGCTGCGCCGCAAAGCCGCCACGTTCTGGTCAAAGTCATAGAAGCCCATCTCATTAAGCTGCCGCAGCTGGCTGGCGTACCGCTCCTCGGGACTCCGGGTGTCCTGCGCGGGCGCAGAAAAGGCAGCAAAGGGGTTGAAGCCCGCACCGCCCGCCGCACCGCCAGCACCGCCAGCACCACTGCCAGCTCCACCAGCACCGCCCAGGCCATTGAGCATTTGCATTGCCTGCTGCATCTGCTCGGGGCTGATCTGTGGCATCCCGGCACCACCGGCGCCGCCGAACAAAGAGGCAAAGGGGTTGGCGGCTGCATTGGCACCAGCACCGGCATCAGCGGAACCGTTACCGGTGCCCGTACCAGTAGCACGAGTGGCGTCACCACCCTCACCAGCCGCTGTATTTGCGCCTGCTGTGTCCGAGCCTGTGCCAGCTGCCGCACCGGGTGTCGCGCCCGCACCGGCGGCACCAAACCCGGGAGGGAAGAACGCCGCAAACGGGTTGGTCGCCGTGTCGCTGCCTGCGCCGCCGCCGGCACCGCCAGCGCCGGGGAAGCCAAACATGAACGGGTTGAAACCGCCAAAGGGGTTGTTTGCTGCAGCACCAGCACCACCAGCACCAGGAGCGCCCGCACCAGCGGCACCTCCGGAGGGCGTCGAAGCGGCGTCGGCGGGCGTGTTGTCCGTTGCGCCCGGTGCAGGGAAGGAGTTGGCGCCACGGGCACCACTGCCCATGGCGGAGCGCATGCGGCTCATAGTCCGCATGGTCTCCGGGTCGGTGATCATGCTGCGGAACATGGGGGACGAGAAGATCTCACGGGCGTTGGGGATGTTTCGAAAGGCGGGGTTGCTCTGAATGAGGTAGTCGATAAAGGCAGGGTTGCTGAGGGCTTCGTTCATGCTCTGGGCCACGGCAGGGTTGTTCAACATCTCGGCCATTTGCTCCTCGGAGGCAAAGTTCATCTACACTGTTAGACAGGGAAATGAAAACAAAAAAAAAGTCACATAAAAAACTTGACAGGCGCATCGGTAAAGACTCACTCCACCGTCAGGGCCAAAGAGGTCCTGGCTGGGCAGGTTGGCGTGGCCGGCAAAGCGCGCCCCGGTGAGGCCGGCCAACAGATCGTTTGCCGGCGTGCCGGCGGCCATGTTCGTGGGCACGGCGGGAGGTGGTGCCGAGGATCGGGAGCCCGCACCAGCACCAGCAGCTGCAGATCCGGCGGGTGGGTGATTGCTGGCGGCGCTCTTGACCAGGTGCAGGGTGTTGCCGGTCTTGATCTTGTACGAGCCGAGAGTGTCGTCGTTCTTCATGACGCGGCCCGAGTAGATGAGCCTTTGGCGCTCGACAGGGATGTTCTCATACTCTTCCGTGGCGAGCTTGGCCTTGAGGTCGAGCACGGTGGCAGACTCTGCCATGGTGATGCTGTGCAGGCCATCGCCTGAGGTCTTGACCTTGAAGCTGACTTGGGGATCGGACGATCCCTCGGTGTCGGCCATGGTGTGTGTGTGTGTTTGTGGGAGGGGCGGGGTAGGCGGATGCCGAGGGAAACGTGGTGAACGAGGTGAAAGACACTGCCGGGTGTAGATATGTTGCTATCCGACCTAAGCTGCAAATGGTTGCAAAGGAAACGATGCCTGAAGAGAGAAGCGAAGATGAAGGTCCAAAAGTAAGGTACGAGGAGGATCGGCCGGACCGTGGTTGGTTGCGTGGGCTGGCTGCGGGGTTGGCGTCCAGTGGTCGGCCAGGATACAACGGCGATAGCGAATTTGTACGGGCTCGACGAGAGTTCGCCAGGAGCGAGAAGAGAGGCGTCTGGGAGGCGAAACAAAAGAAGACGGAGAAACGCGTTCAATGGCGAGACGAGGATGTTGAGTCGCAGTAGCAAAGGGAAGGAAGACCTGTGGTCGGTGAATAGTAGAAGGCAGGAGGCTGGAGCAACTTGTTCTGGCAGGCGCGGATTTGGGGGGACCGACAAGGGGCGGGGAAGGACCCAGCGAGGAAGGCGGCAGGCGGGTACGTACGAGGCCTTGCTGTGACGAATCTGTTGGGCCTGCCAAGCGAGGAAAGAAGCCCGGCGAATTGGGTGGAAGCAGGCAAAGGCCCATTTCCGTCAAGCGCACATCTACTGCAGAGAGGCGAACAGATGTATTCGGGAAGGTGCCACCAGTCTTTAGCGCCTTTTTAGTGGAGGTTGAAGGCAACGGCGGAGGCAGGTGCAAGTGGTTCAGTCCCCTGGACCCGGCGGCATTACAATTGGCTCTTGTCTGCCCTGAGTCCGCTGTAAATGTCCCCGGGGTCTGGCCATCAAGTGCTGCTTTGTCTTTGGTTCTCCACACTTATGCAACTCCCAGCCAACTTAACAAAAGACGATATGTATTTTTGTTTGTGTGAGAACTGCAACGCAGTGCGGTATCTCATCGAGTCCGAGTCCGGCTCGGCATGCACACACATGCGGCGCGCCACGGCTGGGGTTCGAAGCCGTCCACGTCACGGACAAGTTGCAAAATCGTCCGCCGAGTGTGGTATATGCCACGGTCGACGCGTTCAGGTCAGAGCCATTGCATCTCATGACCGTAGAACTGTAAAGGCATGGCGTGCGTTCTGGCCAACATCAACAACAATGCCAGCGATTCCCTTTGTCGGCCTCTATGACAACATGGCGTTTTCGAAGGGGTATCGACGGGCCTGGTGTTGCTGCCCATGAGCCTGCCATCCGTTGAGTTGCGTCGATACCACGCAGCGGTGGCAGGTATGGAGCGCGATGGTACGGCAGGTCAGTGAACTGGTCGACAGGGTGGCGTATCTGTTTATGCTGAATTGCATGAGCACATTGCCTGTGTGTCTGAACGAGGCCACGGTCGACCACACCATCGTGGATGTGCTGTTGGCACTGGCCTTTCATTACTCGACTGCAACAAAGCCGGCTGATCGCATGCGAGCGACACCATGCTATCATTCAGTACCATGGAGCTTGCAGGTCGAGTATGTCGCGGGCGTCGATGCCGGCTACCGCCACCTTGACCACAGTACGGTAGCGGTGCGGACGGCGGCGAGGTGCTGGTCCCTTTGGTTTTGGCCTGAGCGACACCTCGGCTTTTGTCGACGCACCAATCGACGGGGCATTCACACCCGAGGCAATCGAATCTGAAGTCGTGGCAGTGTCAGTGACGGTGACCAACTCAAGTTCCGCTGCTGGCTCCGAGACCGTTCAGGTGGACCACGTACCGCCGGCCGAAGGTGTTGTAACCAGACGGTCGCTTAAGGCTCTCGTCTCGTTTGAGCAAGCTGCACCTGCAGCCCGGCTAGCCGAAGTACGCGCAGCTGACGTTTGCGTGCGACGATTCCGCCTACTGGATCGAGGGCAAGGCATAGCATATTGATGGCAGCAAGCACAAACTGACGGTGGCAATGACTTCGCGATGTGCACACAACGGTCCAGCTGGACATCAAGGAGGCGTTTGATTTCGATGGTGGACATCGTGGGAAGTAGATACCTCGGTGCAGCAGCTGAGACTTTTCAAATAGATACTCGTAAATTCACAAGGCCTTTCAAGTTGGTTGAAGCCCATCGATCTTTACAATTCTGCTGCCCCCAAAATAAAGGGGCAGGTGCAACGGCTACAGGAGTTGGTGGCACCACCTGCTCCGTATACCGGCGAAACCGAGGAAGGAGCTCATCTCGTTCATGTAGGTAGCCTTACGATAGTCCTCATGGAAGGCGCAGTTGGGACGCAATGAAGAAGCACGGAAGCACGACAGAACGGGAAGTTGCAGCCTGCGAGTCGCAGAGTTTCATATAGTTGCTCCTGCCTGCCCATTGGCCTGACGGCTGGCACGTTGTCGGTGTGTTCTTGCCATAAGCATCAACGTGTACGAAATACCTTTGGTGAGGAAGGATCTCTGCCCCGCTCCCGCCCCAACTCACCTGTGGTCCATTAACGCCCCTCACTAAAAAGCTCCCCATCCCATCACTCCTTCCATACACGGGGGGCCTTGCTCCTTCCTCACCCGCTCCTGCTCGTCAGCGCATTGAGCCCCTTCTGTTTCTGGACAGCCTCAGCCTCAGACTCAGGGCAGCCCCGCACCGTCTCGAAACCGATCAACCTTCCAAACTGTTGCTGAGCTTTGACGACGCATTTCTCGTTTTCCACCCTTTTTGTTTCTCTCAAGTTTCTTCCCATCTTCTCCGAGTGCAATTCTCTGTATCCAATTTCTGCATCGCATCTACCCCTCCGTCTCTGACATATCCGCCTGCTGTTACATTGCGACTCTGCTCCATCGTCTCCAAGAGCCTCGTCTTTCCAGTTCCTCGTCTTCTTTTCACGTCCCCTTCTCCCTTTGCCAACGGCCACAATGGACCGCCGCAACAAACCCAGCGCTCTCGCCGCCACGCCGGCCCCCCCGCCCCAGGCCCGCGTCGACCTCGTGGGCGACCGTGTCACTGCCGTGCTGCCGTCGGGCGAGTCCGTCGAGATCTTGCTGACCGGGGCCACTGTGCTCTCGTGGAAGGGCGCGGTCCACGGCGGCGAGCCGGCCGAGCGTCTGTTTCTCAGCGAGGGCGCCGTGCTCGATGGCTCCAAGGCGGTGCGCGGCGGCATCCCCATTGTGTTCCCCGTGTTCGGCCAGTCGCCGGCGGACGTACCCACGAGCAAGCTGCCGCAGCACGGCCTGGCGCGGACGTCGCGGTGGGAGTTTCTGGGCAAGTCCACGTCCGAGTCGGAGGGCAAAGCAGATGCGGGTGCGGGTGCCTCTTCAAGTACAAAAGCCGCCGCCGCCGGCTCGTCCAACGGCGTGCAGCTCGACTTTGGCCTGTCGGCGGCGTCGGCCGACCCGGCGCTCCGGGCGCTGTGGCCGTACGACTTTGCGCTGCTGTACCGGGTGACGCTGGCGCCGGGCAGCCTGGCGACGGCGATTGTGGTGACCAACGAGGGCAGCGCGGCCTTTGACTTCCAGGTGCTGCTGCACACGTACCTGCGCGTCGACGACATTGCGCAGGTGGGCGTGGACGGCCTGGCGGGCGCGTCGTACTTGGACAAGGTGGAGGGCTTCAAGGAGAAGACGCAGGCGGCCACGGGCCATGTCGACATTACGGGCGAGACGGACCGCGTGTACGTGCCGGCGCAGGGCGCGTCGCAGCCGCTGACCGTGCTGCAGGGCGGCAGGCCGCTGTACGGCGTGCAGCGGGACAACCTAGCCGACGTGGTGGTGTGGAACCCGTGGACGGAAAAGGTCAAGAGCATCGGCGACTTTGCGCCCAAAGACGGCTACAAGAACATGCTGTGTGTGGAGCCAGGCTCGGTGTCGAGCTGGCAGACGCTGGAGCCCAACGACGCCTTTGAGGGCGCGCAGGTCATTACGCTGTTGTGACGGGTCCCGGGCAAGGGTGGGGCCAGTGCGAAACAAGGCATCTCCAGCCTGCTCTAGATGCTGGGGATGGATGTACTCTCTTGCGGTATGATAAAGTTGTGTGTCTTTTTTGCTTTTGTCTATGAATTGAATGAAATAAAGAACCAAGGCAAGGATGGAGACGGCATGCAAACGTACATTGTCAACTCCAGAGCCATACACTTTTACAACGCCATGCAATCCTGTCTCGCGCCCATGCTCGACGTTCCCTACTTCGACGCGGACGCGCCTTGCCGCACCGTCCTGTGGTGGTCTGCAATCAAAAAGGCCATCTCCAGCGCCTGCTTCTCGTTGAGCCGCGGGTCGCAGAAGCTCGTGTAGTTGGTCGACAGGTCGTCCTCGTCCAGTCCCTCGGAGCCGCCCAGACACTCGGTCACGGCGTCGCCCGTCAGCTCCAGGTGCACGCCGCCCAGGTAGCTGCCCTCGTCGGTGTGGACCTGCAGCGTCTCGCGGAGCTCGGCCAGGATGTCGGCAAAGTGGCGCGTCTTGATGCCCGCCGTCGCCGTCGTCTGCGTGTTGCCATGCATGGGGTCGCACTGCCAGACAACGCAGCGGCGGTATTCGCTGCCCTCGACAATGCGGATGTGCGCGGGCAGCAGCTCGCGCACGCGGGCGGCGCCGTAGCGCGTAATGAGGGTGACTTTGCCCGGCTCGCGCTGCGGGTTGAGCGCCCGCAGAATGGTCAGCAGGTCCTCGGGCGGCGTCGTGGGGCCGACCTTGATACCGACCGGGTTGGCGAGGCCGCGGAAGAACTCGACGTGCGCGTGGTCGACCTGGCGGGTGCGGTCGCCGATCCAGAGGAAGTGCGCCGATGTGTCAAAGTAGGCTGACGGTGGTGCGCTCGTCGTCGTCGTCGTCGTCGAGTGGCCGTTGGTGTCGCGGCGCAGGCGGCCGCGGGTCGCCGGCAGCAGACGCGTCATGGGCTCCTCGTACTCGAGCACCAGCGCCTCGTGGCTCGTGTACAGGTCGACCGTGTCGAGCTTGTCGTTCTTGTCGGCGCCAATCGTGTGCATGAAGCGCAGCATGTCCGTCAGGAACGTCACCGCCTCCGAGTACTTGGCCTTGAGCGCCGGATCCCGCACATGGCCCAGACCCCAGTCCAGAGGATGGTGCAGATCGGCGATGCCGGCGGCAATGGCCGAGCGCACATAGTTGAGGGTCGCGGCCGAATGGTGGTAGGCGCGTACGAGGCGCTGGGGGTCCAGCTCGCGCTGGTCGAGCTCGTAGCCGTTGAGAATGTCGCCGCGGAACGAGGGCACGGTGCGGCCGTCCGGCAGCGTCTCGTTGGGGCTGGAGCGGGGCTTCGCGTACTGGCCGGCCATGCGGCCGATGCGCACGACGGGCTTGTCGGCGCCCCAGATCAGGACAAGACTCATCTGCAGAAGCAGCTTGATCTTGGACTCGATGGCGTTGGGCTCGCAGTAGTCAAAGAGCTCGGCACAGTCGCCGCCTTGCAGCAGGAACGCATCGCCGCGGGCCACGGCGGCCAGGTGTTGCTTCAGACGCAGGATCTCGCCCGGGTGCACAATGGGCGGAAGACGCTGCAGCTCACGGGTTGCGCGGGCGACGGCCTCGGGGTCATCGTAGGCCGGGCTCTGCTTGATGGGCTTTGAGCGCCACGAGCTGGGTGTCCAGCCGTCTGGTGCGCCGTTTGGTGCAGACATTGTGATGTGGGTGAGAGTGAGAGATAACGGGGGACGCAAGAAAGGTCGATAAGAAAGGTTGATGTGGAGAAAGACGTGGGAGACTGATAAAAAATGGGAAAAGAAAAAGAACAACAAAAAAGAGTGAAGATTCACCGACGAGACGGACAAAGAAGACGGAAGACACTGGTTGCTGCAGCCGGCTCTCTTCAACAATGGTCGTCTGAAGCTCGCCCTCTTATGCGGACGAGACAACCAGGCCCGTGGAACGCTGAAAGCCGACCTCAATTGTCAATTGTTGTTGCGAGATGTAGGAGAAAGGGGGCGTTTTGTGATTTGTGAGGCAAAAACCCAATTGCTGGTCGCACCTTCCTTTTGCGATGTGAGTCAAAATGAAAATGTGTTATAGAACGGCAGGCTATCGGCACAGCATTGTGGGGCACAAGCTACAGCAGACTTCTCTGAGGGAGGAAAGTTATGTGCTGCTGAAAGCAAAACGGTGAACTTGAGGATTAATTCGGTTACTGGCATATCAGTCGAAGCCTTTGCATGACTGCCTTTCGTGCACGATGGACCATCGTCTTATGAACTCGGCCACGTACAGATTGTCGCATGCAGTCTCCAAGTTCTCAGGCTGCAAATAAACTGTGCAAATAGCAACTTGCCGATTCTGGCTAGCACCGGCCAGCCTATTTCAAGGTGTAAGCAGCCAATCAGGAGCTCCCGCTCGCCACCAACGACCCCACAATTTTTACCAACGCATCAAAAGCATCACCAAACTCTCGACGCCAAACTCACCTCCACCGACGACTTTGTCATCACCGACCTCCGACCTCTCCGTCCGACACGCCCTTTCCCACCCCACTTACAGACACACACACAATGGCTGAAGACCGCCAACCGTCCAACGTCCACGAGGGCGCCACGACCGCCGCAGCCAACGACGTCGACCTCGAAGACGACGTGGCCGCCAAGGCCAAGTCGGCCGAGGACCGCAAGGCGGCCGTGGCGCTGGCGTCGCTGGACGCGGTGGGCGGCGGCAACGATGCGGGCAAGCATGTCGATCAGGAGGCGATGAGCAAGGCGATGAAGAACCTGAAGCTGGGCGCGAGCGGCACGGCGGCCAAGAAGGTCAAGGTCGACGCAGCGGATGTGACGTTGCTGGTGAGGGACTCCATTCCTCTTTTGTTCTGTGTGTTGCACCGCCTACTAACACGGACAGGTCGACCAGCTGGAGATGACCAAGGCCAAGGCGACGGATCTGCTGAAGCAGCACGAGGGCGATGCTGTCAAGGCGCTACGCGCGTATGTGTCGGTGGCATAAGCACGACGGAGATGATACGATGTGATGCGATGTGGTAGGATGTTTGGGTATATTGGGGACAGGCTTGGATACAACGGCCACGACAGAAATGTAAAACAGGAAAGCGATACAAAAACATTTCAAAATATACAAAGGATACACAGTCAACGCTTCCCTTGCGCGAAACAACTGCATGGAAAGACACACATCCATCGCTGGCCCATAATGTGCCACGCCTCGACACACTTGGGCTGCCACGGATCCACAGATCCGCATCGTCGCCCATCATCACGGGAGTACGCGGGAATGCACACCCAGGTGGTCCGTACCCGTCTTTTGTCGTGTGAGCCGATGCTGCCAGGGCTGCTGGGACCACTGGGACCATTGCCGGTAGCGGCCACGGTCTGCCGTACCAACATGGCCGGGAGAAGCCGAAATCGGGCGGTTGATAATATCGGCACATCAGACAACGAACGATTGGGGTGCCAGGAAACAATGGGATCAACGGCAGGTGGCTACCGTCGGCCGGCTGTCACGGCGGCGGATAAAAGGGTCGGGAAAGACAATGGCGAGATACAATAAGTCGCTCGCAACCAGACACGACAGGACAGAGACAATCAAAATTCAAGTTAAAAGAAGTAATGGCCAATGGTCAATCTGTGCAGGTATACTGCGTGCAGAGACGTTAACAAGACAAGAAAAGAAAAGACAACGAAGACAACGCATTCAACCCAATGTACCCAAGAAACAGAACCAGTAGAAACAAGGACCAAAATGTGTCTTGTAGTCAAAAAGAATGCCCTTTCCGAGACGCCTGACCAGAAACCGATGCAATGTGTGCATAATCAAACAGACTCACACCCCACAAACACAAACACAAAACACACACCCCTAATTCCACGCCTTGGACAGCGGGCTCGCAACCTTGGGCGCAAACTGCAGGCTCTTGCGGCGCGCTGCCATCAGACGCATCAGCACGCCCTCGTCCTTTTCGCGCGACAGGATGCCCGCGCCCAGCTCGTGGTACGACACCGACCGCTGCTTGGGCGGGCACGTGCGCGTGACCAGCGGGCCCTGGTCAAATTGCATCGACGCCAGGGTACTGTCGTCGTCGTCGTCGTCGCCGCCGCCGTAGTTGCTGCCGGTGTCGCTACCGTACGGCGACGACAGGGCGATGTTGGCCGCATAGCGTGCAATGGCCTCCGGTGCGGGTGTCTTGGGCACCGGCGTCAGCAGGGCCGTCATGCCCCAGTCGGGTTCGCCATAGCCGTCGACATCATCGTTGCCGTTCTCTTGGTCATCGTCCTGGCCACCGTCGCGGGCGCCATGGCTGCGGCGCTTGTTCACACTGTCCTCGTCGTCGGGCGTGCGCATCCACAGCGTGCTGTCGCGACGGTTCATGGGCGTGCTCGGCGGCGGGGCCGTGCGGCACTCACGCACCGCGGCCGAAGGACCACCGGTCTGCTTGGGCGGCGTCGACACAAGGATTCCGTTGATGTTAGCAAGGGCCTCGGGCTCCATGCTCCGGCGACGACGGCCGGGGCCACGAGGCGACAGAGCCGTGTCGACGCAGTACGGCGCCTCATGCTGCCATTGGTTACCACGTTCGCAACTGGAGGCGGACGACGTCAGCAAGCAGTCATGTCATATATCAACTCGTCATTTGCACAGAAAGTCGACTTACTCAAGAACCCAGCTGACTCCAACGCACTGGACAAGACCCTTGCTCTCGCGCACCTTGTCCAGCGTACGCTTGCTGCCATCCTTGAAGACAACGTGCGTGATACCAACACGCGACGATCCGTCCTTGGTGCTGCTGGCTGGGCTCGCCGGGTTCCACGGCCAGGTCTTGACACACTGCGCACCCATCTGGGTCAGCAGCTCGACAAAGATGGCACTGGCATCCGCGCCCTCCGTTGTGTGCACGTCCACAAAGACAACCGCGCCGCGCAGCAGGGCAGGGTCCAGGTCCCGGCGGGGCGTGCGTGCCGGCGTGCCCGCCGTCGACCAGGTAGGGTCAGCATCCTCGTCCACATCTGCACTCGACTTGGTCGGCGTGGCTGGTGCCGATGGGATCGCAGCGGCGACTTCAGGTTGTTTCACATCCTCGGGGCTCTCATCCTCGCTGCTATCGAACAGAGCATCTTCCAAGGTTAAGGCCGGCCCGCCAAAGGACTCGCGACGGCTCCTACGCCGGCTCTCACGATGGCTTTCACGGCGCCCATCCTTCTTCGACGGGGAGTACGAGATGACGGTCGCACTCCGCGTAAGACCACGGCCGTTGTCGCTGCGCTTGCTGGGGCTGGTGTGGGTAGAGCCGCCAGTCGCGTTGTCCGCACTCTTCGCGTTGCTCGCAACACTGATGCTGGAGCGACGGCGTGACGAGGTGGGGAGGCGCGAGGCACTCATGCTGCGACGGCGGAACGAGGGTTGGCTCGGGGTCGAATCGTCGGCCGGCTTCAAAGGCACCTTGGACACCGTGTGGAAGGTGCGCGTCAAAACACGCTGCGGTGTAACGGGCGGCACAGCAACAGGCGAGGCACCGCTTTCCGCGAGCAGGGCCGGATCGATGGGGATGGCGTTCTCGTCGCCGTACTCCTGGCTGGCCTCGGACATGGCATCGTCGGAGCTCTGGGGCACGTGCAGGACGTCCGCAAGCTCAGCAGGCTCCATGAGCGACATTTCGTTGGCCTCTTGTGCCAAGTCCAAGTCTTCCTCTGTCACAACAAGGTCTTCATCGAACTCGGGTGTCTCAATCTCCTCCTGCAGCACAACGTTCTCCATAAGACCAGCGCACTCCTTGTCGTCCAAAGGCACAGGAATCCCGCTCTGGCGAGAAGATGCGCGAAGAGAATGGCCGACCGTGGCGTCGTCAAAGTATGACGGCATGACAGAGGCATTCTTGGCATCGGGCGACGCCTTGGGGACTCCCTCGACAGGCTCCGTGGGGACCTCGGGGACCTCGGGGTCTTGCTTCTCAGCACCTGGTGTTGGTGTGGGTGTGGCCGCCGCCTTGGCAGGACTGCGCACCTTCCAGCCGTTGAGCTGGTCGGCCAGGGGCGTAAAGCCAAACTTGCCCATCTTAGGACGTTTGGCCGTGCCTTGGCCTCCCATGCTGGTACGCGCCGACCGGCTCGAGGGTGTCCTGGCCGGGCAAGGGGTTGCCGGCATATCGTCGTTCGAAGGCAGCGGCATGTGCATGGTAACGTCGTTATCGGAATCCATGTCGTCGTTGCCGTCTTCGAGGTCCTTGGCGCGCAGGCCAAAGACACCGGACGGCGCCTTGGGCTCGGGTTTGGGCGGGGACATGGCCACCAGCGCTGTGGCCGCGCCCAGAATCGACTCGTCAACCTCCATGGGGTCACCGGGCGGTGACACATCGTCGTCGGGGTTGGACTGAACCTCGGCCCAATCAACCTCGATGGTGGGATCGGCGGCACGAGCAAGGGCGGCAGAGACACGACCAGGGACGCTGCGGCGCGAAGGCGATTCAGGATCACGCAGAGCAGAGGCGGCATCGGCGGCCATGTCTTGCAGCATCTGAGTCAGGGATTCGGTCTGATCATTGTTCTCGGCATCGTCGTCTGCTTCGTGACCATTGTCTTCCGTCTCCGCATCAGAGACGTCGGCCTCGTCAGCTTCGTTGAACTCGTCCTCGGCCACCTCTTCCGTCTCGCCACCCTCGGCCTCCTCGACCTGGACGTTCAGCGAGGATGGCTTCATGTCGGGGCGCTGCAGTAGAATGGCCGCCTTGACGGGCGAAGCCGGACGCTTGGCCGGCGTCTGCAGCAGAGACAGCTTCATCGGCGAGCGAAGGGTATCGTCCTGGCCGCCAGCCGCGTGGTTCTTGGGGTGCACGGGGAACCGTTTGGCGGGAGAGAAGAGGACAGAATGGCTCTTTGCCCCGCCGTGGCCGTCAATCTTGTTGTTGTTGCTGCTGCTTCCGCTGTTGTGCCTGGTAGTCTTTCTGGTGGAGGCCAAAACGCCGTCCATCGTTACCAGACCGTCGAGCCGGCGGGCCGGGGAGTTCATGAGGCCCTCCTTGACAGGAGAGGGGGGAGGACGGCAGGCCGGGCTCGTGAGAAGGCCTGTCTGGAGGTCAGGGGGCGCCAGGGTTGTCATCGACGCCAGGTTAGCGGTGATGTCGCGTGTAGAGGATTCGAGGTCGAGGCCGGCGTTGGCCAGTGCCTTGGTGCGCTCAGCGGGCGTGATGCCGGCAGCGACAGACGGTTTGGTGGGGCTCCGCTCAAAAGGCTTGAGGTGGGACTCGTCACTAGCACCCAGCTCATCCTCGGAATCGACGTCAAAGTCGCGTGCCAGGCGGACCTGCGTGACCTTCTTAGGGCTGAGCGGTGCCGACGGTTTGGCGGATCCAGCCCTACCCGAGGCCGTTCTTGAGCGAGGGCCGGCAGTCGATGTCGATGTCGCTGCAGCCTTGGATGTGTTGGCAGCTCGCCGGGCTGGCTTGGCCTTGAGGCCCGTCGAGGTTGCCGTCGTCGTCGATTCGGTTGCCGTGTCAGCTGCGGGTGCCTTGCCACCTCCTCTGGCCGGAACAATGTTTTCCTTCTCGGGCTCTTCAAAAGTGACCTTCTTCTTGATGGCCGCCGACTTGGCCGCGACGGTGGCCGATGCACTGCGGACGGAGATGCGCGTCGTGGCCGACGGCAAGGTGTTCGCGGCGGCTGAGCTGGCTGTTGCCGATGTAGCACGGGCACGCGTCGCCCGCTTCTTTGCCGGTTCTTCGGGTGCATCCTCAGCCAGTGTCACCGTCTTCTTGGCTCTTGTTGCGCGTGAAGCTGGTGCTTCTGTAGTGGATGCGGTTGTGACTGTGCTTGTGCTTGTACTTGTAGAAGCCCGCGACGACGGCCGGGCCGCCTCTGGCACGGGTGTCTTTTTGGTTGGGGGCCGTCCGCGAGGACGAGGTGCAACGACTGCGGACGCGGATACGGGCTCCGCCTCAACTGGCGTCTTCTTGGGGCGGCCACGGGCGGCACGTACAGCTTTCTGCATGGTCGACGGCTGGGGCCGGTCGAGACCGAGCTCGTCCAGTTCGTTGTCGGTCTCGACGTCGTCGGTGCGGAGTTTCCGCTTAGCAGCGGCCGATGCCGTGGTGGCGGTGGCCGTGGACGTTCTTGCTCGAGACGAGGCCGTGGCAGACTTGGCTCGCGACGACGCAGGCGTGGATGTTGGCGCGGAAGACGACATGCTGTCGGCTGTTGTTGCTTTCGCGGCGGCACGCGCACGCGTCATTCTCTTGGGCGGGGACTGGGGCTCCATGGTGTATGTTCTGAAAGGGGAAGGATGAAAAGCAAGCAAAGAAAGACGGAATGTGAGAACAGAAAACGAAATGGGGAAAAAAGGAAAAGACGTCGTCGTGTTCTGTCAATATTCAGGAAAGCGCGGCCATTGATGTTGTTGATGGCGAAAAGGGGTGCGTCCCGTCGGGTCGGTGGTGGTTGCTGTTGTTGTCGGCGGCGTCGTGTTGTCGTGGTCGTTGTTGCGGCTGTTGTCGATGGTCGGTTGTTGATTGAAGCAAGAAAGTCGAAATTGCAAAGTGTCGATGCAGATGCCGTTGTTTACCAGGTCTCTGCCAAAGGAAGGAACTGTCTTACCCTTGGGTCCGGTAGAGAAAGCAGGAGCGGCAAGTGGAGACAGTCGGACACGGACCTGCCTGGGGTAAACAGGAGCGGTTGCCAGGCAACGCCAAAGAGCTTGCAGCCCAAATGGGATAGCAGTCATAGTGCCAAAATTGTTTGCACTGTATTTTGCACTGTTCTCACGGCAGTCTCATAGATCACCAATTTAGGCATGCCATTCTTTTTTGCTGCAGCATCTGGTTGTTTGCTTTACATAATTTGCAATTGGTGCTCTTCCTTGTATTGATACGTCCAAGCACGCATTGTTGCGGAGTGGCCATGTCATCCATACAGTCGTCGACTTTTGCTACTGCAGAATATACACAACGAGCACAGTGCGGAATATTACTTGTGTCGTAGAGCTGACAGACTCGAAGTTCGGAGTGGATAGGAACGTGAGGAATGGCCGGCTATGAATTATGCATATGTTCTGTCTAAGTCGTATTACTCCGCCCCTGCCACCGATGTCCATGTCTGCAGGGATGTGGCATTTGTCGACACAGCAAAAGGCCGTGAATAAGGTTTTAAGTTGTTTCCGACGGACAACATCCAAATGTTGTCTCTTCGTCTCAGGCACGTCAAGGCAGATTTACGGCGTAGACATTTTACTGCTCAGCTCAGCAAGCTGACACTCGAGGGAGCTGTAAAACAAATTAGCATATGGAACTCCGTCTTTCGTCTGCCTTTCTACTGGCGGTGGACAGCATAAATCGGGCAAGCAATGTAGGATTCTCGTAAGGACATCGTAGTGTCTAGGGAGTGTGCTACAAAATTGGGTCGCAACGACAACATGCGAGTACTGGACTGGACCAGCTCAGCCGGGAGGTGTTCCTGTTGCGATCGGTGCTATCCGGTCGAGTTGTGTTTACTTGAATATGTCATCACACTTTTATCTATCCTTGTATTTATGTCACGTTTATCATTATTATTTTCCGCCTTCTTCAGCCAGTCCTGGCTTGGATATCTTTACGTGTCTTGTACAAACTTATTCTCATCAATTTTTTATTGAAGTTATGCTGTTTATTTTCGAATGAATTTTTTTTTTTTAAAAAAATGGAATGATTGAAGACAAAGAAGGAAACAAAAAGAAAGAACACAAAAACCCCTTGTTGATCATCCTCGAGCTTATTTCCATACTTAAATTACCACCACTCCTACAGGCAACAATCTGCCTTGACTTCGTCTCTCAATATCATACGACATATTGCCATGAGAAATACTCCACCTCACACGACAGCTTGCCTTCGCGGATTGTGGCTTGTAATGGCCAAGCAAGCGCAATAATACGTCGTAAAATTGTGTGTCTGTGTGTGATTCGCCCAGCAGAGGACCCCAATGGCCAGGCCCAGCTCGCCCACTGTCATCCCCTGTACCCCACCTGCCCCTTCCCTCCTAGCGCCCGGGCATTCCGCCCGTTGAGCCTGGCCCTTCCGTGCAGTTACGCGCCAAGATCGCCCTAAGGCAAGGGCCCAACGCCCGCTGGCATGCATTGGACTTTTCGAGGGAGCGGCTGCAACGTTGGTTGTGGTCGTTTTCGTTTCCTGGACAAGGGAAAGCGAGATTGCGTCACGGTGTGTTGCAGCATCCCGAGGCCCGACTTGACTGTCGAATGCAGGGGCTGCACGAAAGGTGTGCAAAAGGCGTACGACGTACTGTGAAGACGCATTGCAAGAAGGGACGTATTTGACGAGACAACAAGTACGAGACAACTCATCTCGGCATCCTCCGTCCTCTCATGTGTCATAAATGGACTGTTCAAAGACAGCAAAGATCAGGCTCAGGGACGAGGCCCTGTCTCACACGCTTTTTGTTTGTCTTGGTCTCTGAATGGAGGAAAAGTCATGCCACTGCTGCGCCATGCTGCTCTACAAGGAAGCCAGAATCGCGCTCCCTTTCAAAAGGACGTCGCCGCGGCGCCAATCAAATGAGACGAACGCTGAAACCAACAAACCGATGCGATGGTGTCTGACAGAGGCCGCCGTCAAGCTGGTGGAGAGAGGAGCGAGACTACTGTCGGGCACGCGTGACACCGTCCTAGTGTTCCTCCACTCGTGCTTCCTGCTCTTTGTTTTGCTAGACCGAGCTGGTCTGACGGCTTAATTTGGATCCTTCTTGTTGGCTCTCTGCCCGTCTCTCGTTGTTTTGCTTGTAAGAGCACCTCATAAGGAGTTTAGTCTGTGCAATAGACCATCTCTGCCAACCTCAGCCTAGTGTTGGTTTGTTTGGTTGGTTTTCGTTTTGCGAGGAATGCCGGCCGTCCGACGTGTATTGCTCGTTGCTCTCGGAGGCAAGGCAGGTTTGGTTCAAGGACTCCGAAAAAAAGGAGGAAATACAGTCTTCAGCCTTCTCACCACATAAGATCACCAGCTGCATCCCCTCCCTTTCGAATTTGTAGGTGGTTGGGCCGTTGTTTTTGTTTGCATTTCATGCGTTTCTTTCTTCTCTTTCTCTCTGCCGCGTCAGCGTCCGTCTTGTGTTGATCTGATACCCGGACGTGTCTGTTTCACCATTACCCTTCTTTCTTCTATTTCTAGGGACAAAGCTACATAGCCAGCTCCCCCATCGCGCCTTCCCGCCCGTTCCTTCCCTCTTTGATACTGTTTCCGTCCTCACCCGCGCCTTCCGCGGCGGCCATAAAACTCGCCAACGCCGCGCCAAAGGCTCTGTGGGCGAGACACGGCACTTTGAGCCTTGAGCCTTCCTCCGTCTCGGTCTGACTCCATGTCATGATCGACCAGCGACTGGGCTTGCCTGCACCTCGTTCGTACTCATCAGTTTCGCCTGACTCGCCCGCCATGGCTCTGTCCAATCTTGTAGTCTTCGGCCTGCTCGCCTCCCTTGCACCAGCCCTTGTCGCTGCCTCGGCCGTCCCCCTTTCTCCCGTCGACATCATCAACAACAACAATGACTATGGCCTCAGCCTCGAGCGCCGCGCCCTTCCAAACAGTCCCTCCGGTAACTACTCGCCCCTCGCCGTCGACTGCCCGGCCACCCGGCCCTCCGCCCGCGCCGCCAACGCCCTGTCCCCCAGCGAGACAGACTGGCTCGCTCTGCGCCGCAACAACACCCTGCAGCCGCTCATTGATTTCCTGGTGGCCGCCAACATTTCGGGCTTCGACGCCAAGGCGTACATTTCCCGCGCCTCCGACGCCAACCGGCCCAACATTGGCCTGGCCATGTCCGGCGGCGGCTACCGCGCGCTGATGAACGGCGCCGGCTTCTTGGCCGCCGCCGACAGCCGCACGGCCGACCAGCCGGCCAACGGCAGCATCGCGGGTCTGCTTCAGGCGTCCACGTACCTGGCGGGTCTGTCGGGCGGCGGCTGGCTGGTGGGCTCCATGTTTGCCAACAACTTCTCGACCATCGTGCAGATGCGCGACGGCTACCCCGGCTCGGATCTTTGGCGGTTTGACAACTCCATCTTCGTGGGCCCCAGCAAGGACGCCCAGGACAGCGGCAGCAACACCTCGCGCTCCGCCAAGCGTGGCGACACCGCCGCCGACATGTCTGTGGAGCGCCGCGGCATCCTCTCGACCGCCGAGTACTGGACCGACGTGGCCCATCAGGTCGCCGCCAAAGCCGACGCCGGCTACGAGACGTCGCTGACCGACTACTGGGGCCGCGCCCTCTCGTACCAGCTCATCAACACCCCCGACGGCGGCCTCGACTACACCTTCTCGTCCATTGCCCTGACCGACAACTTTGCCCGCGCCGACACCCCGTTCCCTATCCTCGTGGCCGACAGCCGCGCCCCCGGCACCACCATCATTGCCCTGAACTCGACCGTCTACGAGTTCAACGCCTTCGAGATGGGCTCTTGGGACCCGACGACCTTCGGCTTCGTGCCCACCGCGTTCCTGGGCTCCAACTTCTCCAACGGCGAGGTCCCCACGGCCAACGACAGCCACTGCGTGCGCGGCTTCGACCAGCTCGGCTTCGTCATGGGCACCTCGTCGACGCTCTTCAACCAGTTCCTGCTGGCCAACCTGAGCGCCCAGGCCAACGTCCCCACGTTTGTGCTCAACATCATCGAGGACCTGCTCACGGACCTGGGCCAGGCCAACAACGACATTGCCCAATACGTGCCCAACCCCTTTTACAAGTACCACCCGGCGACCAACGACTTTGCCAACGCGACCCAGCTGACGCTCGTCGACGGCGGCGAGGACCTGCAGAACCTCCCGCTGCACCCGCTGATCCAGCCCGTGCGCGCCGTCGACGTCATTGTCGCCGTCGACTCGTCCGCCGACACCGACTTCAACTGGCCGAACGGCACCGCACTGCGCGCCTCCTACGACCGCTCCTTGGGCGCCATCGCCAACGGCACCCTGTTCCCGCCCGTCCCCGACGACCACACGTTTGTCAACCTCCAGCTCAACCAGCACCCCACCTTTTTCGGCTGCAACGCCAGCAACTTCTCCCTGTCGGACGGCCAGACCCTGCCCCCGCTCGTCGTGTACCTGCCCAACGCCCCCTGGAGCGAGTTCAGCAACGTCTCGACCTTTGACCCCAGCTACTCCTTGGCCCAGCGCAACGCCATCATCCAAAACGGCTTCAACGCCGCCACGCGCGGCAACGGCACCCTCGATGCCCGCTGGCCCACCTGCCTGGCCTGCGCCGTCCTGAGCCGCAGCTTCACGCGCACCCAGACCGAGGTCCCCGCCGTCTGCAGCAGCTGCTTCGCCCAGTACTGCTGGAACGGCACGCTCAGCACCGCCGACAACGGCGCGTACGCGCCGGCCCTGCTGCTCCAAGGCGCCGCGTCGTCCAACGCCACAAACGCCGCCGGCCGTCTGGGCGCCGCCGGCCATGGCTGGGCCAAGGTGCTGGCCGTGGGTGTGTCGATCGTGGTCGTGCTGGCACTGTGAGCGACGGGCAGATGGTGGAAAAGGGACAGATTGAGAAAAGCTAATGATTTATGCGGGTGCTTTTTTTGGTTTTGTTTATTTCCAAGATTGGAACGATCTTTGTAACAGTAAGCAAGACGGCCTTGGCCAAACCGTTTGCGGTGTACGTTTCAAAAATGCTAGAAATTGAATAACGTGTAAACGTGGACACGGTGATATTAAAGTAAAAGTAAAAATAAAAATAAAAATAATGCAGGGTCATACTCCGCCAAATGAACTGGAAAGTAAAAAGTAAACCTCAAAGGGGTGGTATCATATTGAGCACAAGATTTTCGCAATGCCATTCGTTGGACTGCATTTGTCCAAATCCCATTCGTCAAGGCACATAGTGCTCTTTGCATGACAAAAAGACAAACACGTGGTGAGCAAGAAGAAGTATTAGAGAAAATATAAGGGGGGCATGGTAATATGCCATGTCCATGGCATGGACTGGAATCGCACATACTGTGAAGATTGAAATGCAAAAAAGTGCGAGATGCAAGAATTCGAGTACGAATGTGAGTAGAGGTGAGGCTCGCACACATAAGCAGACCAAGAGCGCAAAGTTCGAATAAAACAACACCCACCATGGTGCGATGCAGTCTCAGTCAAGGCTTTTGGTGCACCTTCATCTTCCCCAGTTGACTGATCCCATCATATCCTGCTGTCCATCTCCCGTAGAATTGCACAACTTGTAATCTTGAGAGAACGTGAAAATAAAACAACGAGACAGTATTACTCATCAAACATAAAATGGGGAGATATTAAGTCGCCAATGCATATGAAAATGAACACAGGAAATGCAGCAAAGAAAAAAAAATCCTATGCGTATGCACACTTTAAAAAGGTAGGAAACTTTGACCTGGCCTCTGGTTCGTTGTTATCGAAACGCGTTGCGGTACGGACTTTCGCACTTGACTTCCCGCACGCCTTCAGGCAACAGCCGCATCCACTCGATCCAACCGGGCTTGTCGACCGCGCCATCGACGAGTCGGAGCGTGAGGTTCAACTGTGTCCCCGGTGTTGTTGCTTCAGGGCTCGTTGGTAGCGGCTTTCGCGAAGGCGCCAAGAGAATTGACGGAAGCCGAGCATCCGACGTGATTAGGATGTGGAGCGGCGCAGGGAAGCTCGTGAGACGCTCCTTGTCGGGGTTTCGGTCCTCAATGATCCGTGGGTAGTTTGACATGAGCCGTACGTGGAGTTCCGCGGCTGAGAAAGCAGACAGGGGGCCGCGAAACTTTTGATTGAGGCGTGTGCTGAGTTCGTCGATGAGTGCACGTGTAAAGGCGACACGTCCGAGCGCCCGCTTTGGGTCTTCGCCAGCAGAAGCGGCAACCAGTTCAAAGACACCTTCTCGCCTTGCCATTTTAGAGCAGGGATAGAAGGCTGCGTCCATAATCATCAACGTGTCCGACGTTGCGTCCTCGAGAACTTGTTGGATACCGCTCCATCGGATGGTCGTCGTCTGAGTCGAACCTTTTTCCATGGAACTATAAACATCAAAATAATGTTAGGAAACTGCCATCTTGAGTGTCGAGCAACTTCGGACTATAAATGTGGGATATAATAATAAAAATGAATAAAAATGATGTTGCGTAGGGCTCGGCAAGTATAAAAATGAAGAGAAGGGAAAAAAACAATAAAATAAAAACTAGACCAAAAAAACAAAACACTTGCCTCGAAAGAACCATCTCACGCTCTACATCCAGGTACGTGTGACCGACATAGTAGACAATTTTGAGCGTATCGCGTGAGTCGCGGTTGTTTATAAATTGTGACGCCGTGTGCAAAAGCCAGCGGTACGGGCTCTGTGCCCCCACGGGAATCGCTTTGATGTCCACCGAATAATTGTACTTCTTTTCGAACAGTTCCGCCAAGTCGTCAATAGCGTCCCGGACCTCATAATCGGTGTCGTTCGACCACACCAGGATCATGACTTGAACAGCATCGTAGCGTGTGCGGCTGGGGTTCGTGCTGTTGATAATGCGTGCTGCGGCGTTTTGGAGATCACCCGAGAGGCTCTCGATACCCGGCAGAGCGGCCGAAGCGAGCTTCTCGAGACTGCGACCTGACGGACCCGAAGGCAGTGGGGTTCGTAGGCGTGCCTCGGTTCCGACAGACAGCCGGCGCGAAATGGGCGGCGGTAATGGGATGGGATGCGGCTTTGCTTGTGCCTGGAGAAGGGTGCGAGAATGCGGTGGCTGGTGCTGTGCGTTTCGCTGCTGTGGCAATTGTGACAGTGGTGGCGACTGGTGCTGCTGTTCGGCCATTCGGTGCGGTGTCGTTGGGGTTGGCGTGGTGTCGATCTCCATGTCCTGCGCGTCAGACTGCCCAAAGGACACTCGGCCACCTCGTGCCGGACTGATGGGTCGGCCAGCCAGGGGACTGTATTCTTGCGTCGGGCTGTGCGATTTGTACTTTCGTACTGCGTCTTCCCAGGTCATGTTGTGATGATTCGGGTGGCACTGTTTTCGGAAAATCAATATAACGTAAGCATCTATAGCCTGCATCCTCTTCTTTTCGGAAGCTGCCACTTTCGTACCGCCGCCTCCCAAGAGAGAAAGCTGGAAATAGCCAAATATAAAATAATCAAATTCAAAACCACAAGAAATACGTACAGCAACTCGTCGGCGCCGGCAGTCGATGCAGGCACCAAGCTTGCGGATCAAGGCCGCCTTTTCTCTTTGTGACGCAGAAAGGGGGCCGGTGCGTCGGCGACTGGGCCGCCGAATGCCTTCGAGGTCGGAGCCGTCCTTGACAGAGAAGATGGCCTGTGCGGCAAATGTAGGCGAGACCTCGTCCCCTGCGATGTATGGCTGCGCGTCACCGGTGGACTCGGCCACTGTGGCCGCGGCAGCGCTTCCACTCGTCACCGTTGTGACAGTCGGAGAGGTAGATGTCGTCGCGTCCAGCCGCATGTGTGGCGAGGAGGGTGTTGAAGGCGTGCGGCCCTGGTCGGTGGCTGCGGATCCGGCCGACATTGGTCTTTGCTGGGTTTGGCGTGAGTCGTCTCGGAAAGGGGGTGCTTCGAGAAGGCTAGGCGCAGGATGCATTCTATGGCGTGTAAAGGATCCGAACTGTCGTTGGAACGCAAGTCTCTGCTTCGCTTGACTATGCCTGCGGTAGAGAATGGATGTGAAGACAGATAATGAAGGGTTTAAATAGAGGCGTATACGCTTGTAACGTTGGTTGAATTCATGATAAGGACGTGAACCTCTTTGGTAACGAGTTGAGTGGGATGGTAAGATCGTGTGTCAGCACTCCATGGGGACGGAGGTCGAGGGTTGATCCAGATGCGATGTAAATGTGAGATGAAGTTGATGACCAGGCCGAGAGCAAGCTGAGAGACGCACAGCAGCACCGAGGCTTGTGGGCTCGATTTATGTATCGACGATGGATTTGGAAAAACAAACAAGACCGAACGAGGTCAGAGCATCGACGAGGGAGAAAACAAAAGAGGACCTGGAAAACGAAGAAAAGAAATATACAGTGGTCCAGAGGTAGAGTCGTCCAGAGGTAGTACTGCCAGAGTATCGGCGTTCGATGCAGTCCACCACGGAAAGAAGCAGTGACAAGTAGAGTTGCTCACCAAAGAATGGCCGCAACGGATGTTGGGTTGAGATCGAAGACGGACCATGCGGAGACAAGGAAGAGTCGGATGGGAGGAAAAGACTCTCGCCACAGGAAAGATGGCAAGGATGGTCGATGGGTATGTGAAAAATAACGAAGCAGGTGAACAAGCCTTATGCTCCAATAGGCGCAGAAAGAGCGAGCCTAGAGGAGAGGCGTGCGTACGCAGTATAACGGCGCACAAAAAAAAAAAAAGAAGTAGGCAAAGAGAAGACAGCAGGAGAAGAGACGTAGGGAAGGACAGATCGTTTGTCCAAGCACGATGCAGTGCTGTTGCAGCAGCCGCCGTTGCAGGTTGCAGCCACTGTTATTCACTCGTTCGTGTTGTCGCTATCACCGGTAGTGGTCGCCCTTGCAATGCCACCACCTGTGTAGGCGTAGTCTAGGTGCTGAAGGGAGACTGTGATTTGCTGACGCAGGTGCCGTTGTTGGACTTTGTAATTACTGTGGCTGGCAGAGTGGTATTTCTGCTCACACGGAGCGGTTCGTTGCGGGTGGCAGCAAGGCACCGGGGAGGGGGGGGTAACAAAGGCCAAAAGGAGTGTGAGTGGTGAGTATGTGAGTCGGGCAGCGGTGGTGAATGCAGATGGAACGAAAAAGTGAATGAGCAGGCAAACCAAGAAATGCCTTGGATAGTGCCGATAGACGGAGTGGCGGAAACGAATATGTTGTCTGTGTTTATGTAGCGATTTTCAAAGGCGTCGCCCTGGACTTTTTCTCGACACTCGGGCTGTTGCGTTCTTTTGATATTTACCTTGGGCTCCTAGAGCATCTTTGCAGTTCCGCGTGAAGGCGATTTATAGTTCGCCGGGTTCCTTTTTTTGGTTAAGACCGCGGCCGATTTGACGTCTTGTAGATTTGTCGTCTCTGAACTGTCTCCTACTTTTGCCGCTCAGTTGTACGGTCTGGCGATATAGATGGTGTGGAACAGAGAAGAACAGGGCGCGTAGAGAGAGTCGCAGGAAGATGGGGAGGGAGGAAAAGCGGCAACGGTTCGGCGAGAAAGAAGCGGAAACGAGAAAGAAAAGGAATACGAGGATGAACTTATGTCTTCAGAAGAGGCGTTTCATAACAAAATTTGTATCGACTTGACTGGCATTTGTCCCGGGTTATTCGTTGTTGCTGTTGTTGTTGTTCTTGTTGCTGATGTTTTCTTTTTTTGGGCGAGATATACCAAGACGTTCGTTGAGCGAGTGGGAAGAAAAGGTGGCCAGGAGACAGTCGAGTCAGTTGGCGTTGGCTGCACTCTCGCGGGCTTATCCCAGGAGCCTTCCGCCGTCAAGCTTGGATATTAATGTTGATGCTGCCCGAGTATCAGCTCCTTTTGAGAGCTGGCACGACAAAACGACAGCTGGTGCAGATGACAGCCAACCACGCTGGGAGAGACTGCGAGCGCGAAATTTCAGACTCGAAGAGGAGGGGGGACGGCAGCCAAAGTGAGCCTGCAGCCCAAGGGGGGAAACGGAGGACGGTAGCTGTCTGGTTTTCCACCACACGGATCATTCGTGGGGGGACAAAACAGGCCCTGGTGAAAACGGAACCTGGCGAAGCGAGAGAGAAAGTCAAGAAGACGATAAACTACGCCAAGGCGAGGGTAAAAAAAGCAGGAACTGATAGAGAGGCGTCAAGCCGAGGGAGTGTGAGGTTGTAGATCTGCTAAACGAACGTGTATTGACAAAAGAAGGAGGCCAGCGACGAAGGGAGAAACGTGGACCTCAAAGGTCAAAGGCGCTTTGAGGATAGTTGGTCACTCCGTGCATCTATGCCAGAAGGTTGCGTCGAACTTCAGCTCTCTGTTGTCAGAGGCCTGCAGTAAAGAAGTGAAGAGAGAGGGGGTGTTGATGCTGACAATAAACAGACCTGGGATGGGAACAGGTGAAGGAAAAAGGACGAGGGAAAATGGCGGTTAACAGATTGTAGGTACAACATACATGAGAAGGCAAGGCTAGCGTGCTCCACGGAAGGGAGACCAGACGACTCCGAAGTAGGCATGTCTGCGTGTGGACGGTGTAAGTGGGTGGGAGGGAGTGTAGGTTGTGGGTTGTGGGTGTGGGAGTGGGTGTGGGTGAGGGTGAAGTGGTAATAGAGGTGTTTGCGTAGTGGGCGGGAGCGACGTGCTGGCGAATGTGGAGGTCTCGAATGCACGGAGTATTGACGGGGTAATAATCATCATCACCCACACAAGACACGAGGGCAGCTCCTGCCGCCGTCCCCCCATGTATCGACCTATCGGAAAGAGAATGAGCGTATCGAGGGCAGGTACGAGTGGTGTAGCGTTGTGGACGCTAGGCCAGGTCCATCAAGCAGGTGAACGGAGAAGCACGGTTAACGATGTTCTGGAGCAGCTTCCCTCTAGTCTAAGTGGATGGCGCTGTCGCTATTGCCTATTTGCGTCGTGCTGCCCTGGGTTGCGCATGTGTTTATCACAAGGAAGGCGAGGAAGATGAGGAAGATGAGGAAGATGAGGAAGGTACGGTGGGCCGGCAAACAGTAGGAACAGGAAGGCGGAGGCCAGACCTAGCGGGACTGCATACAAAAGTGATACTTGCAGAGGAAAGTACAAAACTGTGACCATCAGATACTGGCAAGCGTCAAGGCGATCAAGGCAGGGAGGGCGGGCTGAAAGAAGAGGGGGTCCGCTGTGTGTATTGTGTATTGTGTAGTCTGTATTGTGCGCGGGCTACGAACTGCTAGGACCTGCGGGTCGCGGGACACCGAAACCAGGCGAAGGAGGTGCCATATTGCAAGGGCGAGCACGGGGTAAGGGGAGGGGAATTGCCAACCGGACTGGTGTTGCGCAACTGAGGAAGGCACGGCTGACAGTATCAGAATCTACTTCGTACTTCGGCACAGCAGGTGCGGACGAGTTTACCGAGGGGTCGTGCAAAGCCAAAAAGGCAAGAGCAAGAAAGGAAAGCAGCGACCCGGCACCTTCCCTTCTGCGTATAATGCGCCGGTGGTCTGCAATGGGTCCTGTTCTCGTCATCTCTCCCCGTCGGTGAAAGAGGCGAGGTGCGGGCAGCCGACCGAGTAGCGCCAACGCCATTCCGCGGGAAAACTGGAGACGCCTGCGGTTACTTGTTACGAGAAGTGGAAATAATGTGGATTGTCGAGCAAAGAAACGACAAGGTGAACGGAACCGGGGCTCGCGGGGCTTGTGAAAGTGGGCTTCTTTGGCTCGACGGGGTAAACATGAGCGATGCTGAGGAAAGAGGGACCGACAACCGACCGGTGCTGGGAATAACATAGGAAACAAGTGAGAAATGGGAAATACGATAGTGGGAGCTAAATTAGCTCGTTCCTACCTAAACAGCGCTGTAATACCGTGTAGACCTCTGTCTTCAACTGAGCAGTGAGAAAACTGAGGCTGCAACGGGAATCGAGTATCGAGGCATCGTTTCGCTGCACCTCGGCTCGATGTTGCAGCGAATCCATTTCTTGTCCCCTCGTTTGTGTCCGCCCTGGTGGTGCTGCCGGTGCATGTACACTTGTAACGGAGCGTGTGCTCTTGGCCTTGATCTACCCGGGAAAAATGACGAGAAAAAAAGGACATTCATCGAGGTGTGTACAGAGAAAATTCATCAAAAATGACAGGTAAGGTATACATTAGTTGTTGAGGAGGGGGAAATTCCCGGTTGTCTTGGTCGACCCATGTCCTAACCACCATGATGGGACACCGAGTTCTGTTATGGTCTCGAAGGTGCACTGAGGTACATGCAATGCTATGGAAATCGTCCCTCTTGTTTGGCCCCTCCACTCTGCAAGTCGCAAGACAATATGGTGTTTTCGAGAATGTGGCTAAGTAGGTGGTGGCAGCTTGTGGCTTTGCGGTCATGATCAGAAGCCAAAATCTCGAGAACAAATAAATTACGAAATACGATTAGGATCAGTGGGAACATGACCGGCGCATAAGTTCAGGACCGGAATGGACGTCCGCAATCTGGTGTCGACAGGCTTCTTTACTGCGGGTATGGAGTAATACCTTTTGCAAGAAACACATGAAAGGGGATCTCTGCAACAAAGGTGTAATTACGGAGTCCGGTCAACAATGTTATTCCTGTAGATAGACTTGAAGGACTCAAAAGCCATGCCGCTCAGACAAGAAATTCTATCAAACCTTGCGAATGTTGGCCGTTCCATTCCCTTCCCGCCCCTTCTTGTTCGCCTTCTCCGGCTCTGGACGATTCCTTGCCGCCACAAGCACGTCGACAACCGGGGATCTACGTTTTCCGTACTAGGCGAAAGGCGGGATACGGAATATGGGCAAGGGACAAAAGGAACATTGCACTAACCCGGGGTGTGTGCACGCCCAGCTCGCAGTGTTTCTTTTTCTGGTTACTTTCCAATTTGCTCGTGCGGCAACCAAACAATGTAAGTTTCCTGTGGAGGAAAAGGCCCGTGTCTCACACAGACGTGTGATGTGATGTGGCCCCCCCTGTCCCCTGGTCCTCGACACCGAGTACATCACCGATGCAATTGGCTCAACCGGCACTGGTTTTCTTCTCACCGGGCCAAGCCGCCAGCCTCACCATCTATGTCGTTGTTTGAGCTCCCCTTTCATGTTGTCACTCATCGTCTGCTGTGCAGCACATGTGCCATCGGTCCCTCAAATATGCCCACTGCACTGTTTCGTCCCCTCACTGGCAAAAGGAGAAAGACATTGAGGAAATATCTGCCACAAAGGCTCCCGAGAAAGCAGTCGAATCGCACAGTATCTTTGCTTTGAAGAGAAGGGAGGCCTGGGGTGTACGAGCCGATTTGGGTGTCGCATTGTCCTTCCGACGAAGAAATCGGCCGAGACAAGAGGTGAATGACCCTTGGGTACCATGAATTGTGGCAGCCGAGACGGGAGGTTCGATAACACCAAGCTGGGAGAAAAGGGCGTTGACGGGGGACTTTGCGGGATAGCGGGAGTGGAATTACGACTTCGCGCATTGCATAAGGCGGGCCTCTGGGCCTACTGAGATTTGGGCATGGTTCTGGTTTGGCTGGGCCTAGTTGAGCATTATTCACCTGGACGGCACCTGCTTATATGCCACCGTACAAGAAAAGCCTCAAAGGGCCACGGAGCCAGGCAAGCGCTGTCGTTATACATCCTCCTCGCAAATGTGTTAGCGACTAAGACGAGCATGGCTACGAGGAGAACGGGGAGCCCCGGAAACTGGACACTTTGGGCACAAGTCTTAACACTGCCCTGCACCGGCGGCTCCCACTCCCAACATTCATGAGCAGGTCGAAAAGGGGCTCACCGGGGGCCAGTATACAAGCCAGAGAAAAGTCAATCTCTAACTGGACGGCACGGTCAACGCGATGACACAAGAGCCCAATACGACGTGCTCCGGAATTATTGCATCGGTCCTCCTCTGCTCACGGCGCGCACAGCGCAAATGGCGCACACTGGCACGCATCGTACAGCGGACACTGGCGTCTTGCCTCTGGCTGCGTCGTCCAGGTCTTGGTTCTGCTCTGGCCAGGCCTGCTCTGGTTTGCTGCTGTTTTGTTTCTGCAGCGCTCCCCACACCAGGTACCACGCCCCGGGAGTTTTGATAGGTCTCTTGCGAATAGGAATGCAGCCGATCCCCAGGTTCGTCCTGAAAGGGCCCTGGTGGTGGGCTAATCTGTCACACTGGCGTGGGATGTCGTGCCGCCTGGCGTTGGGGGTCAGACCCGGCCGGTCATTGGTTTTGGACGGGAGGAAGGGGACGTCCCTTGTTTTCCATCGTTTTGGCTTTCCGCCTATTTTTGTCTTTTGTTGTTGGTTGCCACGCGTGCGCGCACGTGCAGAGGATAGCAGGAGACGTGCACGGGTTCGAATGGTGGATGAAAAAGCAACGCAATTAACCCAAGCGAACTGACTGGGCAGCCAGCATGGGATGCGTCAGTTTGTCCCTGTCTTCCGCTTCCTCGGCTTGCTGAAAGAAGGCGGCAATCTGCAATCGCATCTACCATCTCGAAGTACGATGTAGATGATGGTTCGCAGCTTCCGTTTGTGTCCTGCTGCCCTTTTGGACGCTCTCTGTTGTGCTGTTTTGTCGTGTGCCCCGTTCTTTCCTACAGTAAAGCACTCCTGCCCAATCCGCACGACGTACACAAGTCCTTTTTGTGCTATTGCACATGTTGAACCTGGTCAGGAAACTGCAATCCACAAGATCAGTGCCCAAAGAGGGTCATCAAGGCAGGAACGGGCGACTCACGCCACGACAATACACAGACGGCAGGTGCAATAGACAGACATCAGGCTCTATGCAAGTTCGTCCCCCTTTTTTGTTTTTCTTCGGGGGGAGGGTGGCATTCCCCTAGGCTTCTTTGACTTTCAACTTCACAAGTCTCTCCATCGTCGCCATTCTTCCGGTCATCTTTCCACGGCACGCGCTGCTCACAGCTTCATCCGTCCACCTGCAGCCGAACATTGTTACGCCACCAGCTCTTTGCAGCCTTTGCACCCACACGCGCCGCCAATCCTTGCCGCCCGCTGTGTTGTTTTGTTGTTCATTGTCCTGCAACTCGTCTGCACTCGTCCGCCTCACTTCTGTGCTTGTTGTCCTGCAATCTTTTTCTGCAACACAACGCCATCCACCGCGCCCCGCTTGCCGAATCTTGATTCGCTTTTCTCTATGCTTGGCCAGCTGTTGAGCCGGCTGCCAACCGCTGGTTCTCGTTTACTCCGTCCTTCCCCCCTGCTTTTCTATTTTCACTTTGACTTTGCACTGGAAGTGTGTCACAATGGCACGAGTTTGTGGCACGACAGCGGGCATTTCATCGCTCACCTCTCCACCTCTCCAACGCGCGCCGCCCCGCCCACCCACCTTACCACGCTTCACCGTGCGATAGGTCCCCATGCAAAGCAAGCTAAACGAACAGTTCTCGATCAGGATCAGCAAGTACCAAGACGCTATCGCGGTGTGCTTCGGGAAGTCCACTCCGCAAAGCTCAAGTTCCGCCCGCCCCGACACGACACACGGAGGACTTCACTATTGTGGCTTAGGTTTGGGTGCATGACGGGCATCTTAGCATCATATTGTTCGCTCTCTCGTCTTCCAGTTTCCCTCTGGCTGTCATATTTTCTCATACCTTGACACTCTGGATTGTTTATCGCCCACCCGGGAAAAGGGCCGCAATTTGACAACACACATGGACTCGGACGTGCCGCGACGGGAACTGTTTCGAGAATCACAAACGACGAAAGATGGATGAGCGCGGAAGGACCCTTTGACGATCCACACGCTCAATCGAATATTGACTCTCCCTGAAGAACCGTCGAGCCCAGGCCAGTGCATGACTGTTCCTTGAGCTGTATAGCTCCCTGTGGAGACACTTTCCAGCACAAGTTAATTTTCCGTCCACAACCGCATCCATTCTCTTGTAGGAGTGCACACCCCTGGCCGACCGAGAAAAGACCTGCATATTTGTGTTTGGCAAGCCGCAATCTGCGGTCTGCATATCGACCCTCCTGTCGCGCGCGCTTTTGTTGTTTTGCGATGCAGTTCTTGCGTTTTGCTGTCTCGTGCAGTTTTCTCTGTCTCCACCCAGCAATTCTGTCACATTTCTGCTCATTTATTTTTGAGCCACCGAACGCACAGGACACACTGAGCTGCAGCAACATGCAGCAACCTGCATGAAGCTCTCTCAGAATGCCAAACACCCTTTGCCTATTCACGGATGATTCTGCCGCAGTACCCGCCATGAATTTTTTTAACATGTTGACCAGATGTCTTTTATCCCCTGTTTTGACTTTTTTTTCTTTATACACGGCCCAAGTCAACTGCTTGGGCCAGAGCCATGCTCGGTTGGAACGACACGTTTTGTTGCCCACGCTGCAAGAGCTTTCAGGCATCTCAGCTCTAGCTTGTGTTCGCAAGGACTTGCTTCCCCTACTATATTTTATGTTCAAGTTTTTTTTTGTTTCTTTTGTTTCTTTTGTTACGAAGGTGATATATTTTCAAGGTCAGACGCCTCGCCGTTGTAGTCCTCGGTGAAGCTACCGAGCACGAACTCGGCACATGGCTTTCCCAATACGCACTGGCTGTTTCTTGTATCACCTCATTCACGTACGGCGTTTCGCGTGCACTTTCCTGCTTTCGAACTGCTTCCTTTCGATCCCCTACGTCAGTGTTCTCCGTCTTGGCCTTCTCGCCTGTGTTCGTTTTCCATCCCGACTTATTACTTCCGACCATGTGGCAAGTTCTGCCAGCACCTCAAGCGTCGCCCACCATCCTCGGATCTTTTCACTTTGCATGTTTGCTTCGTTTGATACAGGTGGTTTTTTTTTATGAAAAAAGCAAACAAGAGCGGAACTGGTGGCCTACGCTATGGGGTCAAGTCGCCAAATCACAGGAAGCAGTTGCTGATCGCCAACAGAGAAGGCTAGACAGCATAACCGGACAGAGATGTAAGGCCCACATGGATGATGTCTGAGAATGTGGAGAAGGACAATGACCCTGGGATGCTACGTTGCGCAATTCTATCCAGGGTATCTGCGTTTTCCCGTACTCTTTCGTTTAAGCTGCTCATCTCCAGTCCTTCTGCTTATGTTCATCGTTCTTGGGTGTGTGATTGGTGAGCGGTTAACCCGGTTAGATCTCCGTTAGCACGCAGAAGGCATCCGGGAATGATTTGGGGTCAGGTTCTTTTCACCTTTGACACGGCAGGTTTTCGATCTTGTTTTTTGTTTCCCCCCCCCCCCCCCAACTCTGATCTGTCTCCACCGTGGCACGTTTGGACCAGTCAGCGGGACAGGTGGACGATCATTCCGAAGGGATAGAGCGACCTACCCTCGGCGCTACATCATATGAAACCTCACCGGGCTAGGCTAGGTCCAACGACCGGCAGGTTTATGATTTTATTTTACCACCTGGTTTGATGCTGGTTCGGTGGGTTTTTTTGTCGAAGAAAAACCTCGGTGGTACTACGGCTCACTTCAGCCACACCAAACTCCGAAAAGCGGCCAAACTGCCAAACAACCAGGCCCACACACTACGGAACGACCTGTTTTAATATTCCCTCGTCATGTTGCCGATGGATCTTTGTGCCTTTGCGATTACGGGCAGGTGTAAGTTGCCGTGCAGTTTGCCTGGACAGATACGCTGAGAGAAATGGCTTCTAGGTCTTAGAAGCGAAGAGCGAATGTAATTTGCAAACGAGGGAGTTACCGAGGAGTCTGTTGACGTTTGGTTGCATGGAGCCAAAATGCGTCCGTCTGTTTCAGTGCCTTTTCAGTATCCTCTATATTTCGCCAATAGCAATGTTTTACACTTCTGACTTTGCTTTTTCGACCGTCAAGACGGCATGCTGTACAAACGGTACAATGGCACGATACAGCACTTCAGAACACTACGAACATGAAAGGGTTACGGTGTGCCGGGACGATGGGCAAGCAGGTGTACGGCCCTCACAAAGACCCTCAGAGAGTGCCTGAGCCAGGATGACTAGGTACAAGGTCTGTCGGTGCAAGCCATCAACAAGAAATGGAACAGAACAAGGCTATCGACCTGCATCATCGTCTCTTTCGATTGCCGTTTAGTAAGATTACGATACGGTGGCCGACACCTTGTCAGCTTGCGCCCTGTTGGCTGAGATGTATCAAAGACGGTCCGTCAATAGGAAACTCTTGAGCGCCTTCAAATATTCTGTAGAGGTGTACATACCATGCCTCAACAGGCGACAGAAGAGGAGGGGGCAAGCAGATGTGCTGGGATGCTGGAACAAGTGCCAGCACATGCATGCGCTCGCATTTTTTCAGCTTCTTACCTGCAGCATTACTCGTCAATACTCCCGTACAAACAACTATTGTTTTCCCAATAGCAACACGGCCTTCCTTTCTCCGTCCATTTTTGTCTTTGATACGGGCAGGTCCCACTCATAACGACATTCCGCTTTGATGTACCCGTCCCAATACCCAATGGCTTGCTCAAGGCAGTTCGCTTCCTCATTGGCGTGATTGAAGACGAGATGGCGACGTGATTGGGGCAGAGCACATTTGGGAACACTGACAAAAAAAATACGACAGGTCAAACATTTTTGCTCTTTTCGTCACGGCTGTAGTCGGGCTCCAACTGCCACTTCATTCTTGCCTTGTTATTTCTAGAGTTTGTCTATGACCCAATTGTACGAGTTTCCTAGACAGGACGCCTGGACACAATGCCGTTGATTGTGTTTTGCTGCCTGCCGTCCACTTTTGCCCTCTGCAAAGTCTGCCGCTCTTGTTCCACGTTTATCTGCATGTTTGGTAGTCAACCATAGTACCAGATTCTGCACTTGTCCTGGAAGAAGATTTGGCACACCTTCCCTTCCCGGGCAATCCTCGTATGCATGCGAAGAGCTGGTTACTGGGCATACAGTTTGCATGCATGCTGGCAGAGTTCGTGGCCACCGGGCGTTGGATAGCATCCAGAAAAACAAAGTCTTGCTCTGCAGCGGGAAGTCGGACTGAGGCATGGCAGTTGACAAACCCAGGCTCAAGCAAGGAGAATAAGGGTGGATGCCGCAACGAAAGCCGCATGGAATATAGCACTGCGTCAGTTAATTTACTCCTTGACTGCCCCGAAGACGGGGAGCGGACGGATAAGAAACGGACGAACGGGAGCTAGGCCGAGTGAGATGCTGGTACACTAGGCAACATCTCTCATCTTCGTCGACATTCGGTATGAGCCGTGTAAAGACCATGACCATGCTCGTTTCCCGTTTCGTCGAAAAGGACAGCTCGTTCCCGCACAATGCCTTCCGGATGCACAACATGCAATGTCCAGCGTGGAGAGAAGCGCAGGATGATGCCAATGCGGAGTGGGTATTTGTATTAAGGGCAGTAAACAATATCATACATATTCTTCTTCATTAACGGCATCGACTCGGCGAATGCTCTCATTTCCAACGAGCGCTGCGGCTACTTCTTGACGTCGTTGACATCCACGTCCTCGCCGACGGAGAACCGAACCGCGGCCATAACCAGCTCCTTCCAGACCTGAAGCTCCCGCTCGTCCCGCGGGACATAGACAATCAGGTAGGTCGGTGGGATGCGGGCGGCCGGGCTGCCGGCCATCAGATGGCGCTCGCCCCAACCGGCCTTGACGACCCAATAGGCATCGCCGAAGCTGAACTGCATGTGCGAGCTCGCCTCGGGGTGGGCGTGGCAGATCTCGACGGGAGCCCGGGGAAATTTGACCTTTTCCTTGTCCGTTTTGTCGCCCTTGGTAGACGTCTGGTCCTGGTCCTGGTCCCGATTCTGGTTTTTGGGTTTGGTCGGATCGGGGTCCGACCACTTGGCGCCCAGTATCACGGCGTCCTTGGCCCACAGCGCAGGTGTCTCGTTCCCCTCGAGCGCCGACGGCCGGATCTCAAGCAGGTCCGGATTCGCCGCCGCTACGGCCTCGAGGAACGCCTCCTGGGCTGCGCGCGTCGCGGCTGGATCGCTCGCGATATCGGTTGTCTGCCGCTGGGGCGCCGTGTAGCCCGGAATGGTGGGCCGCGGCCCCTGGCGTGCGGGCAGGGTCGTGTCGATGTCCAGGTACGACTTTTGGGCGCGCGCGCTGCCGCCGTAGCGAGCAATGACGGCCGGCGACGGTTTCTCAAAGTCGCTGGTGCTGCGGGGATCGCGGAGGGCAAAGAGTTGGCCCATGCCTTGGTAGAGCCATCCCCAGACGTTGTGGGAGATGCCGCCGGGCCCGAGCGCAAGGTAGCCGCGGTAGGAGCGGTAGGCCGGGGGCAGCAGCAACAGCACGCCGACAAGGGACGCAGAAGCGGCAGCGAAGAGCTTCGGGCGAGTGTGGCCAAACGTGGCGAGGCGGTAAAAGGCGTCCTCAAGCGGATCGCCAATGGCCGACGGGAGCGGCATAGTGGAGACGGCAAGGGGAGACGGCAGGGGGAGACGATGAGCTGCAAAGGGGAGGAGGGACTCGAGAGATTCCGTATGCATCAAAGTCAAAGCGACGGGCTTCTCGTTGTTTTATGAAAAGCTTAAATTCTCTGGCTGTTCGGTCCGGTCGATAAGTAGGCTGCGCGATGTGGTGCGGGTCACAACGGTGTGAATGTCGTGCGACGTACAAGGTGGTACAAAGAAAGTGTAACGGCTCTAAATCGATGCCGCGAAGCTGAAATGCCAATGTCACTGTCCGATGGAGATTGCTTTTGTTTCGTCGCTACCTTTTTGGGGATTGAGAATGGCCACGGCGATGGAAACAAAAGAAGGGAGAAGTGAAGCCAGAAAACAAATGAAAATACCGGATGGGCCAGAAGGGGGGACGGTGACAAAAGGAAGAGAGCCACCGCGGGAAATGTTTACGAGGAGAGCGAAAGGAATACGACTAAGTGCGGTGACGTTGACGTGACGGCGGCGGCGCATCTCGGAGACCGGATGCCACCAGTGAACCGCTAAGCATTGTCAGGTGAGCGTGTTGGCGGGGCGGCAGCAGATGACCAATAGACGACTCTCCCCCGAACGGTGTACGAACACCACAGGGCTGAGAGGGTGGGGTTATGTGCTGTAAAGTCCGCTGTCGCGCGCATGTGGGGGGGTCTCGGCAGCGCTAAAACTGCCAAAAACGAACAAGCTACGGCGCATTATAGCGAGATGCGGCCCTGGCCGGCATCCGGGGCGGCCCAAAAACGAAAGCCGCTCCCGGACGTTTGCCATGACAAAGAACAGACGAAAAATGGCGCGGTGGTTGAGGTCATCCTCCGACGTCAGAACGGTAATGTCACAATGCTACATGTTGCCCTCGGTTATTGTGTTGGTATCGACGAAATTGCCCCGTCCAAAGCTGCAACAACTGCCGAAACTTGAGAGTCTAGACCCTTTGCGGATGCTCTCGTCTCTGCTTGTCGTCGTTGGTATTTATCCTTTTGTTTTTTATAGAGACGTTAAGGGTATCATCTTAGCATCGTTGTGAGTCCCGAGTGGTTTGCTCTGTGCTGTTGTTTGAATCATACTAGCCTACGCGGCCTTTGCATGTTCGATCTGCAGCCTCATCCATTGTCTTTTCTTTGTATTCCCCGTTTTCAAACTCTCCACGTAAACTGCCTAGCCACTAGCTGTGTTGTCTGTCCACTCGGAATAAGGGCATTGACTAAACACAGCCGCAGTTCAAAATAATGAGCCAAGATCTCGATCAACCACAACTCAAGTCGGGGAGATTCAACATATTGTCCGACTCGTTTTGTTGTCGTGTCTGTTTTGACGATTATTCTTGTTTACAGTACAAAACAGAACCTTCATGCCGTGACAAGGATGACGGTCGCCAGTCAAACGAAGCAGATGCAAAGCATCGCATGTCGTACACATTGCAAAAATACAACTCAGAATGAGCAATTGCAGTCCAGCAAAGGTCGGCAAAGGACAGGGGGCGTCAAAGCCTGACACAGCGTCGAGTGGTAAGCATAATTGGAGGCTCCTGATCGACCGCGGGCTGGCCATGCTTTGACAACCCAGGGGTCCCAACTGCGGCACGCAGAGCCTCCATCGGACTGTGAGGCTGTGAGCACTGCATTACGACGTACGTGCGACGTACTTGTCCGATGACGAAGGCGACAGATGAAAATCGTCCGAACGAAAGAACAGGAATCTCTACAATTGCGTAGACAAACGTTGGTAAATGTCCGTTGCACGGTCGTTTCGCTGTACGTTGGGTTTTCCAGAATGAAAACATTTCAACCAGAATTTTGCATCATCAACAACACGACGACATGTGGCTGAGCGAAGTCTAGCAAGAAGTTACAACATGCACGAACTCACTTGCTCATGCTCGGTTTACCCTTCATCCAATATGGCGAAGTCATTATGCTTGACATGTCGAAAACACTGTGAACGGCAAGGGTCTGTCTGGGCTGGACAGGACAGGGTAGGTTGGCGTACGGGATGTCGACATGACCAGCGACAGAAGCCAGTACCACTGTACCCTTTGGCCGTGGAGAGGCGCTGGTCTCACTTACACCAATTTCAATAAATTCAATCAACACTCGCCGTCATTTTCGTCACTGAGACAAAAAGCCGTTGCTGTCTTCATTCGGCCGCCTCCGCATCTTTTTCATTTATTTTCTCATTTTACAGCATCATCACTTGCCCCAATTCAGTCACGTTGTCTTCGGATTGTTTTCGGATTGATTATTTCGCCACGCCTTTCTCGTCATGCCTCCATTCTCTTCACAGGCCATTCTACCAGAAACAGCCCCCACCCCCTTTTCATACCCCCGTTACAGAATCTCCAAAACTTCCCATAAATGATCGCCGTCTTGTCGTGTCTCGCAACCCTCCCGGCCCGGCACAAAGAGCCAAGCATTTACCATTGTCCAAGTCTTCCAATCCTTGTCTGTTTTGTTCGTCTCTCCACTCTCGTCTTTGAATATGGCACTGTCCAGCTGTCGCCGTGTCTATCGTGGCCGCCTTACGAAGCCACACTGCCACATCCTTTTACTTCTGGCAGGTAGTTTCCATGAAACAGATAGCCGCTCTTGGAATTGATGCAGGTTTCTGGGCAGACTGTCGTTTACGTTGCACACTTGGAATGCAAATTGAAGAGCGCATGATCTGCTGGTCATCCCTTCTACCCCGGCCAAGGCAAGCAGGCAGGAGTCCAAGAAACTCTCATGCTTTCAGTAAACGGTAGTCCCTACGCCAAAGTCATGTCTTGACATTAATTTCTGTCCTCGGAAGGTCTGGATCCCCCCAGCTGCTGTCGTCGATCCTGCCGCGTTTTCTCCTTTCTTCGCTAACCTGTTGTTTTGCCTTTATGTGTCTTGGCTCGCCGTCTTTTGTCTTCCGTGCTTGGCTCTTTTTCTTTTGTTTTCCTTCTTGTCTTCTCTTTCTTCCTTCCTCTTTCCCCCTTCCTTTACTCTTTCATCTCTCTCCTCTTCTCCTTGTCGTGACCCCATTCTGCTTGTTTCCTGTTTCTTGGCTGGTCTTGGCTGGGTTCCTACCTTTCTTCTGATACCCTTCTCTCTCCAATATCTACTGCATTCTTTTTTATTTCATTCCTTTGATATCTCGACGTCCCTAGACGGGCCTTTCATTCTTTTTTTTCACGTTGCTATTTCTTCTTCAGTCTTCCCTTTTCTTCTTCGTCTCTTTTGCCTACCCTACAAAACGGCCTTTCTGTTTATTCCAGCCAACAATTCCACACGCGCCCATCATGAAATTTGCCGTCTCGTCTGCTGCCGTGGCAGTGTCCTTGGTGGCCCTCGTGCCGGGCGCGCTGACTGCCGCCGTTGCCAAGAACAAGAGCCCGACGGCCGGCCGCAACGTCGAAGTCACAAAGGAGATGCTTGAAGTCTCGGTCGTCGGTGGCCAGACCTTCCGCGCGCCCCAGGTCCTCAACACCGGATTCATGCAACAAGGCCGCGGTCCTCGTGCCATGGCCAAAGCCTACGCCAAGTTCGGCCTCCAGATCCCGCCCGAGCTGCTCCTGCTCCTCGAGGAAATCCTGCTGTCGTTGGGCATCACGCCCGGCAGCGGGGGCATAGCGGGCGGTTCGGGAAGTTCTGGCAGTTCGGGCAGTTCGGGGAGCAGCGGAAGCTCCGGGTCTGCGGGGGGGAACGCGTCGACCGACGCGGGCCAGGGCATGGTGGCCGCGATCCCGCAAATGTTTGACGCGGAGTACCTGGCCCAGGTCACCATCGGCACGCCGCCTCAGACGCTCAACCTCGACTTTGACACGGGCTCGTCGGACCTGTGGGTGTTCAGCTCGGAGACGCCCAAGGCGCAGCAGGGCGGCCAGAAGCTGTACAACATTGCGGCAAGCACGACAGCCAAAGTGCTGGCGGGCGCCACGTGGAACATCCGGTACGGCGACGGCAGCAGCTCGTCGGGCGACGTGTACCTCGACACGGTGAGCGTGGGCGGCGTGACCGTCCAGAACCAGGCGGTGGAGTCGGCCAAGCAGGTGTCGGCGTCCTTTTCGAGCGACGCGGCGTCGTCGGGCCTGCTGGGCCTGGCCATGAACTCGATTAACCAGGTGCAGCCGACACCGCAAAAGACCTTTTTCTCCAATGCCATGGCCGACCTGGCCATGCCGCTCTTCACGGCCAACCTGAAGAAGAGCGAGGGTATGTCGCACTTCCCCCTTTTCCCCTTTTCCCCTTTTCCCCAGTTCCCCTATTCCCATTTTGTCCCGCCCCTCTTCCCCTCTCGTTTTCTTTGCCTTCATCTTGCTAACGTGTGGTCTCCTAGCCGGTAACTACAACTTTGGCTTCATCGACACGACCGAGTTCAAGGGCAGCCTCTCGTTCATCGACGCCAACATCACCAACGGCTTCTGGCAGTTTGAGTCGGGCGGGTTTTCGGTCGGCAACTCGTCCACCGCCACCATCACCAGCTTCCCGCACCAGGCCATTGCCGACACCGGCACCACACTCCTGTTCTTGCCCGACGGCATCGTCAACGCCTACTACGGCCAGATCCGGTCGGCCGTCAACAGCCAGGCGGCGGGCGGCTTCATCTTCCGGTGCGACGAGGCGCTGCCGAACCTGACCCTGGCCATTGGCTCCTACAACGCCGTTGTCCTGGGCGGCTTCATGAACCTGGCGCCCACCAGCACCAAGGATGCCAGCGGTGCACAGATGTGCTTTGGCGGCGTTCAGTCGTCGGCCGGTTTCCCATTTAGCATTTATGGCGACGTGTTCTTCAAAAGCCAGTTTGTCGTCTTCCATGGCGGCAACACACAGCTCGGCTTTGCTCCGAAGGCCTAGGGGCGTTGAGGCAGGACTCTTTACGCGGATTGTGTGTAAACTGGGGCTTGTTTTTGGTATCAGGGTATCTTGGTTCTTGTATCCTGTCGTACTCCGTACGCAGAAGATTCGTTTCTATTCTTTGTCAGTTTTTGTGCTGTTTCTCTCTTCGGCCTGTCTAGAGCCTGTTCTTTCGTGTGCATGTCATTTTCTTTTCCCATCTTGTCGGTTCTCGCCATCGGTACATAGACGAAAGGATCCTGCTTTTCTCGTTTCGCACTTTGCGTGTATGCTCCTCATTCGTCTGAAGGTGCTTGCCCCGTGATTTGCAGGCCGTTGTTTGACAACCAACCGCTCTTTGGCGTACGTTGCCAAACACCGTCGCATTCAGCCTGAGTCTAAGGCTCATCCTGCCTCCTAATTTGTTCGTCTTTTGTGTGCGTCGCAATTCTCCGTTTTTCGTAATTTTTTCTCTTCTGTGCTCCATATACTGCGTGTGCCATTGTGTCGCCAAACGCGTCGGCTGCCTGTTTGTGTGCTCGGTGTTGCCGGCGTCGTTGAGCAGAGCAGCTTTCTGATTGCTGGATGCACAAAGAGACAAGGAATACAGCATGCGTTGTCCTGCATCGTAGACAATGGTGAAAGCGAGACGACGCGAATTGTGAACCGCTGTGTTACCCCTGATATTGGCAGGAAAAGGAAGGGACGCGTGCAACTAACCGGATTGCCTATTTGGGAAAGTACAGCTAAAGGAGGCAAATCACCCACGCCGCGAGGCTGTGACGGTTGCCTTGCCCCAGGCCCCAGGGCGTTTAGTAGTAATTATCGCAGACCCTGAGTTGAGTAGACAGCTCACAGTACCAGTGACCAAGGCAGAAACAAATACGACAGTCCCGCCGACTCCGATTCTATGTACGAGCTCGCGTATTGCTCCCGCAGTGCTCAACTTCACCTTACGCGTATTACAAGGTGCAATTATTTGTGTCCTTTTATATCTTATCTGTATCTCTGCCTGCCATTCTGTTGTGCAACGGTTCGTCCATTCACCAAACTGAGATTTCACTTCACCCTCGCCAGAGCTGACAGCTTGCGTCACGTTACTTTCCTTTTTTTTAAAAAAAAACATGTCTCAATCGTTCCTTCCCGCGTGTCCTCACAGGCACCGCCAGTGACAATGACGTGGACTGCCGCTAGCTCCTCGGCCGCGCCTCCCTGCCGCGCCTAGCTGAACTGCGCTAGCGCCCTATCAAGACCGCCTTACAGGGGCCCACTGTTTATTTGGCTCAAAGCCTCGCCTCAACGAATCCAGCTTATATCTCTTCCTGCGGTACTCGTATTTCTCAGCCCATGTCTTCTTGCGCTTAGGAGGCAGTCGTCACCGTGTCTCAAGCGTGGGAGCTTTCTGTGAAAAGCACATCTTGCAGCGCTCTTTGCGTCCACAGCGTGTGCATCGCTCCTGCCGCTCAGTGTCCACACAGCCCATCGCACCTGCCGTGACCAACCGGAAATCCTGCTGCCTACTCCTTCACTTCCTTCACACTTCACTCCTCGTCCTCTTTCGCGTCCGTCTTTTCATTCCACTTCTCCTCGTCCGGTACCATCATGCCAGAACACGACCCCGTTGTCCTCGCGTACTCGCACCTCCGCGACTTCCCGCGCGCGGCCGACGCCCTGCAGCTCCTCCGCCGCGTCGCCTCCCTCGTCAAGCCGTTGATGCGCGCCCGCCGCTGGAAGGTCCGCGAGCTCTCCGAATTCTTCCCGGACCAGGCCAACCTGCTCGGCCTCAACATCAACAAGGGCCAGAAGATCCTGCTGAGGCTGCGCTACCCAGGCGATGCCTCGCTGTTCCTGCCGCTCGAGCAGGTCGCCGACACCCTACTGCACGAGCTGGCACACATCGTCCACGGCCCCCACGATGCCGTCTTCCATGCCCTCTGGAACCAGCTGCGGGATGAGCACATGGCCCTGGCCCTCAAGGGCTTTACGGGCGAGGGCTTCTTGAGTGAGGGCCACCGGCTGGGTGGGGACTTTGACAACAGCGGCAGAAACAACTGGGGCGCAACGGGCATCACGTCCAGCGGCCCCTCCTCGGCTGCTTCCAACACGCTGAAGCGGCCCATCTCCATGGACGAGGCCCGGCGCTTGGCCCGCGCAGCCGCCGAGCGACGCCAAGCCAAGGCTGCTGAAAAGGAGCGCCAGAGCAGACAACCGAGCAGTGGCAGCAAGACTACCGGTCACCGCCTCGGCGGGTCAGCGTCGTCGCCGGCCAACGACATGCGCAGCGTCATCGCCGATGCAGTCGCCCGCCGCAATAGCCACACCCCCGAGACCATGCGCGGCTGTGCGACTGACGGACCGCAGTCGGAGTACACCGACCAGACCCGCAAGTGGCTCGCCGACCAGGCGGCCCGCAACGGGTTCCGCACCCAGGCCGAGGAGGACGCCGCCAACGACGCCGCCATTGCCCAGGCTCTGTGGGAACTGGTCCAGGAGGACGAGCGACAGCGGCTGGGCGATCGGTATGTCCCGCCGACGGCCGAGCGGCCAGAGGGCAACGGTGGGTGGCTGTCGTCGTCCAACGGGGACCGTAGCCAGGGTGCAAGCAGTGCCTCGCCCATCGTGATTGATGGCGACGTCATGCATGTTGACCCGCCTCGAGGACCGCCGCCGCAGCACCGTCGTCCAGCACCGCCTCCGCCAACAACACGGCCACGCCCTACGTCCATGTCTGCTGTCCCGCCAGGAACAGCAACACGCCGCGCACCTCCCTCGCCTGGTCCGAAGCCGGCTGAGCTCAGTTCGAGCTCGGGCGCGCGGCCCCGATCGAGTTCTTCCGGCGCCACGTCTTCCAACGCCAGCCGTGGTTGGACCTGTAGCATTTGTACGCTGCACAACCCAGGCACGTATCTTGTCTGCGACGCCTGCGGCGTCGAGCGTACGTCCTCGTCGTCACCTCCAAAGAACGCAGGGAAAGACGGACAGCCATCGTCGCACAGATCTTCGCACTCCCACGCACACTCCAACACTCCTACGTCCCTCCATCCACCACCACCACCACCACTGGCACATCGCCCGGCACCCCCTCCACCGACGTCTGGATCGGTACCGCTCGTGCCCCGCCGCTCCCCTGCTGCTCAGAATGCGGCCGCTGCCGCCTCAGCCCGCGCATCGGCCATGCGGCAGTCGGGACAACCCGCTAAGAAACCGCGCGTCAAGAAGCAGGTTCGCTTTACTCCTTCGACGCGTGGTGGCTCCGTCTCGTCCATGACCTCGACCAGCTCCAGAGCCCGGCCACGGTCGCCACCGCCGGCGACCTTGACCAGCGGTGTCGACAGTGTTGTCAGCAATGGCAGCTCCAGTAATGGCGGCTCGACGTTTGACAAGATCCTGGCCAAACACAGGCCGGCGCCGCCACCCAACCAACCGCCCAGGCCAGCTCCCGCCTCCTCGTCGATCGCATCTTCGTCCAATTCTGCACCGTCTTCGTCCTCGCCGGCACCCGCTTCGGCCACGTGGATGTGCACCATGTGTTGGGCCAGCATGGGACATAAGCACACCACGTGCGGCTCGTGTGGAAAGCCAAGAGAAGCATGGCAGAATTGAGCGACAACCTCAGACAATCGTCCCACGATGTACCTTTACTTGTACCACGCGTTACATTCATAGCCGGCGTTCGTTTGTTAACATTCAGGCGTTTTGGTCATCCTAGAGCATTTATGAGTGTACGACTCTATGTATGGCAATCCTAGAAGCTCACAAATAATTAAAAACAAACTTGAATATTGTCAAGAAAATCTTGAACATAATGTAACGTTCATGTCTTTAAACATTTTCTATCGCCGCTTCATTTCAAACACAACATGAATAAAATCAACAAAACACAGTACCTAGATCACCGCATTGACAAACCCGTTCGTGTGACCCAACCTTTGCCTGCTTTACTTCTCCAACGATGCCAGACGGATGCTCACGGCCCGGCGGTGGGCCTCCAGCTCCTCCACCTTGGCCAGCTGCATCACGGCGCCGCCCACATTGCGCAGGCCCTCGACCGTCAGGTTCGAGCTGGTAATGTGCTTGACAAACGAGCCCAGGTTCACGCCCGAGTACTGCTTGGCGAACCCGTACGTCGGCAGCGAGTGGTTGACGCCCGCCGAGTAGTCGCCCACGCTCTCGGGCGTCCACGCACCGACAAACACGCTGCCGGCGTTGAGCACCTTGGGCACGAGCGCCGGCGCGTCCCGGACCTGCAAAATCAGGTGCTCGGGCGCGTACGCGTTGCTGACGGCCATGGCCACGTCCAGGTTCGGCACCTGCACCGTCACCGAGTGCCCAATCGCGCCGCGCACAATGTCCACGCGCGGCAGCGCCATGGCCTGGCTGTGCACCTCCGCCTCGATCGCCGCCAGCTGCGCCTCGCTGAGGTCGACCGCGAGTAGCACCACCTGGCTGTCCACGCCGTGCTCCGCCTGCGACAGCAGATCCGACGCCACAAACGCCGGGTTGGCCTCGGCGTCTGCCACGACCAGCACCTCCGAGGGCCCCGCCGGCATGTCGATGCCGACACCCGCGTTGGTGTCGTTGCTCACGAGCATCTTGGCGGCCGTGACAAACTGGTTGCCGGGGCCCAGGATCTTGTCGACCTTGCTGACGCTCTCCGTGCCGTACGCCATGGCGGCGACCGCCTGGGCGCCGCCGGCCAGGACGATGCTCTCGGCGCCGACCTTGTGGGCGACGTAGACAATCTCGGGCGTAATGGTGCCGTCGGCGCGCGGCGGGCTGGCCAGAACAATCGTGCTGCAGCCCGCGACCATGGCGGGGACGCCCAGCATGAGTGCCGTGCTGGGCAGGACGGCGGTGCCGCCGGGCACGTAGAGGCCGACACGCGCAATCGGCCGCGCGAAGCGGCTGCAGACGACGCCCGGCATGGTCTCGACGGACAGGGGCTTGTCCTCCTTCTGGGCGGCGTGGAACGTGCGGATGTTGTTGAACGACAGGTCGATGGCGGCGCGCGTCTCGTCGGACAGCTGCATGAGCTCCGGCGGGAAGGGTGCCTTGAGCACGGGTGACGTCAGCGACGTGGCCTTTTCAAACTTGTGCGTGTACGAGAGCAGCGCCTTGTCCCCGTTGGCGCGGACGTCGTCGATGATGGGCGTGACGATCTTCATGATGGCCTCGGACGACTTTTGCGACGGCCGCCGAAGGGCCTCGTCAATGTCGGCGGCCGAGACCTTGGACGCGTCAATGCGCTTCATCGCGATGCGGTCGTCGACAGACGGCTTGGCAACAGCCACAGCGGCGGCCGGAGCAGCGGCGGCCTTCTCCGTCACCTTCTCCTCCCACTTGGGCTTGGCGTTGCCCGGGCGGCGCTGGACCTTGAGGCCCTTGGCGTCCAGGCTGCGCTCAATGTCGGCCAAGCTGACACCGGCCGCCGTCGCCTTCACGAGCGCAAAGTAAATCAGGTCGGCAGCCTCAAAGGCCACCTCCTGCTGCGTCTTGGCGTCGCACAGCTCCTCCGCCTCCTCCATAATCTTGGCGCGCAGCAGCTTTTCGTCGGAGAACAGGCGCGCCGTGTAGGAACCGGCCGGTGCAGACGCCTTACGGGCCCGCAGCGTCTGGTCCAGCCGGGCGACACCCTGCAGATCGCCGAAGCAACCAAACTGGTCCAGGTGGCAGAAGCGGCGGCCCTCCTGGCGCACCACAAAGTGCAGCGCGTCGCGGTCGCAGTCGAGGCCGATGCGCAGCAGCGTCTGCGTGTCGCCCGAGGTGGCGCCCTTGTGCCACAGTCCGCGCTTGCGGCTCTGGTAGACGCCCGTCTGCGTGCGCAGCGCCTCCGCCACGCTCGCCACGCTACTGTAGACCAGGCCCAGCGCGGCGCCCGACTGGTCCGTCACGACGGTCGTCACCAGCTTGTCCGGGCGGTCCGACTGCCACGCCGCCTCCAGCAGGCCGGCCACCGACACCTTGTCTTGGCTGTCCGTCACCGTCGTCAGGGCCGTCGAGGGCAGGATGGGGATGGCGTGGATGCGCGCCGCCGACTCGGCAAACGTCGAGACGGCCGTGGGGGTGGCAACGGACGCCGGCGCGGGTTGCACGAAGAGGGAGGGGTTCGTCTTGGTCGCGGCGGCGGCTTCGATAAAGGCGCTGCTGGTCGAGGCAGCCACGTCGAGGTCCGTCACGAGCAGGCCGCCCTGCTCGGCGGTGGTCGCGCTGGCAAGGGAGGCCGCGCTGGCATCGGTGGCCGACACAGCAGCCGCAACACGGGCTCCATAGGTGGGCGCCAGCTCGGCGAGCTGCGACGGCTGGACAAAGACACGGCGGGCGCCAAGGTCGAGGAGGGCGACGACATCGTCGGGCGAGGTCAGGGCAGTGCCATCGACAAAGGGCACGAGCTCGGCGCCGCGGGCGGCCAGGAGCGCCTGCAACTGGGACAGGTTGGCGGGGTTCGCCTGGAGGAAGATGGTTCCCAGCACAGCGATCTCGGCGGGTGTGAGGCCTTCGCTGACGCTGTCGAGGGCAGCTGGGACGCTCACCACGAAGGGCAATGGCAGTGTAGACTCCATGGTTGTGGTGGACAAGGGAGGTTGTTGGCGTGCACAGAAAAGCACAGAAAATCACAGTGAGGGGATCACCAGATGCGACGTTCGAAAAGGAAGGGGGGACACGGAAATAAATAAAAATATAAAAATAGGGCCACTCCGCTACACGGTCTACAGCGGCAGGTTCGAGTCATAGTCCTGCCGTTCGTGCTTGCCAATCTTGCCAAACTCACTACGACTACTCATTAAATTTCTCTCGTCTAGTTTCTCTTTTTTTTTTTTTTTTTTTCTTTGGCTGGCATTGAGTCGGTCGTTCCTGCCCACCGGTGGAGGGCTGCATTCTGATTGGCTGCAGCTCTTGTAAGACTCTGGCAGCTGCAGAAGGCCGATTTGCGGATGACGAAATGTGTGAGACGGAAGAATCCATAAGGCGAATCATTTGATGAAACGTAACTGGATCTGACTGCTATCTCACCATGTCTCAAAAGCCTTGTCTGCAACCGTTTTGCCTTGCACAGGTCCATGTCTTTTCGTTTTGGCCGTAAACGCGAAGGTCGCTCTTGAGATACGGAGTGGGGTCAGTCACGTGCAGCTCTCTGTCTACACAGGGCGTCAGGGCGTTCAGTCAGACACCCCTCACTAGCCTAGTCCCAAAAGAGTGTACTTTAGGAGGCTGGCGCTCACTGGCAGGATCGTCCAGGTGGCTTCCATGACAACGGGCGAGTACGTTGCACCGCTGTGGGCCACGCCGCAGGGCAGCAGCAACTGCTACAGCGAGCTAAGAGAACACACCACCCAAATACGAATCTCTCATCGCCTTGTTTGCTTCTGATCTTTTGATCCTCCTCTCCTTCTTCACTCCCTCCACCATCACCACGTCTGCACACGACTGGCTTTCCGCACGCTTGCCATCTTCATCTCGATTCAACGCATCCCTTTCTTTCCACTCGTTCACTCCCAAATACCGCAGCCATGGATTTCAAGAACATCGGCAAGAGCTTCTCGTATGTTCAACTCTGCTTACAGCGACCCCTCGCATGCTAGTCTTCATCAGCTTGCAGACTGTTTTGTCATACATGGTGGCTTGAGCCGCCGTCTGAATGTGTCGGGCTCCTCCGTTGCGAGTAGTGTGCTAATGATCCCCGCCGCAGCAACATCGGGGCGTCCATCACCCCCTTTGCCTCGCGCACCTTCCAGTACACCAAGGAGCAGCTTGGCCAGGTCGACGACAAGGTATGCCGGCCGTCCACCGACCGCGACGATGTGCTCTGTCCCGTGATACACACTGAAAACTGACAAGGAGCTTCTGCCCCTCTCGTATAGACCCAACTGCCTCCTGACTACATCGACCTCGAGAAGCGTGTCGACGCTCTCAAGCAGGTGCACCAGAAGATGCTCGCCGTGACCTCGCAGTACTCCCACGAGCCGTACGACTACCCGCCCAACATCAAGGAGACGTTCAGCGACCTCGGCCGTACCGTCTCCGAGAAGGTCACCCTGCTCTCGTCCGCCTCGTCGCCCGCCGAAGCCCAGGCCGCGCTGACCGCGCCCCCCTCGGCCAAGCCCCAGCCCAAGACCTTCGCGCACGCCATTGCCCGTGCGTCGCTCGCCAGCAGCCAGACGCTGCACCAGCAGCACACGGGCGCCGGCGAGGACCCGCTGGCCACGGCCCTCGAGAAGTATGCGCTCGCCCAGGAGCGCGTCGGCGAGGCCCGCCTGGCGCAGGACGCGCAGATCCAGAGCCAGTTCCTGGCCGGCTGGAACACGACCCTCAACACCAACCTGCAGTTTGCCACGCGCGCCCGCAAAAACGTGGAGAAGTCGCGCCTGTCGCTCGATGCCGTCAAGACCCGCGTCAAGGGCAACACCTGGAAGCTGCCGGGCAACGCCGGCGCCGGCCAGCAGCACGACGAGGCGGAGCTGAGCCCCGAGGCGCAGGAGGAGATTGAGAAGGCCGAGGACGAGTTTGTGACACAGACCGAGGAGGCCTTTGGCGTGATGAAGAATGTGAGTCGGGTTCCTTGGGGCACCCCCTGATCGTGCGGTAGAGGTAGACTAGCAACTAACGCCCGCAACCAGGTCCTCGACACCCCCGAGCCGCTGCGCAATCTGTCGGAGCTCATCAACGCCCAGATGGAGTACCACAAGAAGTCCTACGAGATCCTGAGCGAGCTGGCGCCTGTCATCGACGGCCTGCAGGTCGAGCAGGAGGCCAACTACCGGAAGAGCCGCGAGAACACGTCGTCGTAGGTCGATACTCGGGGTATGGTGTACACTTGATTCGCAAATGAAACGGCCGCGGAGAGCCGCGCTCTCCATGATATCCCGTGACCCTGTAGCCGTTTGAAGGGAGAGGAGGAATGACGGTCGGCCAGAGCTGGCTTTTGATTGTCTTGGTTGCTATTTCTTATATACAGTGTTATGTTTCTGTTTTTTGTTTTCCCATGTTTTCCAATGCTACCTCCTTGATTCTTTCCGGAGCTTTTTTTTCTGCTTATATTTTTCAAGTGATTTTGGGAAGGACGGTCGGTCTTTTGTCTTTCGAACCCTCCCTCTGTCTGCCATTACAATGTCAACTTGAACGGTGAAATTATTACGGGGTTGACAGAACCAGGGAGGCAATATTGGTACTCTTATGTATTATTTTCGCTTCTATTTGTCTTTGGTGACATACACATTTTTAAAACCCGTTGCAAAGTCTGCTATCTGCTATGTAGACATGACCTGATGGTACAGTGAACATCGTCATAGCGGCCTCAGCCCACAAATGCCTGTAACTGTCCCCCACAACCACGCTAAAGCCACAATTCTTACAAGGCTGTCAGCGCCACAAATCGCGCGAAATCGGTCGCCCTTGCTCTGTTCCCCAAAATAGCGTGCACTTTTGAGGCCTCTTTTTCCGCGACCGACTCGTCGACAACACTCCCCTCTGCCACCGACGTCCCACCCTCTCACCACCTAACGCCTCCTCCTGCGACGGCCCCTTGCACACCATGGTATGCCCATCGTCCCCTCTCCTTCTTTGCGCACCCTTGCTGACCATCTCGCCACAGCTACCCCTCGGCCTCCTCAGTGCCGCACAGGGCCATCCGATGCTGGTCGAGCTCAAGAACGGCGAGACCCTCAACGGCCACCTTGTGCAGTGCGACACGTGGATGAACCTCACCCTCAAGGAGGTTGTGCAGACGAACGCCGTATGTTGCGCCCCTCGTTGCGCGCTCCGCCATTGGCCGCTCTCCCTCCTCACCTGTTGCTAACCCTTGTCTCTTCAGGACGGCGACAGCTTTATGCGCATACCCGAAGTCTACGTAAAAGGCAACAATGTAGGCACCCTTTGTTCGCTTTCCATAAACATGTTCGCACGCTGACACCTGACACCCGCAGATCAAGTACCTCCGCGTCCCCGACGAGATTATCGACACCGTTAAAGAACAGCAGCAGCAGCAGCAACAACAACACCAGCATCACTACCAATCGAACTTCCGTGGCGGCAGCCGCGGCGGCAACAACAACGGTGGCCATCCGCGCGGCGACGGCCAGGGCGGACGCGGCCGGGGCGACCGCGGTCGCGGCGGTTCACGGGGAGGCCGGGGCCGAGGCCGTGGTGACTAGGTACGCACCCAAGACGACAGAAGGTGAATCAAGCTTCCGGAGCAAGGGACACTGCGCGACCTGATCAGCAAGCGGACGACTCCCACACTCCACACCGGCTGCTGTACGGCCGCGGCCTGCTCGTCGTTCGGCCACGGCCACTGTTTGCTCGCCAGCAACAACGAGCACAGCCAACAACCACCATTTTGATTTTTGAGTTTACTGCACGGCCTGTCAAAGAGAAGGAGGATGCCAGGCCGGAAAATTATTTTTGAACATACCAAAAAAGAAAAGAAGGGGGCGGGAAAGCATTTCATTGCTTTCCAAAAGGATGGGTTGGCCTGGCAAGGTACAACCTTACGCGCCAATTAGCGGATGAGCGGCCTCGCTACCACGAGGGAAACTCATAAAAATACAAGGAAAATAGTCATAAGCCGCTCATATCTTCTCCCAACCAAGTGACAGCCTTGATCTTCCTGCATTGCGAATGCTCATCGAGTGCTGTCGTTGCTGTAGTTTAGTGCACGTGACCTTCGATTCTGCGCGACAGGGATTTTCTGCGGCAAAAGAGCACAGGCGGAGCTTCCCGCCAATTGGCACCACCAAAAAAGTTGCAAAAAAGTTACCCAACGCATGTCAACATTAGCCACACTCCGACAAGACATATTGGCAGCAACGCATTCCCGTCTGTCACATGGAATTGAGGCCACCGCTTCCCTTCGCCTCTCGACACACATGACGGGCACCCGAATTGTCGTCGACGGCCTGTGGCGGTGTCTGTGTCCCTCTGTGGATGTCCCGGCATTGCTCCGGGCCGTCAACGGAAGCAGTTATGCACGGCCAACCACACGACGTGGAGCACAGCCGGGGACAGGCAAACCAGCACATCTGGTGCACACACTGAAACGCACGCCACGGCCAGGATGCACAGCGATGCCCACCGGGACCGCTGCCGTTCCCTTGCCATCACCAACCAGCCGGCCTCGTTTGAGCTGCCGTGGATCGACGTCGTCCTCTTCCGTTCCTGGCACCGTCCGGCGCGTACACAATGGGGCTGCTACACGTGTCGGTCGCCTAGGCCTTGTGTCAGGCACGGCCAACGGTAACGCGTCGCAACGAGCAAATGGCACGGGCGGTACATTGGAGGGCGACCAACAGCACCAACTAGCCGTTCTTACGCTTCTCCGGTCGAGACCGCCTTATCGACGTGAGCTGGCGAGTGCCACGAACACGGCCATCTACGCAGCACTGCGCCACCTACAGGACACCCCGGCCGCCTTCGACCGCATTAATGCTTTTGCCCAGTACCTGTTCGAGGAGCGGAAAGAACCACTGACGACAGCACTCTGCGAAGCGCTGGTGCGCTCCAACTGCCACGTCAATGGCTCGGCCGATGCCGTACAGGACATGCTGCATGCGCTCAAGGCGTCCAGCATCGAGGGCACGCCGAGTCTCTTTCACGGCGCGCTGTCGGTTTTGGCTGTCCACCCAGACTACCTCTTGCGCAATGCCGTCCTGCGCGAGATGAAGGAGCGCTGGATCGACCTGGCACCCGACGGCCAGCAGAGCGTCGCGCTGGGCCTGCTGCGCGACGGCCAATACGAGCGCGCTCTCAACCAGCTCGACGAGATGACCGAGGCTGCGGCGACGGCCGGGGCCACGCCTGTGCCGCCGTGGCTGCTCGACATTTACGTGTACGTGCTGGGGCAGGAGGGGTTTCTGGACGACGCCCTGCAGATTGTCAACCACCGCCTGCTGCGCGACGGCGATACCGTCTCCCTCAACATCTGGTCGTTCTTGCTGGATGTGTGCTGCCGCGCCGGCCACTTTAGCGGGCTGACCTATGTGTGGAACCGTGTCGTGCGGCCCGGCGGCAACGGGCTCGTGACGCCCTCGGACGCCATGGCGCTCGACGTCCTGAATATGGCGGCGCAGCACGGCGACGCCGACTTGGCTGCGGCCGTGATGCAGATGCTGGCGGCGCGGGGCACGAAACTGAGCATGCCCCACTTTGAGGCGATGCTGGACTGCTATGCCCAGGCCGGCGCCATCGACAAGGCGCTGCAGGCGCTGTGCATCATGAACAATGCCGGCATCGTGCCGGACCAGGGCAGCACGCGGTCCATCTTCTTGCGGCTGACGGCGCCTGCGCCCTCGGCGCCGCGCAGTGCGAGAGACGTGCGGGACGCGCAGGCGGCCCAAGCGGCGACCATGGAGTCTGCCGTCGCCGCACTGTTCGACCTCAAGCGCCAGTACGGCAGCGTGCCGGTGGCTGCGTTTAACGTCGTCCTTGAGTCCATGCTCGAGTCGCACAGACACTATGCGACGGCAACCACGGCTGCTGTGGCGAAGAAAGGGACACAGGCGCACAGCACCGATGGCACAGAGGCCGAAGCCGGCCTCGATCTATACCGCCACGTCCGGCAGCTGTGCCCCACGGGGCCCAACCGTGCGACCTTCCGCCTCCTCTTCCGCGCCTGCGACGACCCCGTGCACCTCAACTTCCTCGTGCGCGAGATGCACTCCTTTGCCTTCCGCCCGGACATGGACATGATTGACGACGTCGTGTACGCCAACGCCACCAAGGGCTCGCTCGACCAGGCGCTGCAGTATGTCTTTGACCTCATCGATGAAGAGGCGGCCCGCCGGGTGCAGTCGAGCGACGCGACGGCGAGCGACGCGAGCGCCGCCGACGCGGTCGACGAGGCAAGCATTGCGGCGCACGCCGAGAGTCTTCGCCGCCAGCCGTGGATCAGCCGCCGGGCGGCCGCTGCGCTCGCCAGACGGTGCATAGAAGAAGAAGACGAGCGCATCTGGACGGTGGCCGACGCAAGCCGCGACCGCGGCCGGCCCATGGACAACATCCTACGCGAGGCCATGGGCGGTGTTCACCGGCCCAAGGCGGCACACAATGCCTACGGCGTGCCCCATGCTGTGGGCGCCGATCAGGAGGAGCCGGAGCCAGAGGAGGGAACCCTGGCGGGGTAGTCTGTATGATATGACAGATCAATTTTGCATTTCACTATAGATTCGGAGAATATATATGTCTATGTGTTTCATGATTCTTTTATGATTTTTTTGTGGCATTTTGCAACTGTGGTATAGCTGACTGGTCCCTGCTGTGAGCGGTCCATTTGGTAATCAATATAATACACGGCTGGACGAAAGCCTGACGATGTAGTGAAAAAGCAAAAACGAAGTCATCGAAATAGTAGTCCATTGCCAACGCCTATAGCTCCGGTTGCTCCAAACGAAATCAAAACATGGTCACTCTTGAGACCGCCGTCTGTGGGTCAGAGCGCCGTGGTGCTGTGCCTGTCGAAAGGCAAATACGCGCGTGAGCAATAATCCATTCCATAACGAGTGTCACTGGCGACTACGGCCCTGCCGGCTTCGCGTTGCAGCTGACAATCTTGACCTTGTCGACCGTCACCGGCGTGCTGCCGCCCTCCATCTTGAACTGCACGTTGCGAATCAAAAAGGTCCAGACTTCGTCGCAGAAGCGGTAGGTGTCGAGCGAGCCCTTGAACGTCAGACGGGCCTTGACCTGCTGCTGCAGGTTCTCGGCGATGGCGCGGTCAAAATTGGCCAAGACCTTCATGGCAAGCTGCGGGTCCATGCGGTTTTCGCTGATGAGCTCGTCGAGGGTGTCCGTAAGGGCATAGCCGATGCTGTCATACAGGGACGCCTGTCAGATCCAGGTCATCCTTCAGGCACGCTCAACAAATCGGAATAAGCTTACCTGCTCCGACGGTAGAGCTCGTAGAATGACGGTGTGGCCATTGTCAAAATGAAGGCTGGACGCCAATAGCCCGTTGCAGCGACAACGCCGAGGGAAGGGATGCGCGCGACAGAGCTGCTGAGCGACAAAAGAGTCGTTTGTGAGGTCGGCTCTTGAGTGATGGATCACAGAAATGCGCGGCGATCGAAATTCTCGTCAGTCTCGTCGCTCGTAGCGTGCAACTCGTGGGTTGTATGAGGTTGAGTTGCGAAGCAATGAAGGAAAGTTGATATACCTCGTGGATGCGGCTTCATTTTAGGCAGCGCATGCGCTGGTTGGTCAGGCTTCCCTGACCCCAGCGGGGGAAGGCACGACTTCGCCCCCTGCTTAAGAATTGCCCAAAATGACTCAGCCGTGCTAGTGAGGCCGTTGCCGGCAAGACAAGGCTAGCCAATCAGGAGACACTCTTGTCATTTTAAGGCGGTGAGAATTCTGCCAGCACTTTTTGCGGGCTGTATCAACTTTTCTTCTGCCGCCTGTGGAGAGGCTTCACTTTTTGCGAGACGATCAGCCTTTCTACAGCAAAGCCAGCACCGCCATAACTCCGCCAAGATGGTTCGCAAACTCAAGCATCATGAGCAGAAGCTCTTGCGTATGTCTTCTCTTTCCTCCTCCGCAACGTCTCGGTTATTCTTCCCCTGCTAACAATCACAGGCAAGGTTGACTTCACCACCTGGAAGCAGGACAACGACCACCGCGCCGCCGCCGTCATCCGCCGCTACATGATCCAGAAACCCGAAGACTACCACTCTTACAACCGGCTGTGCGGCTCTCTGCGCCAGCTTGCCCACCGTCTCAGTCTGCTGCCCCCGGACAGCGCCGTCCGCCGCCGTCACGAGGACCTGCTCCTCGAGAAGCTCCACGACATGGGCATCCTGGGTGTCAAGGACAAGCTCTCGAACGTCGAGCACAAAGTGACCGTGTCCGCCTTTGCGCGGCGGCGCCTCCCGATTGTTATGACACGGCTGCACATGGCCGAGTCCGTGCATGCGGCGACAGTGATGATTGAACAGGGCCACGTGCGCGTGGGCACAGAGATGGTGACGGACCCGGCGTTTCTGGTGACGCGCACTCTCGAGGACTTTGTGACGTGGACGGTGGGAAGCAAGATCAAGCGGCACATTATGCAATACCGCGACGAGCTGGACGACTTTGAGCTGCTGTGAGCTGGGGCGTTGGTCACACTCACGAGCGAGACGCAAGCAAACGACTATCTTGCTCTTCCTTTTTTTGGGCCTCAACTCCGCATAGAGTAGCCGACTACCATTTTCATGGTCCAGACACGACGGCAGCATTGGCCCTGAAATGGAGCAATATGACGATGACTTCGGGCCCACGCCCGCCGCTTCAACAAATGAAGAGAAAAGTCAGACCAGGCCGGAGGACGACAACCTACACGGACCCGGTTGCCGTACGCCATGCGCTCGGAGAAAACACTCACGTCAGATACAAGACCGCGAACACGGAGAGCAGTATTTTGGGTTTATTGTTACATCAGCCCTGGAAACAACGTGAGCTTACTCGGCTCCGCTTTGGACGGGAATTTTGGAAGGCGTTAAGGCATTTTTCAGCGAATTTATATTTGTTAGACTTGTTAAACAATTTTTACGACATTTCCAAGTACATTATTACTATCATTCTTTTCTTTTCGCTTTTCGGTGTGTATTTATTTGCCCTCGAGCAGTGATGCTAATTGAAGCAGCACCTCCAATCTCACCAACACCAGTTACCATCTACCTCTCGCTAACACTCTGAACGAAGCACTTACAAGCATTACATATGCTACAAGCCATGGTCCTTAGGACTCTTGTTGTACATTCGTAGGACTCTTTATTTGACGTGTTTCTTGAGCTGCTGCTCTGGCCCACTAAGTCCGGAATACGGCGTGTCAACTTAGCTAGTTACTAGTGAAGTGGCCCCTGTGCCTGGATTCATTAGGCCGCACTAGGTCTCCAAGAGGGGCATTACGGGACGCCCAGGTACGCGGCCTCGGCTGCCACAAATCAGACAGGTGCGCCCCTCCGGGATCCCCTCATGACGAAGCAGTTTGCAAGATACTCCATACCCCGTTTCGCTATTGCTGCCACATTTCTGTAGTCAAACGTCGGCATTTGTCTTCGCCTTGTCTTGCCTTAACTTACCTTAATACTGTGCAATTGTCCATCCTCAATCCCAGCCTATTGCTTCAACCATGGCCCCCCTCTCCGCCGCCGAGCTGCTGGCGCTCAGCGAGACCGACGTGACTGTGCGCCTCACGCCGGAGCAGTTTCTTCCCGCGTTATCGCAGGCACCGTTTGTGAACATCGAGGGCACGTTCAATGCGCGCGACATTGGCAAGCTGCCGGCAAGCACCGCGAGCCCGTCCGCGGGCACCGTCCGCCCCGGATTCGTGTTCCGCAGCGGTATGCTTGCCCGCCTTACTGATCGCGGCAAAGCCACGCTGGCCAGCGACCTCGGGATTCGTCGTGTATTTGATTTCCGGTCGCAGAGCGAGCACGCCCAGGCACCGGACCCGACGCCAGCCGACAGCGTCACCCTGGTCTGGCAGGAGACAGCCGAGGAGACGCCGCACGTGTGGCTGGAGCCATTTGCCGAGGGCTTCGGTGAGGCCGGGTTTGCGCAGACGTACTTGGACGTGCTGCGGGCGTATCGGCCGACAGTGAAACATCTTCTCGAGCACGTCCGCGACCGACCGGAGGAGCCGTTCCTATTTCATTGCACAGGTAAGAACTGCTTCCCTCTTCTCACACCTAGATGTACGGGTTCACCGACTGACCTCCTAGCCGGCCGTGATCGGACGGGCGTTCTGGCGGCCCTGCTGCTGACCCTGGCCGGCGCGGCTCCCGACACCATCGCCCTCGATTACATGCTCTCCCGCATTGGCTCGGAGCCCGTGCGCGACGAGCTCGAAAAGTTTGCGCGCATGGGCGCCGGTGTGCCGGAGCGCAAACCCGACGACAGCCCCGAGGCGATCGCGGCGGCGGTTGCAGCGACACCGCCCGGCTTCCTAAACCTCATCAACCTGCGCGTGGTGTGCTGGAACGCGTTCCTGGAGGCGCTCGACAAGGAGCACGGCGGGTTCGAGGGCTATGTTACAAAGACGCTGGGCTTCTCTGACGGAGACGTGGCCACGATCAAGAAGAACCTGACGACGGCACCGTGAGGCGGTTGTCTAGCGAGACGATACGATTCAAACGTTCCAAGTTCGAGCCTGCGTTGAATTTTCTAGAATATACGACGTGCAAATTTCAAAATGCCCCAGAAAGTGCTGCTGCCGTCATTGTCTTGGCGATGTCGCATGTCGTGCTGACTTGGTGCGACGAAAATAGAATTTCAACACCAAACATGAGGATATTAATGTTCACAATATCAAGGAATATAGCAGTGCAACCTTATGACAAGTCGACCATCTGACGGTGGCATCAAGTCGCTTTACGGTGTGGCTGCCATATTGTGCCGACTGCATATGACGTCATTTTGCAGTTCAATTAAAATTCTGGGGCACTTAGCGGGTGTTCGGGGCGTGCCACAGGGCTAAGCAGACACTAGAACCCCTGACGCAAGACATGAGAACATTTCCAAGCAGGGACTTACTTTCATGATCTCATTCAATATGACGATTCTTTTGCGAACGTGTGTGGCGCCCCCAGCCAATCTGCAGCCAAGGTGGCTCGTCAAAGGACTGCTGCATGAGAACCCTGCAGCCGCCGTGAGTTGCAGGAAGTCATGACGATGCGTTCATACCGAGATGCAGACAACCTTGGTTTGATGTCATGGACGAGTCGACATTGTTTGACGTTCGGGTCTTCCTTTTGTCTATATAATAGTCATGCCCTTCACTTTATGTCGATACGGGAAAGATATCATCACATCAACAATCACAACAATCACAACAAGATAAAAATCAAACTACAAAACCACCAACCCACCTAACCACCAAACAATACACTTAAAACTTCCCCTTCCACCACGATCCTCAAAATGCATTGGCACCACTCAACGCAAACCCGCTCCACCGGCGGTATTCTGTCACCTAAAACACGCACTACCCGCACCACCCATCGCCATCACGGCCATCACGGCCACCACAGCCACAACGGCCACACTCATCGCCATGGCCTCGGTCTCAGCACCGCTGGCGCAACTACCACAACAGCCCGACGCAGTCCCGGCACCGGCCTCTTCCACCGCCGTGTCCACACGCCACGCACAAAGGTCCGCACAGCACGCACTACGACACGCAGAACCGGCGGCGGCGGCGGCCTCTTTGGCACCAGACACCACCATACTAAGCGGTCGCATGTGCTGCCCGTGACGACAACAACACGCCGCAAACCAACAGTGGGCGACCGCATCAGCGGTGCCTTTCACAAGATCAAGGGCTCCATCACCGGCCAGCCGCGTGAAAAGGCTATTGGCGACCGCCGCATGCACGGCACCACCCGCCGGAGAAGATGGTAGATAAGAGAGCGTTTTTTGAGGGACAGGAGCGTTTTGTACAATAATAGATTTCTTTTGCATATTTCTTTTGCCTGTACGATTACATATTTGTCATAGATGCGGACATGAAATGGATACCCATTTTTGATGATTTTGTATAACTATATATATTCAATTGCAGATGAAACCCTTAAGAGCCTCTTGAGGATTTCGACAGAACTAACAAGGCTCTCTCTTTCGGTCTGATATATAGGTTTCTGTCCGCCCCATAATTAGGCCTCTTCCCACCCCGCAGACTTGCTGTAGCCCAAAAGTAACAGGCCCACCAGTGAACCAAAACAGGAGAAGCACGCAATTGACGGTTGAACGCAGGGCGTCGGAACTCGGAACTCACATTGTATCTCACTACAAGACAAGGGACACTTTCAACAGCATTGACCCTGTTTCAGTTCCGTTGACAATTGTTGCTGACCATCTCGAACGGGACAGATCTTTTGTTCTCGGGTCCTCTTGTTGCTCTTGTCAATGCTGCATCGCTTCTTCTCTCGTTCCCCGTGCAGATTTCGTGTGCCTCGGTGCTCTTTCCTCGCAGTGGAGTGTAAGGACTTATCACAATATATCAGAGCAATACAATCTTGCACTCAAGACGGCTGGAGGCCGGCCGTTGCATAGCACATTCGTCCCGTGTCCGCGGGATGCCGCAAAATGCAGATTGGCTAATGTCTTGCACATATTGGGTCGCCCGTTGTTGACTGAGTTCCGCACTCCGTATTGAAAATGCGACTGCCTTATTGGATGGTAGCGCCGGGGTGCTCCTGCTCACTATGGAAGACAGTTTCCAAAACCGCCTTTGGCCGCCCAGTAATTCCCAACTCTCCGAACGAGGCCGAACTTGGCCCAGGTCCCACGACACTCCAGGCGCTATGGCACAAGAGACAGCGTATCAACTGCCTGGCTAGTCCTCCGCTGAGGCGGGGTTTCAGCTAGGTGTTACTTATCGCCGCAGTTTGCAGCGCTCTCGGGCGCTCTTTCCTTGCAAAACCAGCAGTAGGTTTCGTCGCAGCACCCACCTCCTTCTTTCGGCCGGTCTCGCTAGTCTACTTCGCTCCAAACGGCAACAGCGACTCACAAAGTGTTTCACTCCTGCACACCCCGTTGGCCAATTGCCCGTGCGATAATGTCGGTTACCTTTGCCACTCAATTTTTTCGCACTTTCCCCTCCGCTCGCATCGCTCTTTCCGTGGCACTCCGTTTTAGTGTCATTCCGATCTGTCATTCCTCGGCACTCTTTTTCACATCTGCCTCTCCTCTTTTATTTTTTTCTATTATTTTCCCCTTAAACCATCTTCCAATTCCTCTGCCTCGCCATCGTCGTCGTCGGGTTGTTTCTCGTATTTCGGTCTGTTTTTCGGTTTCCCATATTGTCCATTTTCCGTCTGTCCGTCTTTTGTCGTTTGTCGGAACAAAAAGAAGTCGCCTCCTCTTCGATTGCTCGCATCGTCAACAGTTGTTTACCTGCCGTCATCCTCGATTCTTGCCCGCCATGTCCTTCTCCAGCCTTGTCCAGGACCTGTCCATTCGCGACGCCAACGGCAACCCCCGCCGCCGCGCCGAGGTCTCCTTTGACGACTCCGCCTCGCGCTCCTCCCACGTCTCCCGCGCCATGTCCTACACCAGCACCGCCGCCACCAGCGTCAGCATCTCTGGCGAGATCTCCAGCCAGCTGCATGGAGGCTACAGCCACCCCCTCGCGCGCGCGTGGCAGGCCGAGCGCCAGCTCACCAAGTCCATGCTCATCTACCCTCTCTTCGTGTCCGACCAAGACGACGAGGACACCCCCATTGCCGCCCTGCCGGGGCAGCGCCGCTTCGGCCTGAACCGCCTCGTTCCCTTCCTTGAGCCTCTCGTGCACAAGGGCCTGCGCTCCGTCATTCTCTTCGGCGTGCCCCTGAAGCCCGGCACCAAGGACCAGCTCGGCACCGCCGCCGACGACCCAGAGGGCCCTGTCGTCCGCAGCATCCGTCTCCTGCGCCAGCGCTTCCCTCAGCTGTACATTACCGCCGACGTCTGCCTCTGCGAGTACACCTCGCACGGCCACTGCGGCATCCTGCGCGACGACGGCAGCCTCAACAACGCCATGTCCGTCGACCGTATCTCGGACGTCGCCGTTGCCTATGCCCAGGCCGGCGCGCACTGCGTGGCCCCCTCCGACATGAACGACGGCCGCATCCGCGCCATCAAGCTCAAGCTCATCGAGGAGGGCCTGTCGCACCGCACCATGCTCATGTCCTACGCCGCCAAGTTCTCCGGCTGCCTGTACGGCCCCTTCCGCGAGGCGGCGGGCTCCTGCCCGTCCTTTGGCGACCGCAAGTGCTACCAGCTGCCGCCGGGCGGCCGCGGCCTGGCTCGCCGTGCCATTGTGCGCGACATCAACGAGGGTGCCGACGTCATCATGGTCAAGCCGGCCGGCCAGTACTTGGACATTATCAGCGACGCCAAGGAACTCGGCAGAGACCTGCCCATTGCCGCCTACCAGGTCAGCGGCGAGTTTGCCATGCTGCACGCCGCTGCCAAAGCGGGTGTCTTTGACCTCAAGACGGCCGCCCTCGAGGCCCACGACAGCATCCTCCGTGCGGGTGCCACCATCATTATCAGCTACTTCACGCCGGAGCTGCTTGACTGGCTGGACTAAGCGAAGAACAATGGACAGATGACAACGACGACGAAAGTAAAATCAACATAAACAAAACGCATGAACAAAACGGACGGCAAAATCTACAATGGCGTTTATGGGTTTTTGGCGCAACACACTATGTACATATAATATTCATTGGTTCTTTGAGTTTGGAAAGTCGTTTGGACTCTGTTGGCGGTTCTACAGCTGGCGTGCATGGAATTTTCTCTCTTTCTTGGTTTTCTCGAACAACAGCATCGTACAATTGTCCTTGCACTATATAATATGCTCCATAACTATGTATACACTTACATAAACACATCAACATATCAAACATTGGTCCCTTGACGTTGATCACTACTAAAAGTACGACGTGCTCTTTGAGTAATAAAGGCTTTTAATCGACCGTGGTATGCAGTTGTAAAGAAACAAGATGGTAAAGCAAACAATGATCGCAAACATATAAAACACAAAGAAATGTACAGGATGCCGTATGATATGGATGATGCAAATTAACCCCGACTGTACTTCCTGCCCGACTACAATTTGAAGTTGCCGCTCGACAACGCCCGCGAGACCTGCGGCTTGTTGCCCTCCACGTCCTGGAGCTCGCCCTTGCGGCCGATCACCTTGACACCGGCACGCTTCAGCGTTGCGATCGTGTCGGCCTGCGAAGCGTTGGCCGCAGCACCACTGCCAGCAGATGTTACAGCAGACGCGCCTCCTGCGGCTGTGCCGTTGCCGTTGGTCATGCCGCTGCCGCTCTTGCGGATGCGTTCCTTGTTGCGCCGGCGGCGCCGCAGCTTCTCCTCGCGCGTCATCTCGTCGCGCGCCACCGGCAGACCGCTCCGCGCCACCACCACAACGTCCTTTTCCTTGTCCTTCTTGTCCGCGCCCGGCTTGTACACCTCCTGCGGCGCCAGCATGCTCGCACCGCCGCTGACACCCTGGGCCGTGGCCGGCTGCGCATCCTCCATTGTGACCGTCGCCACATCGGCCACCACGGACATTTGCGGGGCCGCGGGCCGCGGCTTGTAGTGCCAGTTGCTCAGCGCGTCCAGCTTGGCGCTCACGTCTAGCCACATGCGCTCCACCTCGCGCTCCTCGGCCTGCACGCGCTCGTCCGACTGGCTGACGTACGTGTCCGGGTGGGCCGCCTGCTGGTGCTCCTCCTCGTAGACGGCGGCCAGGCCCTTCTTGGCCTGGCTGTCGTCAATCTCCACCAGGCCACGGCGCGTGCCGTCCGCGTCCTCGCCAAAGCCCGTGCCGTACCGCCGGCACACCTCGTCAAAGGACTGCTCGAGGATGCGGCGCTTGACGAGCGCCTCAATGTCCTCGGTGATTTCCTGGGTGATCACAGGCACGGGCTTGCCAATGTGCTCAAAGTCCAGGTCCTCTTCCAACAGCGAGTTGACCGGACGCGCCGACGCCGAGGCTTCGCCCGACACCGTCCAGTTCTTCTCCTTGACGGCCTCGGCCTCGAGGCGGCGGATCTCGGCGAGAATCTTGGCCTGGCGGCGCTCGTGGGCGGACCGGCGGCTGCGCACGTCGCCTGCCGAGGCATCCGACAGCGCATCGATCCCGTCCGAGTCCTCGTCGCCCGATGCGTCGGAGATCTGCTCAAACAGGTCGCGGCGCACGTCCTTGATGGCGCGCTGGACGTCGGCCTCGTCGGGCTGGAAGGGCTTGTTGGCGCTGTCGTCGCCGTTGGTCTTGGCCGATTGGCGTCCCGGCCGGTCGCGGTCGCCACGCTTCTTGGCGGGTGGTGCGAAGAAGTCCTTGTAGAAGATGTCGTTGGCCGTCAGGTCCACGTCGTCAAACCCGCCGGCCAAGCCGCCGTTGGTGGTGTCGTCCATGTCTTCAATGTCGCTCTCACCGGACGGCGCGTCGAGGTCCATGTTGCCAAAGATGGGCGGGCCGTCCTCTTCATCGTCGTCCTCGCCGCCGGCACCATTGTCGTCGTCGTCGTCATCCGAGTCGTGTGAGCCGCGGCCCTTTTTGGACTTGGACTTGGACTTGGATGTGGCCGCCTTGCCGTCCTTTTTTGCCTTCTTGCCGCCTACTGGCACTGCAAACGGATCGCTGTGCCAGTCCAGCTCGTCGTCGTCGCTCGCGGCGTCCGTGTTTGGATCTGCGCGGGCGTCTTGTGCCTCAAACCATTGTGACTGCTTGTTGAACTCGTTGATGTCAAAGAAGCCGTCGTTGAGGCCGTCCGCATCCTCGACAAGCTCCTTTGCAGGACCGTGGCCTGTATCTTCAACCTCATCATCCTCGTCCTCATCTTCCTCCGCCTCGTCGTCTTCGACAAAATCATCCTCTCCATCGTCACCCATGCTCAGGTCATCGTCATCTTCGTCCTCCTCGGCCTCTAGAACAGCCAGGTCGTCCTCGAGCCGGTTCTCTTCGTCCTCGCCATCCTCCTCGACGTCGGAGCCGGCGTAGACACCGTTTGTTGGGGTCGCATTGTCATCGTCGTCTGCGTCCGACTCGTCCTCCTGCTCCAATCGGTCGAGTATAGACTGGGATTGCTGTGTGCTGGTGGCAAGGATGCGGTTCGACTGCTGCCAGATCTGAGGAACCTCAAAGCCGTTGACGTGCACGCGCCGGATCTTCAGAATGGGGCCGACAGGCCGCACGAACTTGTCGTTTTCGTCGTCGTCGTCGTCGTTGTCGCCGGCCGCACGGACAGCGGCTGCACCCTTGCTGGCCCGCTTGCGCTTTTTCCGCGCCGCCGTCGCAGCGTGCATCTGCCGCAGCCGCTCCTGCTGCTCGTCGCTAATCAGTCCGGCAAACGTGCCGAGGGCCACCTGGGTAATCTCGGACGAGGCGGTCGACAACGCAGCGTTGGGCGTAAGGAACGCCTCGCGGGGTTTCCGGCGCGTCGTGTCACGGAAGGCGAGGGCCGAAGCGATGTCGCCCAGCGAGGGCATGGATCCAGACCCGGGCGCCATGATGCCGTATGGTGCAGCAATGGTGAGGGTATGGGAGGTGGACGTGAGCGACGATGTGCTCGAGTCGGCCATGTGGGCGGCGGTAGAAGGATGGGCCGATGCGGGCAATTGTCCGTTCGAAATGTACAGTCGTGTTCTCGTTTTGTCGCTACTGTCGGCCCATGCTACGTGCGCGGCCACGACTGCGATTGACGATATCAAACAAAGGTGTGAGGGAGCTTTGCATCGAATGGCTGCCACTCGAAACTTTTTTTCTGGGAGGCCCACTAAAATTCATTGATATGGCAGATAAGGGGAGAGTTTTTCTGCCGGTTTAGTGAGCCACAGGAAGGCCCCGCAAGCACTGAAAGGTCGTTGTGGCTGGTAGTGCTAAGCAGTGGACTAGCAGAACCGAAGGCGGTGAGTTTGACTACGAGCAGCATGTAATGGACCCACATGGATGAACGTAACGTCTTGTGATTGGCTATCATTCTACTATACACGCTCATGTAAACATTGAGGCCCGTCTCATTCTCAGTTCATGTTTGCCTTGTAGTCACGATTCAATCACGATATTTGGGGTTGTTCATCATGGTAATACTCAGTAATAAAAAATACAAAAAAAAGTCGTTTTAAAACTAGGGAGGCAAACGGGATTTCCACGTCTTGGGGTCTCTTGCGAACAATGAATACGTCGACTTATAGCCTTTCACGTTGTCAATCTCATCGTGAAGAGCGATAAAATCATAGTAAGAAGAGGGAGAGTTTAATGCATCCAAGCGTCAATTGGAAAATCACAACGTATAACTGCAAAGAAATATAACTGGCGGAGTCACTAAAGAAAAATTCTCGCATGAAAATGCTCAGGATTCGTCTAGAGTTTTTACAAAAACATTGTAAAGGACGAAAACGAAACAATGAATAAAACAAACACGGCTCATCGTCCGGGGCCGATATAGGAAGTTGCCCTCGCCACTCCGATTATTACAGAATTGGCCTCTCTCACCGACGGCCAATTGATGTCTGCAGCCTGGTGCTATGTTTTCATCAATTGACATCGTGATCATCGCCACTGTCAACCATACAACGTTAAGAACGAATCAACGTTCTGTCACGCAAGGGCGCGCGCGTCGATGCCATCACACTGCATCTGGTTTGTGGTCATGTGCACGTCCTTTGCGGGGGAGCGAAGATCTCTTTGCAGGGAGGGTCCTCGAAGCAGCATCGGCGGCAGCGTCGATAGGGCCGTGACCGCGGCTACGCAAGCAGGTATGACGAGCATGCAGCTGCATCATAATATGAAAGATTCACTCCTCCGTTAAGAAAAGAAAAAAAAAAAAAATGTGACGAGACATATAGCGGCAATTTTGCAACGGGAACGCCTTTACTCGCTGGGGTAACGTCGGCGACTAACGACCTAACAGGGGCTGGTACGGCGGCGGCTACGAGCTGACCATATTTGCAGCAGTCTGGACCAGGTGGACAATGGCGGTGTACTCCGTGATTACAGTAATACAATACGACCCTCGAGTCTGCCATTCGTCTGATCCGAAAGAGGAGAAGGCGTAGAAGGCAAAACCGGCGCTGTAGAGAAGCCGGTTAATTTGGTCGACGGCGACTTGTGATGCATCGCATTGGGGTTACAATTCTATCACACTACGACCCTGCGAACTTTTGTGTCGCGTGATGTGGAAGCAGTTCTTAACCGGGAGGCGATACTGTGAAAAGCCCACAGAGTGGCGCGCGATCACCAGCTGTGCGGCATATTTTCTTATGTGTCGAAATGGCCCGTTTCATAAAAATAATGATTCGTTCACTTTGCATTACAATTGCTTCCCCAAGTCGGAAGACGTTCATTGTACACATTTGTGCTTACAGTCGTCGGATTCGGTAGTTTGCACACGTTAGCTAAACCCACCGCATCGGGTTTGACAGCTCAAATGTCTCACCTGCGACGATTCCCGTCGACCTGGAGTGTCTTACCTTGGTAAGTCGTTGCCGCCAGTATGGTTCCATTCCTCCTGCCCCAGATCGGCGGACCGGAGTCTAACAAGGAACGTCGATCCCAGATAGTCATTGTTGAGCGTCACTTTCCTCGTCTTCTTTTTCTTTACCCGGATACTTAATACACGCCATCTGCGTTTAGGATGTCGCTCGTTTCTCTTTGCAAAGACTTCACTTCAGCTTGAATGCCTCAAATCTATCGTCTGTTCACTAAAAGGAAGTGCGGAGTGTGCAATAACAGTAATCACTGTACGACGCGCCTTCCAAACAAAATGGACAGTCAGCCGCTCGAAACTGGCTGACTTCCTAATCGATGTCAAATGCTCGGCGAACGAGTAAGAGGGAGAGGCCGCGCTGTGCCATGGTCTACTGTGTACAATGTTCATCTATGGGACAATGATCGACGACTGGTCAAGCTGGCGGAACCCCTCCCGGCAGCGTGCGCATCTGCGGAGTCGACAAAGGTTGTCGATCTCGTCTAATGAATCCATCATACGATGCAAGTTCAAAAGCGAAAGAAACGAGATATTCTGCCGACTTGGCGATGTGTCCATGCTTCGTAACAAAAACAAGTGTGGCGTACGAACTCCTCCAATGCCAATGACGGTCCCAACATTATTTTCCCTTTTACGGAAAACGACATACATATGCATCGTCTGTGCCGCGTAGCCGAGTGTCGGTTTTCGGAGACCGTTTCCAATCTGCGTAGAAGTTGCCTTTCTTGCATGCAACGTAAAAACACAGCCGACGAAACGTGCAGGATCTTGTGCCTCTACCGGACACACCACAACCGTTCGAATGCCGATCGAGCATGCAACGCTTTTTAGGCAAGCATACGTCGCTGAGGAGTTTGACTAGGTTTTTCCGCCTTTCACACCTTTCACACCTCTGAGGAATTATACTCAATGAGGATTTTCTCCGTGAAGCGGAGTCTCGATATAAAAGGATCACGGGGCGAAAACGGCCAGCTTCGGAAGCTGGGAAAACGAGAGAAGCGAGAGAAGGAACAATGGGCACAAATAGAAACTTGTAAAACAACAAAGAAAGGAAGAAGGAAGAGAAACGAAACAAGGAATGAACACACGATGCTGCTTGGCATCGCGATAATAGGTCCGAACAGCGCACATCTGTGACGTAATTACTCCGTATGTCGTATTTTACAGCGCATTATCAAAAGTATTACTCCGGGTTGCAGGGTTGACGTTGGTGGCCCTGACAATGATGAACGACCTTGTGTTCAACACAGTCGTTGTTGACCAGGGATGTTTGATAGAGAGACGTTCGACGAGACAGCACGTGTGCGAATGGTGACACAGGATTGGTCAGCATTGCTCCCCAGCCAAAGGTCACGGACCATGGGCCATGACAGTAAAACTAGTGACACTTTTTCGGTGCCATATGCAAACGCTTGTCTGCAACAACAGTGGGTCCAGTTTTTGGAGTACGACATAGTTATTTCGTACATACTCTGTACTCCGCACAAGGAAAAGCTTCACGCTTTTCACACTTAGTAGGTATTGGGCTGGGGCTCTCTGTGTACATCGTACTTATACTGAGTAGTATGTGGGCAATAACATAACAAGAATAATATTGGGACTGCGCAGATAGGACGTCGAGCCGTCTGCACGTAGATGGAGCCAGGTAACAGCGAGTTGTATTTGGGGTTGCGGACAAGTGCGGGCGTTTACGTACATGTCCGACGCAGAGCCAAAAAAAAAAAAAAGACAAAGACAAAAGAGAAGAGGAACAATGAACATTGAACTTTAGCAAAAGCTAGTACGGGTCCGACATATCAGAGTCGGGACGCAGCGGACGGGATTCCTAAACGAGTAAACGATGTCTAACCATAAATGTGCAGTTGCTATCGGCGAGAGGCAATACTTTCTGCATCGTATGTGTTGAAGGCCCGCCAAGTGTGGAGGATTGAGGATTAAAGCAGGGGACTGGAGTGAAAAATCGCCGACAGTTACAACGGCCACGCAAACAACACAGACACTCATGCGAAGTAATGCTAGCGTCGTCACGCAAATTACTTTGTGTTACGTAACGAAAGCGACCAATCAGCTCTGCCTTTCCTCGAAAAGAACTTGGAACGAAAATACAGCAAAACAGGTCTGTCGTAGAAAGGACCCTGCAACATAAATATGCCTGGGAGTAAACTTGCAGCGGTTAAAAGCCGGCACAAAAGAGAAACACTCGGACGAACCGTCGACGGCGTTTGTTTTTCTTTTCGTTTTCTTTTCTTCGTTGTCAACATGCCGTCCCGGGTAAGAAGGCGCCGTAAATCGTACGTAGTTTGAAGTATTCTTCTGGATCAATACTACCCTGTACATCGTACGTGGGGGTCTTGCATCTCAAACGACAGATGCCATACGAGGCCAACAAAAGTCCAAGGCACTTGCAAATTTATATATTTCGTACATATAAATCATATAAATAATATAGAAGTACAACGGTATCGCAGGCCGCAACGCGTGGCGCGGGTACGAACAATGGCAAGATCACAAGCCACAGAGTATCGTTAGACTACAACGCTTCAAACGGTCGAGACCAAATGTCTAGGCCAGAAACAGAACGCACCACACTTGTATACGGAAGTATATTGTAGGAACCGAGACCACTGCAGACGTGTGGAGCCTCTCAAGGTGTGTTACTGCGGACGACGTCGCATGTGAGACGACCAACGCGAGAATTTTTGGGGCCGATTGCACAATGCACTCTGTGGGGCAAATTGTGAGTAGCAAAACACACAAGTATTGACCGACAGCCTGCCGTGCCTGCTCTTCGTCCTGTCGTTTAGTTTCGTTGAAAAACGCGCTGCAGAACCGAAGGCGAAAAGGGCCTGGCCGCACAAAAAGGGTAGGGCGGTGGCAAGAAAACAAAAACGTCGAGACGGCTAGAGTTAACCAAAGTCGGTCAAACGCCGGCCATAATGAGGGTGGAAAAAAATCAACAATCAAAAGATCAAAGCCTTCAGAAGCCCAGAACACGGGCGGTCCCGCATAGCAATAGGCAAACAGTGGCAACACAGGCGCTGGGGCAGGCAAAGTGCCATGTGCGTTTAGAAGTCTCATTGCTCATACGTTTGGTACGATACATGCTCAGAACGAAGGGAGCATAGTATGGATATTTGGGCGCCGCCGAAAAGCTTCTTTTGCTACTGCGCTCATCGGACCTGTGCTTGTTTGGTCCACTTCAGTTACAGCAAGGAACCCAAACCCAAGCTGCCAAGGTTGAAAGCAGCCTATGTAGGGGTTGATAGTATCGTGCATTTAGTTTGTAACTTGCATAGATTGCAGGAGACACCGTCTGCGTAAGTCAAGTCCACTGGACCCGGCCGCTGTTGGGGTTTGGGGCAGATCATGATCCTCGGACAGCGTACTGGGTAGTGTTCTGTCCAGACGAATAGACGCGAGTATGTCGTACTTGTAGACAGATCAACACATTGCACATTTCGTATGTCTGGCAGGATCTTTCGGGCGGTCTGTTTTCCTGTTTCAAACGCCCAAGACAGCGAAGAAAGGCACGATGTTGTTTTCCATTTGATACAGTCGCTTAGGCAGTTCTCCTCCAACTTGTCGTACCTGCGGCGCCATCTGCCCTACTATCGACGGTTTATTTGCTAGGGGCACGCGATCTGCGCACTTGGAACGACAAGTAACGCAACTAAAAAAAAGAAGAAGAAAAAGAAACCAAAATTGACAATATTTCCTACGTTCGACATTCAAGTGTGGATATGTCCACGGGCAAATTGAAAAGGCGCGACAAGCTCCGGAACGCATTCAGTCTAGGGCCGTTAGGCCCGCTGCTGCTGCGTTCTGAGTGGTCCCCAACCGGCTGTTTGTCTGGTGGCGCGCCACTCTCCTCCCATCGCCGGCGCTGACTTGAGATGCCTGTCGCTGTTTCTGTCCGCTCATTCTCTGTTTCTCTGTTTGACCAAGTTCTTTCCAGGTTTTTTTTTTTTTTGCTTGGCGTTTCCTTTGCTCTCTTCGTTCTTTCCCGTCCGGAAACTGTCACTGAGTATCTTTTGCTTCTCCTCTGCTCCTGCCGTCGTTCTGGGACCGATGTTAGCGTGCTCCGCCCGAATCTCACGCCGTCTCGCCTGTCCCCTGCCCAAGGCCCATCGACCAGACTCCATTGCAGAATCTGGCAAGGTGAATTCCACGCAGCGATGAAGCCATGCGGCAGACCGGGCCTCCAACAGCTGGCGCACGGGAGCCAAACAGCAAAAGCTACAGGTTGGAGGCTGGAGGCTGGACGCTGGAGCACTTCTCAGTTGTCTTGTCGACTCGACACTAATACCACCTGACAAGGAAGGAAGGAACAAACACACTGTCCCCACCCATGCCCGACGGCAGCCACCACCCTGCATAATTTGCTCTGATTTGCCAATGGCTCTTTCCTCGGTTCTGAAATCGTGGCTTCCTTTCTCCAACTTTTCTTCTGCTGCGTGTACGAGGCGGAGCACCAATGCGGACGCTGTGCGAATAGGAGTCTTGTTCGGCTAGACCTGACCCTCGCACAGCGCTGTTTCTCCGCCGGGGCCCAGGCTAGGCCCACTACGCCGCTCGCGCCTTCTCCACCTGCGTGGTCTCCACAATGCATTCTTCCAGTTGCTCCCTCTCTCTTTCCTTCTGCCGCACACGGCCTTGTTGTGCACCCCCATCCCTCCACCTCCCACTTAAGCCTCTATCTCCGATTGTGTCACTATTCACATCTGCATTCCTCTCCCCCCCACCGCATCTCTGCGCTTTCGCACGTCAAAAACGCATGCAGGTCCTGATCGCCAGCCCTGGATGGCATAAGTGGCTTTAATGTGTCTGTTGCCGCTGAAGACACACTGCCTTTTTCCACTCTTTGCGCATCCCGTTGCATCACTGGCTTGTTCGACGGCGTCGTCTCGTCATCGCGCCTCGATTCGTCTGCCGTTTTCTTTGTCTCCAAAGCTCTCGTCCACGTCGTCGTCCCGTCCATCTCCCATCCGTTCCATCTTTGTCTCCCGACCATCCCCTCATCGTCTTCTCCCTCCCGCTCTCTATCCCGCTCTCGATCGTCTCGCCCTTCTGCCTTCACTGCATCAAGAGCGTCGGTTGCTCAATCTCTGCTATCTTGTGTTCTTCCTGGTTGCAGCTCTCTCTCACTTGCCATATCTCTCTTTCCGTGACCGCTTATCTCGAATTGCATCGGCAGTCAACGTTAACACTTCGGCACACCCCCTCCACCCCCCGGCGTCCATCCCCAATCCACTCGTCTTTTTGTCGGCCCTGTCGACTTGTGGATTAAATACCGAGCTCGTGGCTCTGTGTTCTTTTTTTTTTTAACCTTTTCGCCCCTCTTCTCTTCTCAAACTCTCGGTGTCCGTTTCTGGCTTGTGCTCACACGACCACTTTCCTTTATTTACCATCGAACCCCCACGGCCCAACTTTAAGCTCATTTCTCTACTTTTCTCCCCTCGTTCGCACGTCGTCATAGTCTCGTCTTTCTTGCGCTATTGTTCTTCCTTGTCGAATCCTGGCGCTCAATCGATCACCAGCATCAAATCGTATCTCTGGACCCCCATCTTGGACTTCGTCTCAGTAGGGATTCTTTCGCTATCTCACCGGCCCATCGGCGTCTCGCGCCCTCACTCCCGTACTCGTCTCTCCCTACGATGAAATTCGGCCGCCAGTTTGAGTCCGAGTCTGTTCCGGAATGGAGCCTTCATAACATCGATTACAACACTCTCAAGGACTTCATCAAGGTCCACACGACGCGGCACCAGGCCTCGGCCATCACAATCCCCGGCCAAACGGATACGGCATTACAGCGCTTTGAATCGGAGTTTTACGATGAGCTTTGCCGGCAACACGACCGTGTCGGTCTCTTTGTAGCCACCAAGGCAGATGAGATCAACCGGCGACTGCGTATGTTCTACCTCTCGTGTTCTGGAACGGGAGACTTCGTCCTTGGTTTCCAGTCTGTTGTGCTCTCTTGTCCTCACTCTCGTATGCTAACATCGACCCTTCAGAACATCTGTCGGACCAAATCCACCGCCTGCTTCTGCGTTCCACGACAGCTGCGCGTGGCACAACAGCTCTGAAGCGCCAGCGGCGGTTTGTCAAGTACGAGCGGGCAACACTGGCGCTGCAAGACGAGACCAAGGACCTGTCTCGCTTTGTCAACGCCCAGGTCGTCGCCTTCCGCAAGATCTTGAAGAAGTACAAGGTATGTTTCGGGCCCCAACCAGATTGCAACGTTTTCTTTTGCCAATGTCCTTGTCTAACATTCGTTGTGCAGAAATGGACCGGGTCCGGTGCTCTGACGCTTCGCTTCCGCGACAACGTCCTGTCCGATCCCAAGAGCTTCACTCGCCGCCAGTTCGACCATTTGTACGGCCAATGCGACGAGCTGCTTGCCACCCTGCGCGTGTCCACCCCCCTCAGCAGCTCTCCGCAAACACCTCGCGACGAGCTGTCCTCCCCCGAATTCCCCGAGTCACAATCACACCGGCCCAGCCACGGCCACACCTTCTCGTCCTCATCTTCCACCATCCAAGCGCTCTCCTCTTCCGCCGGCTCGTCACACCCCGCACCACCACAGCGCCCCGCCTCGCAAGGACGCCGCCTGACGCTGCTTGCATCTGCGCCTGTGCAGACACATTATTGGAACGAATACGATGACGGTAGTGAGGCGGGCGACATCGGCAACGCCGGGCATGGTGGATATGCCATCTACCTGCACCCCGACGAGGAGGAGGACTTTCCCGGCATGGCGACGCTTGTCTCGTTCTTTACCGTCCCGCTCGAAAAGGCAAAGAAGTGGATGGTGTCCCGCACCTCCAAAGGCAGCGCCGACCGCGGTCCACTGCTTTCCCAGAGCGGCGGTTTCGCCGACTATGGCACGACACGGCGCGGCAACGAAGACGGCGGCGGCCTCTTTGACGCTCTGCCCCAGTACGAGCGCGATGCGGGCATGCCCAGAGACGAGACGGCCAGGGTCCACCATGATGGCGAGGACGACGGCGGAGACGATGCGGACCACGACAGCACGGAAGAGGACGATGCGTTTGCTAGCGACAGCGACTTCCCTCACGGCTACGAGACGTACTACGCCGCTCTGCCGTCCATCGACGACCAGCGCCTCGCTCGCTACCGCGAGACCATGCTCGTCCGGGCCATGATTGGCTGCTTCGCGGGGGCTCTTGTGCTGCTGGGGGTAGCGAGCATCCTCATCTCCACGGGCAAGCACAAGCTGCGCGTGGAGGTTGATGCCGGTGTCATCATGGGCGTCATGGCCAGCTTGGGCTTCACCTGTGCGGCCCTCGGCATGAACATGGCCCGCCGCGGCACCGTCTCCGTAGCCAGTACGGTGGCCGTATGGTCCTCCTTTGCCATCATCTGTGCCCTCAACGGGGCAGTGTTGGTTCTCGTGATGGGCAACACGGTCATTGCGAATATTCCGTCCTAGATGCCAAGTGGTTTTCTTCTTTATTTTCGGTCAACGGGTGGGCAATTGTTTTTTGGGGGCATATATTTATGACACTTGGGCAACTAACTTTTTGATTATGGAGAGGGGCATTTCTAGAGCCTCTTGAGAGTTTTTTCTGGTCTTCTTTTGCAGCATTTTCACAGCTATTCTTGGGCGTTTGGAAATTGTCTTGGGCGTTTTGAGTTTTTTCTAGTCTTTTCTTTCTTGGGTTATCGTTTTGGCTCGTCATCCATGTGGGATACCCACATCCAAACCAAGCACTTTTGTCGGCAAAGACTCCTTTATTGGAAGCCTCTTCTGCCTCTTCTGCCTCTACTGCCTCTTCTGCCCCTTTTGCCTTTTTTGTTTCACTGTAAAGAATGAACATTTACGCTGCATGTCCCCCACTGGATACATGACTGCAGACAGACAATACATTATGTTTGATGACAATACATGCTGAACTGCTCATTCCTCCTTTCCATACTCCCCCGACTTCCACTCAGCACAGACACGGCAGATGCAATGACTGGTAATTGCTGCACGTCTTGCCGCTCGGCGTCGCGCTGCCTGTCTGCAGGTACACCTGCCAGAACCCGCCGTCGATCTTGCACACCAAAAAGTTGAGTTCTACCGCTGGTTAGTGGTGCGTGTGCGGGCCATACCACGCAAGTACGGTGTCCCAGACAAAAGACGAGCTACAACTTACGCCGCCCATACGTGCTCGCCGTGCTCGTGATGATGGTGTCGCCCTCGAGCTGCCACGCCGTCGTCGACGCCGCTGCATCCAGCGTCAGCGTCTTGTACGACGTGCTGTCGCCGCCAATGTTGAGGTACCGGCTGGTGTTGGTCGACTGGATCGAGCCGCCAATGGTAAAGTACTCGCTCGTGGCCTCGGGGCCCAGCACCACCTGCGACGCGTTCTTGGGGTGCGCCTGCAGGTAAAAGTGGAAGACGGGGTCCTGGTCCGAGCGGATCTGCTCGGGTTTGCTGGAGGCGAACGGCACGGCCGACACGCCGGAGACGGCGGCGGCGGCGGCAGCGAGTGCCGTAATGAAAGTGAAGCGCATCTTATCAGTTGCAGTCCTCTTTATTGGCTGAAAAGAACTCGAAGCCAGAAACAGGCAGAGAGAAGGAGGGAAAGAGAGAGAGGAACACACCCGCACCCTTTATATCGTCGACCGGTCTGGCCCATCGCTTTCCGCAACCAAAACGGGTAAATTGGCACTGCAGACGACAAAATAGTGTTATCCACTACGCATACTGGATAATAAAGACACTTTATTTTTGATACTGCGCATTCGTTTTCTTACCACAGCACGGTCCTCGCTCCCCCGCGTGTGTTGTATCTCAGCATCCTGGCAAATAATTGTGGCTTCCTGTTTGTAACGACTTGGCGTAGCTCTATTTATCGTGATTATTTACTTTCGGATTACATATCTTCTAAATCTGTTTACTTTTTTCTTTTTTTTCTTTAAAAAAAAGAAAAAAAAAGATAAAAAGAAAAGAAAAAGAAAAAAAAAAAACTACGTGATTTATTTAGCCAAAAAACTAAGCAAAAGTACACAGTAAAAGCTACGAGCAAATATTGAGACCAATTGACGCTCTCATAAACAAACATCAATAGATGCATTGGGCACTCAACATTACACCTTTCTTGTCTTCTTGTCTCAGGCCCATGATATTACCAAGAATGCAGTTATGCGACTGAAGGCTACTGATCTGCAGCCCACACATACCAGTGCGGCGCCTTCCTTATCGGGACGTCCCCGCCTAACCCCCAGCTCGCCCACAGCTCCTGCCCGGAGCTCCCCACTACGATATGGGACGGTGACTTAAACGAGGACCAACACGCACCTGTCATTTCGACTTGGCACACCACACGGCATCTATTGTGAAGACAATTGTAGACCTCGTCCGACTTATTGACGCCAACCACAGCACCAGCACCCACCCACACCGACATGGCGCCCGAGACGCAGCCTGGTGGAAATGCAGGCCGGCCGCCGCCTCGTCCGTGGCCTCCGTGGGCAGTAGCAAGCCTCGCGGCGGCTGGTGCGCTGGCGCTTGCGGGTTTGTACATGCGAGGCGGCGAGTTGTCGTGGCCAGCGCTGCCGTCAAGGCCAGACGCATCCCCGTCCGCGACATATTGCTATGACAGCGTCACGACCCTCGCAGACGACCCGTCTGGATCAGCAGGTCCCCACTGCTTCAGCGTCAGAAACGGCCGCTTCGCCAGTGTGGGACCGCTCGAAGCACTGGACCCCGAAGCGGCTGCCTCGGCTTCCGTCTCAAAGGGCCATGTCATCCCGGGCCTCTGGGATGGCCACGGCCATCTCATCCCCTATGGCGAGTTCCTGGCATCCATCGACCTGTTCGGCTCGTCGGACGACACGGACGTCCGTCACCGCCTGCACACGTACCTGGAGACTCACCCGGATGTCGGCGGGCCCGACAAATGGCTGCGCGGCTTCGGCTGGGACCAGATGGCCATGGGCGGCATGCCGACGGCCGAGCTGCTAGACACGGCCGAGCTGCGTGGGCTCTACATCATGCTTGACCGCGTCGACGGGCACTGCATCTGGGTGTCCAAGGCCGTGCTGAGCCTGCTGCCTGACGACCTGGCGGACATCCCCGGCGGCGAGATTGTGCGCGACCCGGGCCTGGGCGTCTTTTGCGACAACGCCATGGATCTGGTCATGACAAAGTACCCGCAGCCCAGCAGGGTGACCAAGACCGAGTACATCCGGCTGGCCATGCGCGAGATGCGCTCCATGGGCCTCGTGGGCATGCACGACGCCGGCGTGGTGCCCGAGGACCTGCGGCTCTACCAGGAGCTCGCCGGCGCCAGCGCCAGCGGCCGCGGGCAGGTGGACGAGGGTTGGACGATGCGCGTCTACGCCATGGCCGAGTGCCCGGAGCGCAACACGCTCTGCCTCGACGACGTCGGCGTGCTGCGCCAGCAAGAGGGCCGCAGCGCGTTTTTGTCGGTGCGCAGCGTCAAGCTGTTTGCCGACGGCGCCCTGGGCAGCTGGGGCAGCGCCCTGATCGACCCCTACAGCGACCGCCCCGACACGTCCGGGTCGCTGCTTGTCGACGCCGCCACCCTGGCCCGCCTCACCCACGACTGGGCCGCCGCCGGGTTCCAGGTCAACATCCACGCCATTGGCGACCTCGCCAACCGGTACGCCGTCGACGCCTTCGAAGCCGCCCTCGTAGCGCTGTGCCAGCCGCCCGCCGGACCCGGATCCCTGGCCGACTGCCAGCGGGACCGCTTCCGCTTCCGCATCGAGCACGCGCAGATTATCCATCCGCACGACCAGGCGCGCATCCACGCCCTGGGCATTCTGCCGTCCATCCAGCCCACCCATGCCACCTCCGACATGGCCTATGCGGCGCGCCGACTGGGCCCCGCGCGCACGCGCGACGAGGCCTACCGCATGCGCTCCTTCTTCCGAGACGCCCTGCTGCCGCCGCCCGTGCTGGGCAGCGACTTCCCCATCGAACCGCCCGACCCGTTCCAGGGCATCTACGCGGCTGTGGCCCGGCGCAGCCCGCACACGGGCCTGAGCGCCAACGGCACCACAGAGCCCTGGTACCCGGCCGAAGCACTGACACTGCACGAGGCGCTGGTGGGCTTCACGCAGGGGCCCGCGTACGGCGCCTTCTTGGACGGCCGCGCGGGTGTGATCCAGCCGGGCGCCTTGGCCGACTGGGTGGTGCTGGACCGGCCGCTGGCCGAGTACGACCTCGAGGAGCTGCGCAGCATGAAGGTCCGCGAGACATGGGTCGGGGGGACGCGGGTCTACCAGTGGGAAACTCTCCCAGCTGAGCTGTGAGGGTAATTTTGTATCATGTTGAACTCTGGAATCCATTTTTCATCGCACTCTCCTATGGCCGCGAACTAGAGCCGGTCTATCTAGGCCACGTTTTATGTACATTTCCAACACGCCACGCACGGTGATGAGCAGGCCTCGTATTCGGCCCTAGATTCGCCGTGTCAGCGGCTGCGAGTAGTCTACCTTGGAGCCCATGGCCACCTGGCCCGTCGACACGCCGGTAATCAGCGGGTCCCGGCCGGTAAAGTCATGTGGGAATCCGTAGTCGAACGGCTTGACGCTCTCTAGGTACTCGATTTGCTTGTCTGTCAGCTTGATCGACAGCGCTTTGATGTTGTCGTCCCAGTGCTCCAGCTTGCGCCCACCCAGCACAGGGAACACCCGCGGCGCTTTGGACAGCACGTATGCCAGCGCAATCGTCGTCACCGACGTCACGCCGTGCTCGCCGGCCACCTTGGCGAGCGCCTCGCTAAACGCCCGCTCCTCGTCTGACTGCCGTCCGGCCGTTGGCGTGTCAAAGAGCGTCCGCAGCCCCTCGCCTTGGGCCGCGCGCTTCGCCATGGCCTCTTTGGACTGGAACTTGCCGCCGCCGAGCACGTCCCACGGCGCAATCGCCATGCCAAAGTGCCGCGCCATGGGGATAATGTCGCGCTCCATGTCGCGGATCATGACGTTCCACCGGCCCTGGTAGATGCTAAAAGGCGTTTTGCCGTGCGCCTCGGCATACGTGTTGGCCGCGCTAACCAGCCACGCCGGCGTGTCCGACACGCCCAGATACATCACCTGCCCAGACTGCACGAGCGCATGCAGGCCGTCCATAATCTCGGGGATCGACGTCGAGTAGTCCCACCAGTGCAGGTAAAAGATGTCGACATAGTCCGTCTGCAGCTTCCGCAGCGAGTCCTTGAGGCTGTTGCGCATGCTGCGCCGGCCGTTGCCCGAATTGTTGGGGCTCTTGTTCTTGCCGACGTCGTAGCAGCGGTAGTCGGACGTGAACTTGGTGGCAAGCACAATCTGGTCGCGGTTCTGGCGCGCCGCCATCCACTCGCCCAGCCACGTCTCCGACTGCTCGTTCTGGTAGTTGTTGGCCGTGTCGATAAAGTTGCCGCCCTTGGCCACATACCCATCCAGCAGCTTGAAGGACGCCTCCTTGTCCATGCTGCCCATGAAGTCGTTCCACGCATCGCCAATGGACATGGCGCCCAGCGCCAGCAGCGACACGCGCAGACTCGAGGTCGTCGACAGGATGCGGTAGTGGCCCAGCTCCGAGACCGGCTCCGGCGCTGGATCAAACAGCTTCGGCATTGTGTAAGTCGGCAGTGTGAGGTGAGAGCTAGTGGGTGAGATTGGGGTCGGTTGCGACAATAGTGGAACAATGCGAAGCTGAGGTGCTGTCGCGATGTACGACGATGTTCTATGCTGACCGGTATTGCTTATGACGATGGCCTTGAATTTGGTGATACCTTCAATTGAACGGTAGACGAGTTCTTTGGCAACGAGGTGCCCCCGAATCATGTCACCGACATTGTTCTTTTTTGGCCCGCCTCATGTCCTGTTTTAGTGCGGCCCCAACAGCAAAGATGGGGCATCCGGACATTGACACCCGTTATTTGTGATTGTGAGCCTGTTAAGGCCGGCCGGAATGCCCTCGGTGTATATCGGCATTAGCATTTTGTAGTAAAAGTGCGGAGGAAGGATCACGGCAATGCCGCTCCGCTTCTGAGTCCGTAAAGCGTGCCACTGACCGACTTGGTCTCCAGCGCCGTGTTTGCTGTCCATTCACTTGAAAGACAACGATGTGAGATGCTAAGGAAGGCGGAGAGAGGTTTGTATTGTGACACCAAAGTCGACTGCCCTATCAATTCATAGACGCTTGTTTTTCTGCAGACACACTTACGGAGGGCCGTGAGAATAAACATGGTCCCTCGTAAAGTCCCGAGAGACTGTGAATTCGTGAAGACGCTTTTGCTAATAAAGAAGTCGAGTCCCTGACCCACAAGACCTGATTAGAAAATGGCAAAATTTGTAAAAATCAATAAAGTATCCTAACCATACGAACCTTGTCGGGACGTGGAGCCGAACATGCTGCCAGCTATTGCTGGCTTTGTTCGTGTGACGAAGCCAACGTGCGATGACATCGCTGGCTTTCGTCTTCAAATGTGCGGTTCCCTCTCCCGCTGACTCGACTTTTTTGATTTGGACACTCAGATTGTTCGAGCTGTATCAAACCTCACGGCTTTCAAAATAAAAACAGTGGAAACGGGACGTAATGAAGCAAGCCAATGTTGTCTTGTAGAAATATACGGTGTAGAGGAGGAGCTTGAAATGCGGCAACACGAGAGAACATGTCAAAGATTCGTTGGCAGGCGAGGCAATCCCGACCGTATGGTTCCATACTGTCACCGGCATTCAGCCTGCTCCTGCTGGCGCGTCCCTTCGAGGAGGAGGCTGGGCGTGCGGGAAGGAGGTACCTCTACAACGCATGATGGTCGATAATGCAGAGAATTTTGTAACATGACAAGCAGTGGGACACGGCCAACTTGGATGAGGTCAATTTGGATAAACATTCGCAGGAAAAGAAGCTTGCTTTGCCGTCGGACAATTCGCCGATTGATCCTTATGTCGTGGTAGCCTCAGCATACCATGCCTATTAAACGGCGCAAGACACCGTAATCCGGGTAGCAAGTCGGCTACAATGGGCAAAGTAAAGCCATCCTCTTTTGGCGGGCGTTCGTAAAGATAGCATTGTCACTTGTCGTGTTACTGTAAACCAGCTGAGAGCTCGCATCGAATAGCTTGAAAGTGTCGCCTCTCTGTACTTTTGTGCGCAGTACATATATACATGACTGATACATGCAAGCCAGACTGAAAGTATGGAATCTTGCGGTGCATTTTCAAGCAAAAAATTGCAGAGCATTGTGTCCGTATTATCGTCGCAGGCCACACCGAAGCTGAATGTCGGCTAGCTGCACCGGTGCTTCATTGAATTCTTCGTTCTTTGCTCTTTCGCGCTTGGCTGGCATTGACGAGCCTGCTATCCTCGCCATCCTCACCATCGTCTCATGGGTTTTCATATCAACTGTCAAGTATGTCGTATGTCGTATGTCTTACGTCGTTTTGTGATACTCCTCATCCCAATGTCAGATCGGCACAGTGGTCACCATTGCCGTTCGGCCCTCGCTCATTGGCGGAGAATATTTCGTCCTTCCGGCGAAACTATCAATGTTCTTGGGGGCCTTAGCGTGTGGAGCAGTAGGCCAGCCTCGCATGGCTCCAGTTTGGTTTCCTCACGAGGTTGAGGCCATTTGGTCGTTTTGGATTCTTTGGCGTCCCCGGGCATCCCGTTCGGGAAAGGGAACCATCCGACGACGCACTTGACAGTTGCATGGACGGTGCGGAAGTCCCAAGCCAGACGTGGGCCAGCATTCCTCGTGTTCCTCTAGAGATTTGGGTCAAAGTGCACCAGCTGGCGTATTTGAGCCTAGACAAGACGCTGGTATTAGTGACTTGTATTACCATCGAAAGAAAACTGACATTGATCGCATAGTATGTCCGACGCCATGCGGAACACAAAATGGCGTCAAGCAACTGCACCAAAACTATGCCCAGACAGACACCTGAGCTCTCCACGTAAAGCCGGTAACACAGATAGCTGGAAGTCTGCACGATCCCGCATGCTATGACAGGGTAGCAATGCCATATCCCCATGGAAGCTCGTATTTGTTCATAGCTGTCCAGGTCCGGATCCCTTGAGTTACCCGTGGCCTGTTTCCCCGTTGCACATCCTGCCCGAGTGTGGTCTCACGTCGTTGGCAGAGAATAAGTACCCCGAGTCTTGTTTGGCCTCCGCCTGCAACTGCCTGCAGTCGAGCAATTCGTTCTTTCGTAGCAGTAGCAAGGCCCAAGGGAAGGGTTGACCAGACCCTGGCAGATCCAACGGATCTTCGTGCATCTGTGGTGGAACAATTCGGGGCCTTGGGCAAGGACGGAATATGCATCCATGTTGGCGTGTGGTCTTGGATATGATGGATCTTCTGGATTTGCGTGTTTACCATGTGTTACTATCTTTGTGGGCTTCTCATCTTTGGCCTTGCTGTTTTGTGCATGGCCAGGTCGTTCCTGCCCCCATATCATTGCCTGTTTCTCTTGCCTGTTTCGGCAGCAATTGGAGCATGTTTCCGTCGTCGCTACTTCCTTGGAGAGCAGTTGGCAAACCAGGCCTCGTGCACAGACACCTGGCCCCAGTCCCCTCTCCTCTCTACTTCTGCGGGGTGAATGTGGAACAGCTGGCTTTGAGTGGAACGCGCTTTCTCCGGGGAATGGCCTCCTTCCAGAATTGCCACTGCTAAAGGACGCGCAGTGGGAACCTGTGAGCCTGTCCAGTAGCGCCCCAAAAGATCGACGGTCGCTGCTTCCTCCAATTGCAGGTGTTTAACCGGCGGCACTCAGCAAGAGCGATGGACAAACATTAGTCGTTAAAGAGTGCGAGGAAGGACCAGCCAAGCAACTTGATCCCTACTACGTGACATTTGCTGTGCGCAAAAAGACTGGCCTTCCGTCGCCGGAATATTTTGGTACCCCAATAATTTGTACAAACCATTCCCTATGCGCAATTCTAGACAACGGCGGTCGGTTGATTGATGTTCTCTTTCCTCGACGTATCTACCACCTCCTAATGCTCTAGACCAGCAACGATGCCAGCTATGAGTCGTCTACTCCCCTGCACCACGTGAAAGAACAGGACTGGAAGGAACGAGCGATCGTGAACTGCAGCCAGACGGGCCTTCTTTGGAAGCGACACAGCGACACGCCTTCCTCAGACCGTATCTGTCCCTGTCTAGGAAAGTGCGTGCGACAGATGATTGGCGTCTTTCCTGCGACTGCTGCAAGTGAAGCACATCCCATAATCGGAAACAACGATCTTGTTGCGGGCCCCTTGGCTTTGCCATACCATCGTGCTCTCATCGTCTTTGGCTCTGCTCAAACATCATCACCGAGTATCGTCAGACTTCAAGCACACCTAGCCAGCTGATAGTGACGGTTGTTGACGACCACGTCGAAGTGCCGAGATCATCGTCTTGACTTACGCTTGACACATCCTATCCTTGTCGGCAAAGTGGTGCGCTTGGCCTCCTCGCCTTGGCCTTCCTCTCGCCTGCGGAAACCAAATACTGCGTACGGCCGCGATATTCGCCGAGCTTATTCAACTCCTGGAAACAATTCCTCCTGCTACCATCACATGTGCACCACGCCCCTCAGCGTGTCCACATTGCACCGAATTGGCTTGCACCGCTAAGATTCTCTTCCGTTCGTCTCTCCTGCCCTCTCTCCTCTTCCCCGGCCCCGCCGTCAATCATCCTCGCCCAGCCTTCGTCCTGCCCTGGCCGATTTTCTCCCTTTTGGCTCTCGTCCGCCTGTCCCCTTCCTCGCGGCGTCTCCTGCATCACTGCCTGCTCCGCCTCTCGCGGCACCGTTGCGCCTTGTCTGCTGGCCGACGAAGCAAACATCCCTACGAAGGCGGAATATCTTGCCAGTTGTCCAGGCCAGGCCCCATATCATCAAAGCGCTTATTCCATCGACCGGCTCCACTCCCACCTTCTGTGTGCTATCGTTTTGCTTTTCCCTTCTTTTCTGGTTGTCAAAGTCTCCTGCGCTGCTGTTTCGCTGCTCGCTGCGTTGCCATTTCAATACTTGCACCTACCCAGCTCATTCACCTAACAGTCTGCATTGCATTGCTCTCATATACGTTTCTCTGCCCACTCGTTTCAGTCCTATTGTGTGTGCAGCATTTCTTCGGCTCTCATTTTTGACCTCGTTCTCCAATATCAAAATCACATCAAACTCCGGCTGTGTCAAATATTTCACCTACAACCCAATTCCGCCTCGGGTCATTCCATCTTTTCTTGCACAAATCCCGCCTTCTTTTCGAGACATCCTGTCAATTGACGGCTGGTCTTCTATCCTGGTACCCTCTTGTTCATTGTTAAGGTACTTTATATCCTGATGGGGATTGTGTCGGTTATTTCATAGAACAAACGACAACAAAGACACACCAAAATTTGACGGCAGGATATGCATTTATATCCTATCACGAAACCGGCTTATTGTCTCACAAAACTATAACATCCGGTCGTTGATCATAACGGGCGACTCCGAAATCCGACGAACACCAGCAACAAACCAGGCAACTGGCAGTGCCATTTGGTATACCTCACCGGTGACACATACAGATTGGCCGGCCAGAAGCATGGCTGCCGTTCAGCAAATGCCTTCTGTGCCGACGGGTGTGCCTCGGCAGGCTGCCGCGGCAAGCGACGTACTGGACATCAGAGAGGCGGAGGGCGCGTCGAGTGGATCAGATACCGCGGACACAGCTCTGGATACCCCGGTTGGCATGTCCGGACTTGCCATCGGCAGCAAATTTGGCAGCGGTCCGCAGCGAGGGGACACACGCATCGTCGTTATTGTCTATGGGCGTGACCAGGAGGAGATTATCTCTGTCTTTGCGGAGGTACTTGGGAAACCATACTGCAAACGGCCAAACTTCGATGCTATATCAATAGCAGACAAGGAACGGGTCATAGGAATCTACGCAGACAACGCCAAAGCAGACATCGGCTCAAGGAACACAGATCTGGTGGTCGCCATCAATGCTCACTGCGTGAGCTTGGGTATGCCTCCTGACAGCGCACTCTCTGAGCAGTGCGACTACGAGTTCCTTTACACGAACACCCCCTTCTTCCGCCGTGACCTCTCACGGTTTATCTCTTTCACTCTCGGCCAGATCAACCATCATCAGACACTGATGGACAAGCCACGGACATACTTCATCTCCACCACGTTCCCCGATGTTCGCGTTGCGCTTCCCAATATCGACATCCTGACTGTTGGTTCCGACGCTGTCGAAATCCGGGTTGATTTACTGAAAGAACCCCTGGCCGACGGGGCTTTTGCGGCAGTCCCCAGTCTAAGTTACGTGGGTGAACAGGTTATGACATTGCGCCAGCGTACCGAGCTCCCTATCATCTTCACGACGCGTTGCCAGCGTGAGAATGGCCGTTTCCCCATGGACAATCCCGATTTGTATTATCAATATCTGTACCGTGCCATTCAGTGGGGTGTGGAGTACATTGATGTTGAGCTGTGGCTTCCCGAGACCATCCGGAAGCGTTTATATGAACGGCGCGGCAACAGCCGCATCATGTCCGCCTACCACGACTTTTCTTCCACTTTGAAATGGCCAACTCCGGAGGCACAGGCTATCTACGCCGAGTCTTGCAAGTATGCTGATATTGTGAAGATGATTACCTACATCAACGACCGAAACGAGAACTTTGAGCTGGAGTACTTCCGCTCCAAGATACGTGCAGAGTACCCGAATGGGCCCCCACTATCAGCTGTCAACATGGGCGAGATGGGCCAGTTCTCGAGGACCCAAAACCATGTCTTTTCTCCGATCACGCACCCACTGCTACCCGTGATTGCGGCTCCTGGACAAATGAGTGCCGCCGAAACGAATGCCGCGTTGTCGATGCTTGGGCAGCTCCCGAAGAAGATTATATACGGCATCACAAGCCCCTCGAGTCGCAGCGGGACACCACAGGCGCCGTTTTACGTCAAATGTTTCAATGAGCTCGGACTCCCTCACCAGTTCGCCGTCGTGGAACAGCAACCAAAAGGACCGAACCGTGTGGAGACCTGGTGCAACCAGAAGAATTTTGGCGGCGCGTATCTTCACCCACCTCTGTCCTACGCCAGCCTTATTTCCAAAAGTGCCTTTTTCTCTTCTCTGGGAGACGGAGCAGGGCCAATTCTGACAGATGCGGCTCGCGTCATTGGCAATTTCGACACTATTATTGTACGATCATTATCCTCACCTCCACAATCGACTGAAGTTTCCGAACCTTCGAGCCCATACCATCACCAGAACGACAACGGCAATGGGAGCAGTCATTCAGTTGTCGGTGGCAGCGGGACCTTGCCGCCAAACACGCAGCTTGTTTTCGATAACGCCTCTTGGCGCGGTATTTTGAGCACGCTCACCCGTGATTTGGCCCCCTCTGCCTACTTTGGTCGCACCGCCGTCGTTCTTGCGTCTTCCTCGGACGATGCCGCAAGCGCCGTATTTGCACTGGGCGCGCTCCGTATCAGCAAAGTCTATACCGTCGGCTTCAAGACGCCGTCTGCTCTGGCTGGTGACATGATTATTGAGCCTTTCAACTCACTGGAAAGCCTGCAGAAGGCGCGTACCGTCGGTGCTCACGATGACTTTGCGTCTCCGTTTGTGATCATCAGTGCACTTGCACCCGAAAAGGGGAATTTGGTTGGTCTGTTGCTCCGTGTTTTTGGATCCAGCAAATCGCCACCGCCAGATACCACGGAGACAACTATCAACGCAAGCAGCACACGGAAAGTGTTCCTCGACCTTGCTGCCGACTCGGGCAGCGGCTCGTTTGCGTCGCGGAAGGCCGACCCTGGTATCGTGGCAGAGCAAAGCGGATTTGCGGTTTACGGTTCATCGGATGTTAACGCATTCACAACGGTCGAGACTTTGAGGCTACTTGTTGGACAAAACGTCCCTTATAGCTTCGTGCGCCTTGCCGGCGGTAGGAGTCCATTCTAGGAGCGAGTTTACTTTTTGCCTTGTTTTGAATATATATTCTCATGTGTTGGGCATATAGCTGTTGTCAGTTCCTCACGTATCTCTACATATAGACACATACACCACACACCGTCAAGACGGTTTGTCTGCAATTTCGGGCACCTAACGCAATCTCATGATTTAACTTTCTCTTTGTCGCGGCGCTTTGTCGTGCTCGGCACCAGATTGCGGAGGTATTCGGAGGTGAAAAATCCAGACGCGTGCCAACAACACCATTGAGCGTCACGAATTTCGTCTTAATGTCGGCCCCTCTTCTACAATGTCGACGGTCTCTGCCAGCATTTTACCCCAAACTCCATCGTGGCCAACATCAAGACTAGTCCCCAGCCTAATGATGGGGAACTATGGGGAATTGACGAAGCAAGCTGAGTTTCATGACTGGTGGAAAATCGTAATTTTTCCGGGACTTTTCCAGTTTAAGGAGCGCGATCTCCATGCTCACCTCCACACCTCAGACGGAGCGTGGTATTAGACCTGGAGAAGTGCGCTCCTGCTGGACTCCAAATACGTTCCAAAACCCAGTTTTCTTCTGGCAACTCACAACTGGGGTGCATTGGTCGCTCATCATGGTCAAGCTTCATGCCCGACCCTCGTCTTTTTGTCCCTCGTTTTATGCTACAACTGCATCTTGAATTGCAGTCCATGTGCGCGTCTGTATTATTCTTCTACTTTTTTTTTTCTACCCGTGCGTGATTTTAGCCGCTTGTTGTTCCTTATGTCGGTGCACATCGACGAGAAACTTTTTTCACTCTTTGGTTTCAAAACCAGGCCACCGAAACTACGAGGAATGCAGCAATATGTCCAATAAACGAAATGGCCTTGGTGGCCTGCAATAGACAATATGTTAATATGTTTTGCATGCGCACGTGGTTGCTGTCAACGTGGCATGGCGTCCAGCGACACCAACAATAGCCAGCGCACGTACTGCTCTCATCTCGACGAGTAGCCGTGTTGTGTAAGGCTTATTTATCTCATCACAGTCGTACAAGCCTTCCTGTCTTTCATTGGGCTTGCAGTGGGCCGAAGTTAGTAGCAGCGTGACACATACCTGTGGCAGGGTCAAACTGTAGGAAAGGCTGTGGGAAGGGCTGTAGGCTAAAAAAACAAACAAGAACACATGGAATCTCCAATATAATTCCCGACTCGGATCTCGTTTGCGATACCCAGAGACCGACGCCCATGACAAAGCCTTACGTGTGGTCGGAAATGAAACGAGGAATCACATAAGTTTAAGGTTGTCCAGAGACAAGAGAGCATTTGAAAGCGAGACAGCATGTACAGAAACGCGGAATACATTCAGAACCGCGGGTTGTACTTACACAACATGTCAGGGCGGTGACACAACATGGGAAGGGGGAGGAAATGTACCTTGCCCACGTTCGAAGGACAAGGAAAGGCACAGGACAGAGTTTGACACACACCGTACGGTGTGAACAAGGAAGCCTCATTTATATGGCGAGCGCCTATCGTCAATCCGTATCATCACTGCCCCCTTCCCCCCTAGCATCTGATGTGCCGCCAAACATAGTGAGTCTCCGGTCTGAGATAGATGGGCGTCGGGGGCTTGGTCGAGATTGGCATATGAGTGAAACAGATGAGGTCAACGCCATCTACGTCGTAAGGCGAGCAGGACACCAGAGTATTCCCTGGGTGGTCGCGATGTGGCGGCCATCTGGAGGCATTCTGGAGGCATTCTGTGGTTGTTGTGCTGTCTCTTGTGCGACCACAACATGCGGCACAGGAAAACGCCACAAGCGGACCCGACCCGTTTGAACAAACGAACGACGTAGGCAGGCGAGGCCTTTTGGTGCCACACTGTTTCCATCTTGATGATGCTGGAAGTACTGTATAGTTTGGTTATACTGATGTCGGCCCATCGGCGAGCAACGGGGTGCCCTTGCCTATTACGGCATGCTTTGAATATCCAGAACAGGAATGAGCGATCGAGGTCTTGCTTGCCGAAATCAGCAGTGTTTTTGCAATTAATAGGGAAAGAATAACCATGAACTCTATCGGCGGTCGACCTTCCAAACAAAATAGGAATTACCCAACGTGGAAGGAACTATCAGGCAGAGACTAACCACCCCTGAGTTCCCAAATACTTCATATTTGTGAATGGACTCGTTAACACGTTTGTATCAAAGCCATCATTCTGCTGTCCTGGACTACCAGCTCCCCGAGCACCAAATTCAGTTACAACACATCCGAAAAGGGCAATCTATCATTTTCCAGCCTCATCCAGGGTGAGCTCGATGGCCGCAGTTTGGTTATTGAGCAACTTTTGCCGCAAGGAGACCTAATCAAAACCAAAGATGTGCTGTGCCGTTAAAATCGCACATGGAAGAAGAGCATCTCCGGCCTTGCTCAAAAAGAACACATGTCCGTCGCGCCTATATTGAAAAAACCGCCATCTCCATTCTGGCTATTGTTTCCGGACTACAAGAAACAAGGCGCGTGAGTGCGACACACACCACGGCTCTCCTCACCAGACATGCAACAACGGTCAAAGTTGGTATTATCATTTCTGAAATACGGTATTCCACACAAGTTAGCAGGCCAGGCACTGCGAATACGAGAAGCAAAAGAAGTCATATGGCCAGAGAGCCCATACTAATCAGCGAGACCGACGAGACCGACGCCACTGTCAGTAAAACCCCAGACCTGATGCAAGTCAACAGGTCCATTCTGATCAGACAGGGCTCTCGGCACCTTGTACTGAACATTTCCATTAAACGTCGTGCGCCTCACAAAGAAACCAAAGCTTGATGCGGGTCAGCGGAACAACTGAAAGACGTCACGACAGTCGACCACACCATACGAAGAGGGCCACTCCCTTGTTCCCTTGCACGGACTCACAGATGCCGATGGCTTGTTCCACTGGCGCTCCTTGGACCCCTTTCGCTGGCAACTGGGGCCCCATTGAGGTCCTGCAACGGCGCTAACTTGACGACTCTGGGCTTTCCAGAACGGACACGTCTCGTCCAGTGCCCCCAGTGCCCCCAGTGCCCCATATCTGTTTAGCGTTCGCCACGGCCCTAGACCCAACAAACTGGCCAGGCCTCCATTCTCTTCCAATCCTCCAATTCCCCATGTTTCCGTTTTGATTGTCCTCGTGCCCGCTGCTGTTCGTTTACCTCCGGCAACCTAATTACGTGCCTTGTTTCTTTTTGTCTTCTTTTTTCATTCTTTCGCGGAAATCCCCAGCAGTCACGGTAAACCTTCGTTACCGTCTTTATGACAGACTCTCACTCGATTTGCTTTCCGGCCGGCACTCTTCTCGTGTTCGTCTTCGCCTTCTCACCGACGGAATACACTGCACGAGATTTTTCATGTCTTTTTTGTTCATAACAGTAGGCCCACAGGTGCATACAACGGTCCGCACACTACTGCTCTCCACTCGGTTATTCTTTGCATCTGTCTTTCCCCTCATCCACCGCAGCCACTACCTCCGTCTCCTGTTCATCCGTCTCCATTCGGCGTCTCGTCTTCTTTTCTCCACACACTTTTGAACACATCCCAGCGTTGCGCCTTGTGCTCGAGCGCAGCCGAAAAAATCTAAAGCGGGACGCCCAACTTGAACAACTCCCCTCTCAAGTGTACAGAGTGCTTGCTCAGACACTCGCTCCTCCCCAGCCGCTTCAGAGGCATCTTGCTCCCCTGCTCGTCCCAACGTCTGTCCAGCCAAAGGAACAACGGACCCCTGGGGCTCTTCTGTCTCTCTCTACATCCCTGATGCTCTCCTGTCCATTGCTTTGCCTTGCCTTGCCACACACCCTTCCCCCGGATGTAAGGCGCAACCTTTTCTCTTTATCCTGGCCTTTTCCCGCTTAGGTTCACCTTCTCGCAACGACCCCATTACCAAAACATTGGGGAAGCACCTACCCGACGCTGTTTGAACCCTTCAAGCCCCATAAGTGGTCGGCCGGCACGTCCTTGCATCTGTTGCTCCCTCGTCATTATCATCCTCACTTCTCAACTTCCACGACCGCACATCCGAGACGCCTTCCCGCCGCCAACACAGCTCCCGTTCCCAAACGCCACACCCACGGTGCCCGCAACCAATCCTGTGCAGCTCTCAACGGTTCTCATTTGTCTTCGGCGCGCATCTATCCCCACCCCGAAAGGTCTGCTGTATGTTCCACGAGCATGGCTACCGGCAGCGAGGCGTCGAGTCCAAACAGCCAGTAACAGATCTCCGCTTCGCTTCAGAGAATCCGGAGCTTTATATAGCAATCCTCCAAGGGTATTTGCCATTTCGAAGTATTCGAGCGTTTCAGCGTTTGAAAGGCTTTTAAATCAAGCTTTGCAGCCAACAACTCTCACTCTGCCCCTCGCCTTTGATTCTTGTTCCCAGCGGCTTATAGTACCTCACCGGGTGCTAGACATCCATGAGGCCAAAACCAATTTGAAGGCAGGCCTTCTTCCATATACCGGAGCTGGGATATCCAACTACGCTGCTTCTTTGCAAGGTTGCCAGAGAACCGCTACAGCAAAGCGCCACTCAAATCACCTATTGACTTCCCTCTCATCAATTTTTATCCACCCTGTCTCACGCTCCTCACCATCGCCCACACTCACGTAACTGGGCCGCGTCACATATCGCATTCACCGAACGATCTGACGGGCTCCTGCCTCTACATTGCACGTCCGGATGCGCCGCCCGTCCGATATATTGTCCACATGACCTCGGGCATGTCAGTCTCAGTTGTCGAACACCCACCGGTGTCGCCATTCTCGTCTCACAGCGCACGGCCTGTCGTCATGTCTCGACCACAGGTGGGCATCGAGCGACTCCCGGCTCGTCGTCTCACGAACGAACCGCGGGAGTCCATGAACTGCAAGTCTTGTCGAAAGCGCAAGGTAAGTTGTGCTGCCAGACATTGTTCGAAATGTGCCTCTTACCGTACTGCTCGTCCTAACAACACAATTTCCCCTCTCGTCTAGATAAAATGTAACAGATTGCGGCCTGCTTGCGAAGCTTGCCAGGTGTTTCAATGCGCTTGCATCTACGGTGAGTTCCTGCGCAAGTCCAGAGTTGTGTTCGTGGCCAAGCTCGTATACACATTGTCAATACGCACGCAAAGAGCACCCCATGTAAGAGTAATGCTTGTCTGACCATGTGGCCGTATTCTAGATGCTGTCCCAAAGAAGCGGGGACCGAAAACAGATATTCTTGAGGCTTTATTGAAGCGCGTTGATGGACTTGAGCAAAAGCTCAAGGAAAAAGGAGGCGATGAAGCAGGAGCCGAGGGCAGTGAAGCCGGCGGCGCCGGATCTGGAAGTGGCAGCGGCATTTCACCGAGCTCGGATGAGTCGCCAGGGGCAGCGGCGACAACAACAACAGCTGCTGGAGATTCCTCAACAGCCTCAAGCTCAAAGGCTGCTGTTGCGGATATTCCGACGACAGAGAAGCCAAGGAAACAGTCGACGACAAATGGCCCCGAAATGTCTGCACCGGCAGTCCCAATGAAACCCGATACAGAGCTCAGCTCTTTCCAACAGCAACAGCACAAGACACCTCCAGTGCAAGTCGATACTCTACTTCACACATACTTTACTCGCTCACATGCAAAGCCTTTCCACATTCTCGATGAATCGTCATTTCGCCAACGATTGCAGCTGGGTCAGATTCCATCCCATCTGCTGGGGTCTGTCTGTGCCTTGGCATCACGGTAAGTCTGGTGTCCAGACTGTTTCTGTCATAATTTCTAGGGAACCAGAGCTTAACAGTAACCACAGATATACACCCCATCCAAACGGCTACCAAGCAGCAGTCCGTCTTGGCGAAGACTACGCCTTACGCGCCCGCGCGGAAATTGACGTTGATGAACCATCAATAGACTGCCTCCAAACCTTGTTGCTTCTTGCCCTCGCCTTCGTTGCCTCCGGCAAGGGAAAGAAAGCTTACATGTTATTATGTACGGCCTTCTCTCTGCTGCTGTAACTGCGAATCTCATCTTTCATCTTGCACGAGCAACAGCTGACCATTACTAGCAAATGCAATTGGCATGGCTGTGGCCCTGGAGCTCCACCGTGAGATGGATGCCAGCGCCAGTATCACACCTGTAGAGCGTGAAATGCGGAGGCGTCTATTCTGGACATGCTACCTCCTGGACCGCTTTATGGCCTGTGGTTCGAAAAGACCGTCACTCATTCATGACAGCACAATTTTCCTCCGACTACCAAGTTGGCTGAACAGCTCCACCTCGATGCCCGTAAATGGCGACTTCTTCCAGACCACATCTAATCTGCAGTACCTTCAAAACGGAGCAGGGAAACGGCTGCAAGGCGGTAGCGGTATGCTCATCGACATCAGCCGGATCCTCGGCATCACGAATCGCTATCTCGCCGCTGGCGGCGTCAAAGGCGACTCCCACTTTCCCTGGCACTCACTATCGAATCTATCCAAAATTCGCCAAGACCTGGACGTGTGGGCAACGGGTGCACAGGACATCTTTTCGAGCGTCGAGACGCTCTTTAGCCAGCCTGACGCAACCGTTTTAGTCATGAGCAAGCTCATTTATCACCTCATCCACTGTCTCATCTACCGACCCTTCCTGCCCGTCGATCTCGCCGAGCTCTCAGGTACAGGGCAGCATCAGTCCTGGCAAATCGAGGCGACAAACATGTGCTTCCTGCATGCCAACGCCATCGCAGAGCTTACGGAACTTGGCAGGCAGATGCCCCAAATCGAGTGGCCTGGCTTTGTCGGCTACTGTATCTGCACCGCCGGCACGGTCCATATCCATGGAGCGCATTATAACAAGAATGCCGCAGGCAACGACATGGGTATCTTTGCAACATCGGCCGAGTTCTTGTCCCGGGAGATGCAGCACATGGCCGAAATGCGCCACGCCTGGGCGTGTGTCGAACACCACCGCCAAACACTGCAAAGCATCTACAGTGCGCATACGGAGCTTGTCAAGAATGTCTCCAACAGCCCCATGCGGTACTCGCCAGTGTTCCAATTGGAAGATTTTTTCGATCGGTATTTGAACATTGGCGGGCCGGGCGGCTCATCGTTCAACTTTGACGCCTCCAATCTTATACTGGCAGATGTTCTCATTGACTTTGCGCCAGATAGCTATGCAGGCCACAACCTGTATACAACAAAAGGCGACTACAGAGACGGGTCCGGTGACACATACAACAGTGCCAACTGTGCTAGCAGTGCCAACAATGTTGGAGCGAATTCGGCCAGTGAAGATAGTGCCATGGACGTGGTCATCCCTGAGCGGCCAAGTTTGAAGCGTCGGAAGACGGTTCCGGGGATTGTGCTTCCAGGCGGTTCCGGGGCCAATAACCTTGCGGGTGGAATGCAAACCCCTCGCAGCACGCAAACGCCGGTACTGCAGCGAGGACCCTATTCAGCTGCCCCATTTTCAACGCACAACAACCCAGGCCTCCTTACATCGCCAAGCTCGATGGCGCGCTCGATTCCACACCCAACCGGTAGTATCGACGAGCAAATGCTAGGCAACGACAAGCAGTCGAACATGGACGATATACCTGGCTTGTCATTTGGCTCGCAGATGGGTCTACACGGTCAACCCCAGGAACAACAGCAGCAGCGGATGCAACAACAGCAGCACCAGCCACTGCCTCCCTCAGGAGCACCCTTTAGCCCAGGCTTTACCTTTTCCACTGTTGCTGGAAATGTCGCCGTGCCGGGTTCTGGTTCAGCTACTCTACCTGGCGCCCATCGGGACATGGGCCACACCGGTATGGTCCAAGGCGACGGCCAGGTCGCGCTCAGCGGCTACGATCCTATGTTTACAACAATGCCGACCAATTCCTTCTCGAGCCCGTCACCCTGGATTGCCGATCAATCCTCCGGTGCGGGCAAGCCAACACCTGGTGTCGTTCTTCAGAACAGTCCTGACGGCCGCAGCAACGACGGCAGCGCCGGAGGCACCGCGGCAGGAGATGAAAAGGATCCGTTCCTAAGTCTACTCGAGCAGCTGGCGGAGAATGAATATGCCCGGGGTCCTGGAAATGAACTGGACTTTTTCCTGGCCAGCAACACGAGTTCGGTCTAATAGTGGTCTACCTCGGGCTGGATACCGCCGACATATCTACAACTCTTTTATCGCGTAGATATATCAAAGCAATTTTTGTTCTGGGTCTTGAATAGTCATCGTTCAATGCACACATCCATCACAGCTCACAATCGCTCGGGATCATGTCCCGAGCGTAGCTATAACTTCGTCTTGTGCCAACGATGAAAGCATCTCTTTATACAAGCCATTAAGCACATGCATTAAGTTACTTGCATTAACAGCTTTAACCACGAATTTTACCGTTGTAGTCATTTAGATGGGGCTGGAAATAACTCGCCATTTCGATAGGAACGAGACTCGCCGGATCAAGGGTGTAAGTTCCCTGTAAAGAATGCCCTTTGAAAGAGAGGAATTTCACTTTATTTGTCGTTGACAGCTTTCATGCCCGGCACCAACATGGCTGTTACTTGAATGTATGGTGCCATGAAGGACCGGCCAGTTATATAAAGATATAAACGTCATGAGAGATGGACGGCAAACACTTCCACAATCTCATCTCGGATGTGGGAGCCTAAATAGCTCTTACCCAAACAGGAAACAAAATCGTGGAAAGAGCAAAGCACAAACTTTGCTCCTACCCAGTCGTAGCTGCCACACGTTACTCACTGCCAAAATCGGCAGGCCCACCTTTTCCATGGTACCGCTCGTCCGATCGCAGTTTCCTGTACGAAATAAGGCATGGGATTGGAGTTGCCGGTTTGGGTAAATTTATGAACCTGTCCAGAATCCCAGCCCCTGAGCTTTATCAGCTGCGAATGAATTTGTCTCTCGTTGCGCGCGCCCCGCATCCCCGCAATCTAGGGCGTTGACGAACGCCAAGTCACTGTCGATCAATGGGGTTGCAGCCAGATCCGGTCCTCTCCAGCTGAGCCCACAGAGCCACGCGAGCGGCCAAAGAGCCATTGTGTTGGGAGCATCAGATGAAACAATAGCAGATCAGATCAGCGCCCGGCATTGGCAGCAGGCCGGTCCATTCAGACAATCGCCCAAGAACGAAACAACTACGACAAAACGAAGCAGATGAGTTAGCCTTGTCTGTCGTGCGATGTCTTGTCCCTAGTGCCTCAAATGGCTAATCAACATCGTTAACCTACGCTCTGACATTTGTCGTCCTAGGTCAGTGCCCCAAGGTAAATTAGGGAGCTATTTTTACACGCACGTCGGCACTTTTTTGATGAACGACGGGTCCATCCAGCTGGCGGCCGTGGCTACCGATGGTTTGTTTGCTCTCTGTTCTTTCGACCCGGCGAGCTGAGCAGGACCAATAAAATTGATAGAGCACGGGCTCCTCTGTTCGGAGAATGACCAAGACCGTTCGGTCGATACAGAACAGTCCAAGCATCGAAACACAGTTCTACCGGATACGTCGTTCGCCATTGGCTGGCCTCGTTCTCCCACGGCAGCGCAACCAAACTATGGCCTCCTTTCCCCGCCGAGCTACCAAAGTTAGTGAACAAGCATAATCAGCACAGCATAACCAGCCCGACCTCTTCCCAGACCTGGGACATTTTCTTCATTCCCCGCTTCCTTGCTTTCTTTGTTGGAGCTTACACTCACCACGTTTTCTTGACCTCTTGACCATCGCCTTGTTTGGTCTTCCCGATCGTCCTATTGACGTTTGCAGCAGTCAAAGCAACTCCTCCACAGGATCTTTCTTCGCCGGCCAGCTGTTCTGCCCATTGAATCCCACGGCTTCCCTTTCGAGTCCTTTCTCAAGACCCAAACTCCACACCAACGACGTAATACGGAGCACCAGTTGAATGCACTCTTATATCGCCATCTCTGTCAAACAAGACAGATTATATCTACCCTACGGCCATTGCGTTTCGCTTCGCGCACACGCGACTTGGAATTGAGTGCTGCCCTCACATTCTCCACAAGCTGTTTATTTTCCCCGTTAATTGGAGACTTTCGCTACAAGGCCCCGACTCCCTCCTTCCTCAAGCCGCCCCGGCTGTTGTTAACATATATGACCCTTGTTGAAGGATGCGCCTTGCACTGCTCGGCGTTTCTCTTAACAGCTGGCGGGATTCGCTTTTGCGAAATTGCGCGACCAGAATTCTTATGGCCTGAGAATCCGCTTTCCTCAAAATAGCGCCCCATGCATGCTTTGACTTCTTCTTTACATATTGACTCTTAACACCTACCCGAGAAACGTGCGTGGCCTAATACATCAATTCCTTCAACCGGGCCAAATTTTTACAAAAGACACCAAGAAGCAGTGCTAGTCACCTTGTCTCCTACCATTAGGCCGCTTATTCCCTACACTACCGGCTGCTGCCAACCGACTCTGGTAGCCAAAAAACCAACGTTCGTGGGCCAGGCCCTGTCATTCGGTAATACATGCGATCCTACGTCAATGCTTAGCCTGCTGCGGTGTCGCATCTCTCGACTCTGCCTCTCCACTGGGCCAAGCCTCGATTTTTTTCTTTGCTTTACCGCCTACCTTTTTATTTCTCACTACCACGATTCTCGACATTTCCGCTCTCCTCCGTCGAACTTTGGAATGCCAAATACTATCGACGTATAATTGGCTTTTGGCCATACTCACTGAAACGACCGACGGATTTTGGCGTGCGATGGCTCGGCTCGCACCTCGCTTGGCACAAGATGACGGAATAACGAACTTACAAGCACAAATGTCTCCGCTTGCTCCCCACACGCAAACCGAGAAACGTGGACGGTGTCCGAGGTAGCACAACCTTTCGCGTACGATTTGAGAAGGGGCGCACAAGCAAACGAAAACCACGTCTGTGTCCCCTGTCCGCGGTGTGCACGGGGGTGCCCGACTTGACAATGGACGCGACGGGCTCCACGATAGGACCGGACCGGGGCCCGACTGTCCTCGCAGTCACAGTATCAACACTAGTCCTGTGCTCTGTTTTCGTCTTTTCTCGGATGGTGTGCCGTCTCGGAATTGTACATCGCGTCGGATGGGACGACTTCTTCATCGTACTCGCTTGGCTGATTGCCTTTGGTCTCAGTCTCTCCATTATCTTGGGGACTCTGACGGGGCTCGGGAAACATGACGAAAACGTCGCGCATGACCAGCGGGCACGCCTACGGATACGCGAATATGTCTTCTCTATTCTCTATGTATGTCTTTCCGAGATGTAAAGATTTGCGACCACGGTATCTACCTTTTTCGGCCTTACTGACCAAGCTTCTAGAACCCTGCTCTCATGGCCACAAAAACATCCATTCTCATATTTTACCTCCGGCTGTCCAAAAACACAATCCAGGTCCTTCGCCTAGGATCCTATATTGTTCTCATTATTGTCAACGTTGCTGGCATTGTCCTTACTTTCCTCAACATCTTTCAGTGCCGGCCTGTCGATGCCGCGTTCAAGGACATCACTGGACAGTGTATCCCTCTCTTAACGGAGTTCATCTGCTCTGCGCCCGTCAACATCGTCACCGACTTGGCCATCTTGGCTCTTCCAATTCCAGTTCTGACCGGCATGCACCTCCCTTCTCGACAAAAGACGATCCTCGTTGTGACATTTGCTCTCGGTATCTTCGTGGCCATTGTTGATGTCGTTCGCATTTATTATCTGCAGCAAGCGATCAACGTTGTCCATCCCAGCAGCTCCTCTGACCCCAACTCGATATTCGGAAACGGACCTGATTTTGCCTGGAATGCGTCTTTTTCTTTCATGTGGTCCGCCGTTGAGGTCAACGTCGGCATCACTTGCGCGTGCATCCCAACCTTGAAACCTCTGATGATTAAAATCTTCCCAGCTTTGGTGATTGACCCAGACGGCCCCAGCTATGGCTCTTCTTCTTACGCGAGAGGCCATGAAACGTCAAACTCCTCTTCGCGGCGTGACGCACTCCAGAACACCCGTCCTACGGTAATGGGTCACAACAGACCAGCCACCGAACCATCGCAGCCAAATCTCGCCAAAGAAACGCGGGCAGGAGGAGGGGCGACAGCCACAAGTGGTGAAGCTGTGCGTATGACTGGTCGAGATGGAAGCGGAGCCCAGCTGATTCTTGATGAGAGCGAATCTGCTGCCCAGGGACAAAACGCGAGCCTTGGTTCTGTTGCTCCTCCTTGCCAGCCGGTTATGGCATCGGACCAGATTTCTACTGCTGATCGTGCACGGGGCGTACAACCAAGTAATCCCATTTCCGGCCAGAACGTCGGCGATTCTGCCAACCCGAATTCAAAAAGATCTCGATCCTTCTTATCAGGAATCGCATCCACCACCCGCCACGCAATTGCCGCGATCGTCCCCAAACCTCATTCCACAAAATCTCAACCATCCAAGTCTTCCAGCAACCGAAAAGGCGTCTATTTTGGATTCGTCAAGGTCAATATGCCAAAGAACATGCTTGAAGCATCTGCATCTGAATCTTGGAGGTATTGCACCATCGTGTCCATTCTGTTCTTTCTCTGGGGGTTTTCCTATGGGCTGCTAAACACACTAAACGATGCGGTGGCCGTCGTGGCCAACATGACAACTGCCCAAACGCTTGGCCTGACAAGCGCCTATTTCGGAGGAGGATATCTCTTTGGGCCTCTTGTGGTCGGCGAGTGGGTTCTACGTCACGATGAACACCACCGCAGGCGGCCATCCATGCCATACCGTCAAATTTCGCATCGCGAAAAGCGTCAGCGCAGTAGGCAGGCCAGTGGCTTAGCAACAATACCTGCAACAGCAGCCACCGTCGCCTCGGTCGCTACATCGGCCGTGACAAAGCATTCACACTACTCAGACTCAAGCGAAAATCAAATCGGCGGCTTCAAGGCAACCTTTATGGTGGGCCTCTGTTTCTATGGGATTGGTACCATCATGTTCTGGCCTAGTGCTGTGCTGGCTTCATTTCCTGGGTTTCTCATCAGCAGCTTCGTTGTTGGTTTTGGCCTCAGCATTCTCGAAACGGCTGCAAACCCGTTCATTGTCTTATGCGGTCCCATGGAGTATGCGGAGATGCGATTGCTCCTTGCGCAGGGGACGCAAGGAGTTGGAAGTGTCCTCAGCGGCCTTCTCGCTGACAACGTATTCTTCAATAAAGTCAATGCAATGGAAGACACCAAGGCGGCCGCACTGCTCGACGTTCAGTGGACCTACCTAGCGATCACACTCTTTTGCGTGGTCTTGATTTTGTTCTTCTACTATATGCCCCTTCCCGAACTGCACGACGCCGAACTCGAGTTTGCCGCAAGCCGAATGCCGGTGAACGGCCAGAAGCGCACAATTTTTGGTCTGCAGTTGCGCACTGTCTGCCTCATCTTGGCAGTCTTTGCACAATGGACGTACGTCGCGTCACAGGAAAGCATGAGCATCTACTTCCAACGTCTCGTCACGTCGTGGCTACCAGACCCGTCAACAGCAACCGGAAACATGGCCGCATTTCGGGTCGATATACGAGATCTACCAGCAATAGCCCTTAGCGTCGCCATGGCCACCTCAAGGTCCGATTCCAATACCGGCTCTGACGCTCCCGATCATCTGGCCGTCTCCGTCCCGAACTATTTGCTGATTGTCCACACGGCGTTCTCGGTGTCACGATTTTTCACCGCATACGTTGTGTACCTAGGAGTCCAGCACCCAAAGAGCCGCTTGTTGCCAACACCACGTACTATCCTGACCATCTCGACGGCACTAGCGATGTTGTTTGCTCTCCTCACCGTCGTCCTTCCACCGAGCCAAAATGCCAACCTAATCTTGGTGCCCGTGGCCTTGTTCTTCTTCGCTGAGGGCCCAATATGGCCGCTTATCTTTGCCATAGGATTGCGCGGCCAGGGCGCACGCACGAAGCGTGCCGCGGCATACATCACCATGGGCGCGTCCGGCCCGCTGTTTTGGCCATTTGTCATGTACGCAGTCATGAAGCAGGGTGGTACCATTCAAATTGCATTCATCATCGTGGTGGCCTTGATGGCGGCATGCACGGTCTACCCTCTATTCATAACCTTTTTCCGCGATGCGCGCGAGCTGACCAAAGTGGCGCCATATGACTTTCAGCCAGGACAGGCGGCAGGCCAACATCCGGCGCGGGGCTTTGTTGGTGAGCTCGACATGACAATACTGGGTGGAGGGCCGGACGGTAACAGTCCAGACCAAAACCAGGCTCCCAAAACGCAGCCGGAGCAAGACATCGCCAGACAGCAGGACTAGGAAAAGGACGCACCAGAAGTGAACATGCCTTCTGTTCCTACAGAACTGGTAACAGCGGCTCGGCTAGCTGCAAGCCGCTCATTAGCACCGAGAGGGAATGAAGCGAGACTGCAACCGTCTGTTCAGGTTTGAACATGTGCACGCACAATACGCTTTCTCATGCTTGTGGTTCCATCGACTGCGAATGAGGGCCGGTTGGTTTTATTGCGACGATACCATTTATTGAATCTGTTTTTATTTTACATACATACACACATACACACACACACATATATATGTTGTTGTGTATTTTACATCTAAGAATAAAATAAAGTAGCGTCTCACGACATTAACATATTTTGAACATTTTGCTTCTCGATTCGAAGTGTTTTGCAACAAGCCCTTAAAGTCCAACTTGAAAAACGTTCTTATCGTCCTTTTTTCTGTCTATCGCGGTGCCAGGAAATATATGCCTTCTAAAGATACGGATAAACAATGGTGTAGATGTAAATAACGTAGATGATAAAGGTGCATAGACAAGGTGTTGGCTCACCGGCAAGATTATGCTTCCATGGTAGTGTCGTGCTCTGCAAACGCCTCGAGGATCTCCTCTTCTTCGTCCTCGTCGCTGAAGACAGCACTGCCTTCAGCCGCGTCAACAGCTGGCAGGGGCTTCGGTGCCGTCCAGCCGGTGCCAGCCTGGACAAGAATGACCACCAGAGCTACGATGGCACCCCAGCGGTAGAGCTCGCCCAGTGCCGACTCGTAGCCCGATACGGCCACCCGACGCTCCGCGTCGTTGAGCACTGCGTGGCCCTGTCGGTCGTTGCCAAACACGAGCGCAGGGCTGCCGACCAGCTGCGTGATGAGCGTGCGGCGAGCGCTGCTCAGGTTGCCGCCGTCCAGTTGCGTGAAGCCATCGGTCAGCTGGATGGCCAGGCGGCGCATAAAGAAGCCGCCGCCAATGGACGTTCCAAAGCTTCCAGCGAAGCCACGGAAGGTGGCGAGCAGGCTCGTAATGATAAAGTGCGTCGAGGGCCGCGTGAGGTGCAGCACGTGGGCCAGGGTGTAGTTGAGGTACGCGCCGGTGCAAAAGCCATTGGCAAACAGGGCCAAGACGTAGGCGGCGGTACCGAGGCCAGACGCGTCGGCGCGGCTGAGAAGGCCGACCACAGCGAGCGTGCCGGCAAACAAGAAGAGGGACACGACGCTGGGCAGCCAGAAGGCGCCGGAGCGGCGCACATGCAGCCACCCAATAACAAGGCCGCCAATGCCGAATCCGACATTGGTCGGGATCAGGGCCGAGCCCGAGGTGGCGGCCGAGAAGCCGCGCACGGCCAACACGTAGATGGGCGCATAGTAGAGAACGGTCCAGCGAGCGGACATGACACCGAGCTGTGCGAGGCAGGAGAACAGGACGCCGCGCGACCGGAGCACCTCGACTGGGACAATGGGGTCGCCACCCGTGACACGGGGCACGTACCAGACCTCAGTGGCAACGAACAGCAGCAGGCTGACGCCCGACAGCAAAATATACTTGGGATGAACAGTGCCGGACAGGCCGTACAAGAACAAGAGGATGGTGAGCGCCAGCAGCGCGGCGCCGAGGTAGTCAATGCGGGCCAGTTTCTGCCACACGGTGAGCTCGCGACCATGCTTGTCGACCGCCGTCGCGCCGCCACCGAGCTCACGAGCACCGAGTTTCGGCATGCTGAGCAGGATGCCGACACCGGCCAGCAGGGCAAAGGGAGCCTGCATCAAAAACAGCATGCGCCAGCCCATGGCCGCCTGCAGGGCACCGTACACGATGGCACCCGACGACAGGCCAATGGTGAAGCCAGCGTTGGCGAGGCCGACAAAAAGGCCCCGGCGGCGCCTGCTGGTAAACTGCAGCACCGCAATCAGCGTCAGGGACATGGTGCCCGCAGCGCCCAAGCCGACAATGGCACGTCCCAGCAAGAAGATGAGGAGAGATTGGGCGTAGGCCGTCACGACGGCACCCACGGCAAAGCACAGGCTGGAGGCGGCGATGAGGTGCGAGGGCGCAAACACGGTGGCCAGGCGGCCGATGACGGGCGCAAACGACGCGGACGAGATGAGGTAGGCGCTCGTGAACCACATGGCGTGCTCGTAGGCGTTGAGGTCGGCGGCGACGGCAGACTGGGCCATGGTCATGCCGCTCACGTTGCTGGCCTGGAGGAAGATGAGCACCCACATGCTGAAGACAATGGCGTAGGTGCGGCCGGGGGTCAGGAGGTGCGAGTTGGCCGCCGAGGAGGCGTCGGACAGGCGCCTGCGAGCGCTGCTTCGGCTGGCGGCATCGTCGTTGTCGGTTGCGTTGGCAGTATCGCCGGGCACGCCGGTCGTCGAGCTGCTAGACGAGCCATTCGAAAAGCCGTTGGAAAAGCCGTTGGAGTAGCCGATGGTGCGTTGGCCGCTGGCCGCCGCCGGCAGGAGCGGGTCGATCTCGGAGCCGGTCTGGCGGCCGTTTGTTATTACTTGCGCCATGGGTAGACGTTGTACAGGATTCTGTAAACAAAAGAAGAAAAAGGAGGCCGGAAAGTCTCAACTCGTGGGATACATTGCAGATCGACGACGCGAAACCTCCAGACAACTGATCGACCGATACGCGGAGTGCCTTATCGCCAAGTGAGATGGAGCCGTTGTCGATGGTATCTGATTAGATACCCTAGTCGTCGATGGTGGACAGATTGGAAAAGCTGGCCATCCTTGTAATGATGGGAACGGGTGAAAAGAATCGCGAGACTGAAATAGGAGACAAAAAATACAAATAGGAAAATGCTGAGAGATGGCAGGAAGGCACGGGCAATGATCGCTCCTGCCCGGGAAAGTCGAAGGGCGTGGTCGGCTAGTTCTTGCCCTGTCAGAATGGTTGCTGACGCCAGAATAAGAAGTAAGCACGTCTCTGGCGATGCAGTTTGGTGTCTCGGTAAGACGGCGAAACGTTTTCAACTGCGCTAACCTGCCGAGTCCCGCACAGGCCATAGCCTCACAAGGATCGCTCATCGGCGAACCAGCGTTCCCAAAACATCGGCCTTTGGTGTCTTCTACTGCTTCGTAATACTCGTCCCAAACAGGCAGGCGCGATCGTGGTCATAAAAAGTGGATCCATTCCTACGCTCTTTCCCAACCTTTGCTGCTTGACAGCCATGGAGAGATAATGTCGCGTCGTTCGGAGTAGCCCTAAATCGGAGCATATTGTTCGGCTTCAATGCCGGTGCCATGGACCACCGGGGCCGCAACGACGTCCCATGTAGGATATACTGTCCGTGTGCATTGTGCTGTTCTATTGCTATGCTTGTCGCTTGCCGCGTGGTGGCGCCCAAAGCAGACGACACATGCTCTATATTCTACGACGGCCTACCGAGAATCTTGTCAAACACGTCCACGCCGTGAATGCCCAGCCCCGTGCCGACGCCCACCGCATAGGCCCCCACGCTCTTCATCCGCCCAAACCCTGCTGCGTCTGACACGCCGCCTGCGCCTACGATCTGAATGTGGCCCAGGGCGGCCGGCTCGGCGTCGAGACGCTTGCGCAGCGTTGCCACATTGCCCAACGCAATCGGGTGCAGCGGCGCGCCTGCCATGCCGCCAATACCGCCACCTGGCAGAGCCGGTGTCGGGCCCGACTCTCCAGCCGTCAGAACGAGGCACGAGCCGAGCGTGTTCGTTGACGTCAGGAAGCTGATGGGACACACGCCGGTGCTGCTGCTGGTGGCCGAGGCCCGCAGCGCATCGATGAGGACGTCAAATTGGCCGGCGTGTGTATACGGCGGCGTCTTGAAGCCGAACGGGATGGTCGTGCCGTCGGCCGCGCACACAGTCGCAACTGCGCCCTGGATGGCCGTCAGATACGACAGCAACGCCTTCCCATCGTATGCCGGCGGCGGTGCGTTGGGAATGTTGGGGCAGCTGAGGTTGACTTCCATTGCCAGCGGGACGCCGCTGGGATCCGGCAGTCCGCGTTGCGCGGCGGCGATGCACGTGTAGCACTCGGCCACGTCGTCGGGCCCGCCCGTGACAGACACCAGGAACCCTTTCGGCTTGGTGGTGGACGGCGTTGAAGACACCGACGCGGCACGCGACTCGGCAATCGTCTGGATAAAGCCCAGGTATTCGCCGAGCGTCAGCGGGCTGTATCCGAGCGTGTTGAGGCTGGCGCTGTTGGCTTGTGCTCCGGATGCGGCAGTCACTGCTGGGTCGTGCGTGGCGGCGTCGAAGAAGGTAAACTGGTGCAGCTCTGGACGATGGCCGAACCCGGTCAGTAGCGAAGTGCGCGTGGTGACAGCGCCGGTATGCGGACAGTTGTAGAGCCTTGTCAAGTCGGCCAGGTCCGTTGCCCACGGATTGGCCGTGTTGAGCAGCGGCGGGTCGATTGTGAGCGGTGGAGGTGGGGTGGCCATGTTGCGACTGTAAAGGCGTAGTATGTATTGAAGACACAAGCATACACACAACAACGAAGACAAAGAAAAAAGAAAAGCAAAATCAGACTGGCTGTCGTCGATTTGTGGCGGCTCTATGAAACGGTAATATGGTGTGTCGAACTCGATATGAGAGGCGGGGTTGGCCGATGGTTGGAGAGATAAGATAATGCCCATTGGTGCTGCTGTCAAAGGCTTCCCAATGGGAACCACGCCTGGCAGCAAAACCATTCCGACAACCGAGCTGCGCTTATACGTTATCCGTTTTCTTCGTCTTCTTTATTTGTTTGGATGCCGCCTTTCAGCATCATCCTTGGTTGCTGCCGGGCTTCTGGCGGCGGGCCGAATTTAAAAGAGGTCGTCAATGGCCTTGTCAGAGTCCTTGCGAATCAAATCCACCATGCCCTGTTCTTGTCAGCATTACGCGCCTAATTGAAAGCCAATCGAAGGTCGACCGTTGCTGCTTCGGATGCAACATCCATACCTCGGGCATGATGGGCTTGCCGTCGTCGCCCTTGACATAGCGGAAAGGCATTTCCGTGCTTTCGTGCTCGTTGAACTTGAGCTCGGGGAAGTCGAGATACGGGATGTCGTCCAGGGCGACTGTTGCATTGTTAGCAGCGGGTCGGCAGTATGAACCACTCTCGGAGCATGTTGATTTGACGCACTCTTCTGTTCGACCACAATACGTGTCACACGGGCCGCCGTGTCCGTTGTCATCTGCTTCGGGCCAAGGCGGCGCCCGGTGAAGCCCTTTGCGCGGAGTTCGGACGTGCGGTCTACCACGTTGGTCAGCAAGGCCTCATATGACCACCGGAGAGGCCAGCACGGTTTCAAGCTCACCTCTCGGCGGGTTGTCGCCCAGAATGCCGCCAAACAGAAACACATCAAACAGTTCGCCGTCCTCGGGCGACAGCTCATGTGCGGCCGCGGGATCCAGCAGGCACACGCGCGCCTTCTTGGCCGGATCTTGGCCGTAGATTTCCTCCACGCCCCGCGTCTCTGCCACAAAGCCCGGCATGTCCTTCAGCTCCTGGGGCAGGGCCAGAGTTGCCGGGATCGACGACAGGCAAAAGTCGCCCGTCTCGCGCGCAATCGTAATGTACTCGAGCTCAGACCATTGACCCAATTCCTCGTCGAGGTGCTCAACAATGTATGTTTTGCCCATTTTCGTATCGTGTGGCGAGAGTTCGAAGGTATTGCCTGGCAAGTTCGACTGGTCGGCCGAAAAAAGACGGTATTTTGGCTCTGCAATACTGCTTCAATGTCTTTCCATACTAAAGAAAGCTCCAATTTCCTCTCAGCTTTATTCTTTTTTTTTTAGCCCCTCACCTGCTGTCATTGCGAAGCTCGCCCTTACATAATATAAAGTGGGTCATCTAATGTCCATCGAAACGAGAGCAACGATCCTCGCCGCTCCTGCCCCTGGCTCGTCTCGAATTGCCCAGATAAAACGAACGCAACAATGTAAAACGCATCAAATACGGAAGGCAAGCACGATGGCCAAGGGGCGCGTGTGGTCTGCCCCCCTTCTTTTTGTGCAGTCGTATTATTTATTCTTTCTTCCCCCTCTCTCCATTTCCTCTTGTCAGCCGGAACGGCACCTATTCAAGCCTCTTTTCGGCGATGCGTCTGTTGGTCTACAACGTATCTTGGTCTTAAGATACAACATTGTCTCAGCCCGACAGCGGTTGACTGCCCACTGACAGACCGTTGTCTTCCACTGTAATCCGCCCTGTAGCGCTAGCGCGGTTTTGGCGGCGCCTAGACTTGCGACGCCTGCTTCCGGAGCTCACGGATCCACTATTTGCCCCAATTTGAAGTCTGGTCCACTGCGCTGAGTGGGAAGGGGCAACAGATTCAGCGGTGCATAGAGCCCCAAGTGCCAACCAATTCTTCGTATCTTACAGAGTAACATTACAGGGCACAAGGCACCCGCATTTTTCTGTGCTCGTATTATCACTATCGCTCAGGCTGCGTCAGCTCCCCAGAAGGCAAGGCTTAGCATCTAGAAGGAATCCACATTGACCTCGTCTTGTGCTCCTTCCCGCTCAACACGCGCAAGGACACCTACTTCATATTGAAGATCCGAACCGCCCTCTCCATCTGTCGCTCTATTCTATCTACCTCGACAGATTGCCCACATCGACATATTCCCGCACCCTTCTCTTCCCTTCCCTTTCTTGGCTTTATATTTTCGTCATTCCTGCATGTGTGCTCTTGACGAGCCGCTGTGCACCAGACGAAGCCTCCGGGGATTGGTTCCAGATCCATCCAGGCGGTGTTTTCGTTTTCTGTTTTCGTTTCAGAATTTCCTTCATTTTGGCCTTTGCACTCTGTTTCTTTTCCGGCTGCGATCATCTCCCATTCTTGACTTATTCTCGCTTCTCCTGGCTTGGACTTGTCCCTTCTTGCCGACCTCGACAGCGGACCCCTTCTTCCCGACCTCATCCATCGATCTTAGACAAGGCGACCATCTCCACGACAAGCCTCCTGATCGTTTCCTCTCGGCCACCACCAGCGTGTACCTCATTACGTCTCCCCGCAGTCGCGCCTCGTAGCGACGTCTACGACCGGCGCACGTGGCCGATTGACTCTTCGCTGCTTCACCCGGCACGAACGGCCCGAGCACATACTCTTACAGACCGACCACGATGGCTGCTGCCACGCAACCGTCATCATGGCGGGGGTGGCCGGCTATCGCTGCCGTAGCGGCTGCGGCCGTCTCTCTCTTTACGAGCGGCGCACAGGCTGCGTCGGCCGGGGACTACTTTGTGCACTCGCTGCCGGGCGCGCCGCCAGGACCGTTGCTGAAGATGCATGCAGGGTGAGTAGGCCAGAAACAAGAACACGAATACATCGCCTCACAGCGTCTGTGATATAAAGAGTACAGGACAAGCTAACATGCTCGCAGCCACATTGAAGTCACACCAGAACACAACGGCAACATGTTTTTCTGGCACTTCCAAAACAAGCACATTGCGAACCGGCAACGGACCGTCATCTGGCTCAACGGCGGCCCGGGCTGTAGCTCAGAGGACGGCGCTATGATGGAGGTGGGCCCGT